TTTTTCTCTTTTTTTATTGTTGTTGATATACAAGTTAGCATGTAAACCATAATAAAAAAATAAAAAAAATGACAGAACAAAAAAAATTGAACAGGCGGCCTTAGGCGTGCCTTGCTGCGCTTCATTGAAATCGCCTCGCCTAGACCCAATTAGGCGCTTCCCCCTCGCCTGGCCTTAGCGCCTAGGCTCGCCTGGCCTTAGCGCCTAGGCGCGTCTCAGCTGCACCATTTTAAACACTGGTTATAGTCAATGCCAACTAGAATTTCTTGTCCACATAGAAGTTGGCCTTACCACGTGCAAACTACTTCTCATTTTTTATTCTGTCCAAATCCTTGCTCCCCATTCCTCATCCCTGATACTGGCTGGATGAATCTGGGTCAAGAATTAAGGCTTTAAGTGGTTGAGTGGAAAAATAGATGGATGGAACAAGGAAGTGGGACAGTGGTAAGAGAACAAATTTTGAGTGTGCTTGGTAGGAGAAAAAAATGAGAGGATGATCATTTTCCATCCTCATGTGTTTAAACAAATCATTCCAATTTGGAAGGGAAAGGGCAGAGAAAATGTGAGTTTGTTCAAAATATGTATTTTTCAAAGTTCAATTTTCTTCTCAACTTTCAACTCTACTGAGCAATGAACTGAAAGAAAATTGCATTTGCTTTTAATTTCTCCATTCTTCGTACCCAAGCACACCGATGGAAAAAATTAATTTTCCGGCTTTCCACTTTTCTTTCCCTTCAATTTCCCATCTATATTTTTCTCTCTACCAATCAAAGCCAAAGAGTGAGAATTAGGAGGAAAGAGAGAGAACAAAGAAAAGGAAATGATAGTTTTGTTTTCCCCCAGTAATTATATTGTTTAATTTTCAGTTTCTGTTGGCGTCTTTGGGCCATGGCAACAGTAAAATATTTTTGGTTGTAAATCTCGGTTCGTCCACTTCATCAAATCCTGCAGGCATTGACTGTAACAAAAGTTTTCGACTTTCCATTTGGAATAAGGCTTATTTTGGTAAAAATCAAAATGGCTTATTTGGTACAATAAAAGGGGATCGTTTTGGGGGCTTTCATCGTATTGTTAGAACAGTTTGGGGAGTCTTATTCATTCAAATGGAATCATATAAGAATAGTTGTAGGATTATGTCAATTTTCATTTTTGCTTGCATGCATGTTGGTAATGGATTTCCTCACCTTTCATATCATTATATATATACAAAATGATGATAATTTCCCCATACATGCATGAGTTTTATATATGATACTGAGATGTCTTTACTTCGGTTTTGAACATGTTCTTATTTCTGAGTTTTTATTTCCTGTAGACCTCTAGTTGAGAATGGGAAGAATCCTCAGAAGTATGTCAAGTATACGGCAGAGGACCTCGAACGAATGTTGGGAGAATTCTTCGAGGGCAAGAATTTAAGCGAACCTAAAAGATAGTTTTGATCCTGCCGTTTGAGGTCGACTGGTTGATTAATTTTCAGGAGGTATGTTGCCCGTACCGCATATCATTGCTTGAATGTGTGGTGGTGGTTCTGTTTCTGAGAAGATCTATCTATATTTTTAAGCGATTAACTCAAACCTACACACTAGGTTCTCGTTTTATTTTTCTCTTCATTCTTTTTTAAAATGTTTTCTTAAATAATATTCAGCAATTTTATGATTTTTTTAATTTTTAAAATCTGCATAAGTTTACAACTTATTTAATGTTTATATTATAATATTATTTATTTAATTTTTAAAAATAAACATTATAACTTATGAAATTAGAAAACGAGCTAGGCTCAGGCATTAAATAGAATTTTCTTTTCTCTTAAAATTTATTTTTAGGATATGTGTGTGTGCCGTGTTGGAGGTTAAAAAATCTTATTGATGAACTGTTTAAAGAGGTGCAATGATCAAATCATTTATTACCGATTTCCATCCGCACAGTTTTCCACTCGACAAATAAAAAAACCTTTTTTATTCATTTTTCCATGATTTTAGCATGTGTATTTCAGTTTGTTTTTAAGGCTTATATTGTAAATATATATTTTTCTTTTATGCGCCTAAAGTTATTCTTTTTATCAAAATATGTACTTAAAGTATACAATTTTTTTAATCTAAATATTTATAGTATCTTTTAAATAATATCACATGTTAAAGTTTTTAAAACTTAGATAAAAAAGATAGGATATTTTAGGTACTTATTTTGATAAAAAGTATTTTATATATCTATTTGGACTAAAGATATACTTTAGATATCTATTTTGACCAAAGAGATAACCTTAGGTATTTACATTGATAAAAAAAAAAACGTAAGTATTTGGAAAAAAAAAGGATAACATACTTTAGGTACTCCTTTGTAATAGAAGTCTGTTTCTTATCTCCCAATTTTTCTGTTTTTTTCCATCCCGTCTCAAAAGTATAAAATGAAGTAAAATAAAATAAAATAAAATAAAAACTATTAATCTAACCCAGCTTTTGATTTTGAAGGAATAAAGTAATTTTTAGTTATTGATTTTGATTTTTTTATAAAAAAACAAAATTTGAGTCTCAGGTGCCATTAAAACTATGATACTGAATACATGTTAAAAGAGAGAACAAAAACAATCTCAACAGAAAAGGAGCAAGGATTATGTGGGCACCAAAAATCGGGGTGAAAAGGAAGTTGTATTTGGAACGTAATGCCCTTATAAGTAAAGGTGTATGCTTTGTGTGTGTCCCTCTCAAATCCATTAACCCAAAATGGATAAGACCCTCCAAAAATCTTCTCCCTCACTGTGCATCCAATCCAATGGCCATAACTCTCCATACCCCAAACACCAGAACCCATCATCTTCCCAATCCTATCCCTATTTCTCTCTCCCCCATGTTTCCAGACAACAAAACTATCTCTTAGTTTCCTTAATAAGACCCGCATATCAAACCAAAACAATTATAGGAAATGGATGAGTTTTTGGTCGACTTCAACTTGACTTGAAATGATAACAATAAAATTTGATATTGTTGAGTTTAAAATTATTTAGCCCAAAATTTAATTAAAATCCGATTTGATTTAACATAATTTTTTATATTTACATGTTTTTTTATCAAAATAAATTAATAATTTATTTAATTTAATAGTATAAAATTAATGTAAATTTCAATTTAATATCATAATTTTAATATCTCATATGTTAATTTTCTTTTATATTTTTATAAAAATTTAACTTATAATGTAAAAATAAATAAAAATATTTTATAATTATCTTAAGTTGGATCAAGTAAATTCTTCTAAAATCTAAATTTAACTCAATTAAATTTAAAAGATATTTTTTCTATTTAAAACTCACATTTTATAACTAAGAATATTTAACCATGTCAATTCAAATCAAAATCTATTAAGCACATGTTTTTTCCATCCTTAAACATATATGGCTTTGGCTAGAAATATCAATAATTGGGAATTTGAATTCAAAATTTTGAATTTAAATTTCACTTAAAAACGTATGTATCATCATATAGTATATAATTAAAAATATATAAGAATATAAATTTATGAAATTCAAAATCACTAGTGATCATTAACAACTAACTTCCCACCTACTCATCTTTCCACTCGGTAACTGAAGCATATTTGAGAATGGAAATATATTTATTCTTAGCGCAGGCCTAAACCATAGAGAGTGAGCAAAAGAAGGAAAAATAGTTTGTTTGGCAGAAACATTCAAAGTGGAAGGTAGGGTGACAGTAGGTGTAAGTAAAATTCAATTTGACTTAAAAATTGATTTTTTATTTAACTCGATTTGAAAAAAAATCGACTCTTATTGATTTGATTCGTAATTTTATAAATTCAATTAACTCAAAAAAAACTTAAAATTCAAGCCGAGTATAAAATAAAATTTGAATAACTCGAAATTTTAATAATTAGTAAATGTTGAGTCACTCAATTATGTATTATATATGTATTGTATATGGCTATATAAAATCATTTAAATTAAAATAAAATATCATAATAATATTATAAATATTTATAATTAAATTTGAAGAAAAAAATTACCCCTAGGTGATAGGGCAGCCACCTTTAGATAAAGCCCGGGATAGAGTGGTCAACGCCAGTTACTATAAATGTAACGCCCGCCAGATGTGCATCCTTTTTATCTCGTAACCGGGACCTTTCTACATCGCTCAAATATCTTTTCAACCGATACAAGGGCCATTCATGTCAACGCCAAAAATGTATCATCATACAAGTATTTTTATTTTATTTTATTCATATTAATGTATTTTTATTAAATTAAAAATAACAATTAACTTTATTGAATACATAATAAAATTATGAAACTATTTTATTATAATCTAATTGTGATATATCTTTAGCCATATTGTAAACATCTATCAATGAAAAAAAAACCAATTTGACGATATAAAATAGAAGTAGATTATCTTGATAATCAAATAAATGTCAAATGAAGAGATGATGTTAAATCTAATCTTAGAAAAATGGAATACGTGTCATAAGAACAAGCAAAATGTGATATAAAAACAAATAAAAGACTATTTTCATATAAAAAGAGGAATGCTAATTAAACAAAATAAAAATATAATTTAGATATATAAAAAGAATAAAACATGACAAAAACTAAGACAAAGTATAAAGAAAGAGAGAATTGTGAAAATGAAAAGAAAAAAATTGGGAAAAATATTAATTATCAACTATCAGATTAAAATTAATGTTATTATCAATAATAATAAAATATAAGAATATTGAGATATAATTAGCGTTCAAAAAAATTACAAATTGTAATAAATTCTATTAATGTATTGTCAATATATTCTGTAACTATATTTGCATATGATAGATAATTCATTTTGATATTTGTAATTTTGAAATAATTTTTTTTAAATATTTATAATTATTTTAGATTTAATAAATAATATGAAATTTATTTAAAAATGGCATAACAATTTTAAACAATAGGATATATCACCATAGCGCTCACTCTGTTATAAATTTCATGAATGAAGCCATAGCTCTCCATTACCCAAATCCTATCTTCTTCTTCGTTAATTCTAATGGAAACCCACTCTTCCTCTTTCTCTACTGTACAATCTTACCTCCATGCCTTGGTCCATACTCCACATCGCTTTGCTCGCCGTGCACCCTCTGTTTCTTCCTCCTACGAAGAACTCAGCCAAGTCAAGGCCCGTTCCGGCTCCGACATGCGAAAAACCCTCCGTTGGTTCGATCTAGTTGGCCTCGGAATCGGAGGTATGGTCGGAGCCGGTGTGTTCGTCACCACCGGCAGAGTTACTCGCCTCTACGCCGGCCCTGCTGTTGTTATCTCTTACGCCATCGCTGGACTCTGCGCCCTCCTCTCCGCCTTCTGCTACACCGAGTTCGCCGTCCACATGCCCGTCGCCGGCGGTGCCTTCAGCTACCTCCGAATCACCTTCGGTGAGTTCGCCGCATTCTTGACCGGGGCCAACTTAATAACCGAATACGTCATGTCAAACGCCGCCGTTGCCAGAAGCCTCACCTCCTATTTAGCCGCCGCAATGGGTATCTCCACGGCGAAATGGAGATTTTTTCTCCCTTTTCTTCCCAACGGAGTCAATGAAATCGATCTCGTAGCTCCGGCCGTCGTACTAATCATCACGCTTATCATCTGTTACAGAACCAGAGAAAGCTCCATCGTCAACATGATTCTCACCGCATTACATATCCTCTTCATAGCTTTTGTTATATTAATGGGGTTTTGGAGAGGCGATTGGAACAATTTCACCCGCCCGGAGAATCCTCAGAATCCGTCCGGTTTCTTCCCCCACGGCGCCTCCGGTGTCTTCAATGGAGCTGCCATGGTTTACTTAAGTTACATCGGATACGACGCCGTATCGACGATGGCCGAGGAGGTTCGTAATCCCGTAAAGGATATTCCGATCGGGGTATCGGGCTCCGTCATCATTGTCACCATTCTTTACTGCCTCATGGCGGCTTCCATGTCCATGTTGCTACCTTACGATATGGTAAATAACAAATTTTCAGTATATTGATAAGAGTGTATATGTATTTTATGAGTCATCGAGTGTTGAATTATCGACGCAGATAGACGTGGAGGCTCCGTTTTCGGCGGCATTTCGAGGGGGGAAGGTGGGATGGGAATGGGTGGCGAGGGTGATAGGAGTGGGGGCGAGCTTCGGGATAGTGACGTCATTACTAGTGGCGATGCTGGGACAGGCTCGGTACATTTGCGTCATCGGACGGTCCAATGTGGTCCCGGCTTGGTTCGCCAGGGTCCATCCCAAAACATCGACTCCGGTCAACGCCTCCGTTTTTCTCGGTACGCATTTATATATCTTTCATGTCAATTATACGATTTATGTTCAGAATCCATTATCGATAATAAAATTTCATTTGCAGGGATTTTCACAGCTGCAATTTCCCTTTTCACCGATCTAAACGTCCTCCTAAACATGGTATCCATCGGTACTCTCTTCGTGTTCTACATGGTATCGAATGCCGTCGTCTACCGTCGTTATGTCGTGATCGGAATGACAAAGCCATGGCCAACATTATCCTTCCTATGCCTCTTCTCCCTCACATCCATCATCTTCACCCTGTTGTGGCATTTCACACCAGCAGGGAAGCCCAAACCCTTTGTGCTTGCTGCTTGTGCCGCAATCGCCGTATCCATACTACAAGTCTTCCATTGCATGGTACCACAAGCAATGAAGCCTGCATTTTGGGGTGTCCCTTTCATGCCTTGGCTACCATCCATGTCGATTTTCTTGAACGTTTTCTTGCTGGGATCACTAGACGGACCGTCGTACGCGCGATTTGGGGTCTTTTCAGGCCTGGCGGTGCTCGTATACGTCTTGTACAGTGTTCATGCTAGTTTTGATGCTGAAATGGAAAGTCAAAAGAACGTTGAAGAATCAGCAGAAAGTGAAGAGGGTAGTCAAAAGGTTTAATTTTTCTTGATTCCCAATAGAATTTTTGAAGCAACTTGTATAGCATAGTTGGTCTCTTTGGGGGGAAAAAAAAGGCAATATTAGATTCTGGTCCTTTGCAGTTGCAATATTGCGCATTGTCATGTCATCCACAAGTTTGACTTGCACTATCTATTTCGATGTAAATCCTTACTATAAATGGATATTTCATACCTAACAAACCAAGATTTAACCGAAAATTAAAGGATTTAGAATCTCTTAAGATGAAGATTTGAAGAGATATAGCGTCATTGTGCACAAAATGATAAAAGATGCCTTTGGTTAGCCAGTATTGGTAGGGAAATGTTTGATCCAAATCAAAAGTGATAATGTGAAATAGGTTTACCATGTTGGCTGTGAAGTGGACTTGTGACGATATATAACTTTTTTTCTTTTAAATAGGTCACAATATTGGGTTAAGAATAATCCCGTGTTTTCTCAATATAATTCTCAATCTCAAGATTTAAATTTTTAATTTTATTTAATAAATTTAGTATCTTCATTTTAATAGGTGAATTGATCATTAATATTTTAAGATGTAAATTTAATAAATTATTATTATTATTATTTCAAATGTATAAATTAATTATAAAATATAACAATCTTTCAAAATATGAATAATTAAAATTGTTATTAATTAATTAAATTTATCACTACGTCATATAACATAATTCAAATTATATATATCAAATCATATTACATCATTAAACATATATATTTATTTCTATAAAAGGAAACCACCCATTTTATTTGAAAGAAGTTTTTTTCCTAATTGGAAAATGATTAATTGTTATTACAAAGCAAACTTTAAAAAGTATACCATGCACGAATTAAGCGATTTTAGTGATTATGAATTTGTTGTTATTCTTTAATATTTCGAGTTCAAGCATCATGTATGTTAAAAGTATGATTAATTATGTCTTTATAACATGTTTTTTTTATGTCTTTATGACACATTTTATCAACCTTTATGACATGATTTCGATCGTTTAACCGTTATTTTTATTTATCATTTTTCTCATGGTTAGACTTGATATCATAACGACCAATCAAGATTATGTTTATTTGTTATCCTGTTAATCTTTTCTGTTTTGAACCCTCATATTAGATTTGAATACACATTTTACATTTTGTTCGATTTTGTTATCTTTCTATACAATTTGGGGACCTTTTGGGCTTGGGTTTGTTTGAGTATGGGGTCTGGGCCTGCCCTTTATCCTTTTGATTCTGGTTTTTGGTTGTTTCAGGGTCCCACTATGTATGTTTCATGTCTGTAATCGGTACTGTCTTTTTGTTCGGGAATGAAATCTTCACATTATCTTTGAAAGCCTTATTATGCAGGGAAGTAATAAAAAATTTAAACAAATAAAGATTTTGAAAATTTAATTAGAAAAATAAGTTATTAGTCATCTTTAGTTATTGAAGTTCCCCCCCCCCCGAAAGATGGTTATTGAATTTTTTGATAAAATTATCTTCCGATAATTTTAACGTTGAAGATCAAAATGAAAAATAAAATAAAATTAAAGATGAGTGTTTACACTTTACATGTTATATACAGATAATAATATAAACGCAAATATGACCAAATAATGACACCAACATACATGTAGAGACTTGGTTCCACTTATCGAATGAAAGAAAACATAAAAAAGTGATATCCAACCAATGTCAATTTTGTTATCGATCTAGGGTGATTGTAAAGTAATTTATGTTTTCAAGATTTTTGATAATTTAATCAAGAAAATTCAAATACAATCGTAGTATCTGATGCTCAAACAAAAGACCTTTAAAGATAACAATCATTCATTTAACCAACATTAATTTTGTTTCTTTGTATTATCACCAAATCCCATATTAGTTAGACAATTTGATTAAAACATATTTCATTAGTTAATACAATTTGTATTAACACTTGTATGCAACAAATAATGTTAAAATTTATTTTTAAACACTATTTTTTTCTTTTAAATTTTCACAAGATCAACCAATTCTTTTACGATCACCATCATTTTTTCCACTTTACGGGGCCTCCGGAGGCAAATTAAACTAAAATTTAGATCCATAATCCCATAATCTCTTACAAAATCTCCCTCAAATTTTTTCTCTTTTTACTCCCCCCCCCCCCCATGGATTGGATTAGTCCCTCTCTCTTTCCAAAAATGAAACAGTCGCCAAACTTCAAACCCCTCCATTGCCCGACTCACTGAAAAATCATTGTCACTCGAGCTAAAGGGTTCATATTCATATTTAAAGAGTGGAAAACGAAAATGGGTTATCTTAGAATTGCTTCAGTTTTGTTCCTATTGGTTGTAATGAGCATGGGAATTTGATTTTTCTTCTTCTTCTTTTTCTGGGTTTAGGAGATAAAGAGTTGGGTTATCTATTTATATAAAAATGATATCGGCGGGGACAAATTTGGTGATGACAGTAATAGGATTCGCAATGAGTGTTATGTTCATAGTGTTTATTTGTACTCGTTTGATTTGTGCTCGGATTCAGCTCATTGCTTCTCGGAGATCCTTCCCTGTTGCTTCAAGATCTGATCTTAGTATAGTAAGCTTTCTTTTCATTCTTTCTTTTCAATCCTTTAAATATCCAGAACTGGGTCCTATCCTGTCTGTGTGTTATTGTATTTTCTCGGTTTAGGATTCGCAATTAGAAATTGTATATTGTTTCATGTACCGTCAGGATCTAGCTGCTTTCAAGATTAGTTGATGTTTTCTTTGCTGATATGTCGTTTTTGTTATGGTGCAGCTTGAGCGGGGTGTACATGGACTTGAGCCTGTTGCTGTTGCCAATTTCCCCACCAAGAAATACAGTGATGGGTGCTTCTCAGCTTCGGATGATGTTCAGTATGTTTTCAGAACATTGGCTTAATTGCAGAAATCTCTGCCTGCATTTTAGGCTATACCATTTTAGATGATTTTGTTCCATCTATGTTCGGGTGTGAATATGTCTTTGACAGAGATATTATTGATGAATGAAATGAGATTTTGATAGTTAATCCTTTTTGATTGAGCGGAGAGTATATAATTGTTCACTAAATATGAAAGAACGAATGAATTAAAGAAGATGATAAGTAATCGTCTTGAGATGGTGATTTATATATAATAGTACTGGTGTCAGCGTTAAGGTAATAAGATTATTTGTAGGTTTATAGATTAAATAAATATGACCGTTAAATAGTAGATTTAACTGATCACATAAAAAACCTGTAGCTCTCTAGAAGATCTATAACTCCAAAGTACAAAGACTTCGAGAAATTCTGGGAGTCTCAGTAAGGGAAAGAATAACAGCCGATATGCTGCTTATGCAGGAAATTTGGAGGAAGTACAACAGATATGATCAAAGTTCCAAAGAAGTTATAGTTTCAGCTGTTTATCTGGTCTAACAAGCTTGTCTTTTGTTTATTTCTTATGTGTTAAGTGTCAGTAAAATTGCTTATAACCTCTTCAATTCAAGCAATGTCCAGCTGAATGTTGATTACTATTTGTGGCAGGTGCATCGTTTGCCTTTCCGAATACCATGCCGACGATATCTTGCGGATCCTGCCCTACTGTGGCCATTTCTTCCATGTAACCTGCATAGATACATGGTTGCAACAGCATTCCACATGTCCCGTTTGCCGGCTATCTCTGTGTGAATTTTTCGAGAAGAAGTGGTTGAAGCAACTGTTGTGGAGTTCAGCCGTTCGATCTCATTTCGACACACGACGGCATGGCTTTCCATTGAGAAATGACCGCCGTGGGATGGACCCGGATCTGGAAAACTATGGGGGCAATGCATCGGAAGCCAGGGAGACCGTATCCCCCACTACCGAGGATGATGAAGCCTCCATTAAAGACCCGAGAAACAAGCATGGAGAAAGCCCTTAAAACTTTTGAATCATCTTGGTTTTCAGCAATCTCTTAGTTTTAGTCGAGTTTAATGAATGTAGATTTTATATTGTTTGGACTCTCCATTTTTCTTTTAAATTATAAATAATTTAACTTTGCAGATAACATAAGAAAAGATTGGGAGAAAATCTCTTAATTATCTTCCTATTTAACCCAATTTTAAACAAGAATAATTGGATATAGACCTTATAAAGCGACTTTAGTTATAAAATAGAGTATTATTTAACAAAATATGTACGAATTATCAATGATTAAGAAAGATTATGAATAGATATTACCTTGAGATACTATGAGATAATTTAACAAAACTGAAAAAGTCTAGGTTTCTTTATCACTAACTGTTGCTGTCTATATGTTAATTTCACCAATAGTCTCCACAGGAGCATGAACCATCAATGAAATGATGGAATCTGTTATTATCCCTAACAATTATCTCTCTTCCTGTAATCCTTGAAATAAGCTTTATGGCTTCATGACAATCGCCACATACACGGAGGTTTTTAACAACTCGAATCACACCTGATGGAGCAATACTGATTAAACCAAATGCAACAGCCAGCTTCTCACTGTGGCAACCAAGGAAATGCTCTTTTTCTTCCTCTTCTATGTCGAACAACACATAATCCGTTGTAGGAACATAACCAGCTGCTTTAAGTTCCTTGGCCAATTCACCGAGTTTTTTATAGATCGTTTCGGACAAGGGGTGAGACTTGTCACCCACAAGGAATTCATTAACAACACCGTTTACTTCAATCCAACTGTATCCTGGCACTTTCTGGATTCCCCTCTCATTCATAACTGCCCTAATTTTTGCAGCAGCATCCCACTTATGACTTGCTGAATACATATTCGATAAGAGAACGTAATTTCCCGAATTCCATGGTTCTAAATTAATGAGTTTCTTTAGTACATATTCTGCTAAGTGAGTATCCTTGTGCAATCGGCATCCGCCCAACAAAGCCCCCCAAACAATAGAATTGGCCACCATTGGCATATTTTTAATCAGTTGATGAGCTTCATCTAATAAGCCTGCACGGGCTAGAAGATCCACCATGCATCCATAATGCTCAATGGTAGGAGTCAAAGAAAAGACATGGTTCATGCTGTGAAAATATCTGCGACCATCATCAACCAGACCAACATGTGTACATCCACAAAGCAAGCCCATAAAAGTGTTCTCATTAGGTAGAATTCCTGATTTTTCCATTTGGCCGAAAAGACCAAATGAGGGTTTAACATGTCCATTCATCGCGAGCCCGGATATTGCAGCATTCCAAACTACTACATCTTTCTCTTTCATCATCTTAAAGATTTCCCAAGCTTGAGTCATACTTCCGCATTTTGCATACATGTCAATTAATGCTGTACCTAGTACCGGGTTAGACCAAAACTCCTCTATGTCCATTAACTTACTAGCCCAGTCCCCTAGTTCTAGAGCTCCTAATCTGGCACAAGCGGAAAGAACGCCAACCATAGCGTAACGATCAGGTCCCAATTTCTCTTTCCGCATTTGGAAGAAGAGGTCTAGTGCTTCTTTCGGGTGTCCATTAGATGCATAGCCTTGAATCATAGTGCTCCATGTAACTATGTCCTTCTCAGGCATCCCATCGAAGGCGGAACGTGCTTTCTCCATATTTCCACACTTAGCATACATATCAACTAAGGCGGTAACCACAAACACATTTCTGCTCAATCCAAACTGCGTTACGCATCTGTCGATCCACTCTCCACTATTCAAATCCCCTAATTGAGCACAAGCTGACAGAACTCTAACAATGCTGAAACTATCAGGCCTCAAACCCATTTCTATTAACTTACTAAACAAATCAACCGCCTCCCTGTACCGTTCAACATCTATGTACCCACTGATCATGGCCGTCCAAGAAATAACATTTTTGTCAGGAATATCATCAAACACCTTAATTGCATAATCCAAATACCCGCATTTTGCATACAAATGAAGCAAACTCGTCTTAACAAAGACATCCCGATCGAATCCTAGCTTTACAACGAGGGCATGGATTCTTGTCCCTAACGGGAAATCCAAAAGCCTGGAACAAGCCTTGAGTACGAAAGGGAAAGTGAAGTTGTTGGGGCAGAAGCCTTGGGTGCGCATTGAAGCGTAAAACCGGGTAGCGTCGAGGAAACAATCGGTGGAAACGAGGCCCTGGATCGTTGTGTTCCAGAGATAAACATTGGGTTCTTTGGTTTGATCGAAGACGAGGCGGGTGTAGTTGGTTTGACCGAAGTTGAAGGAAGCTTTCAAGATGAGGTTTATGAGATAGTTGTCTTGGTGAAGGTCGAAGCGGAAAAGAGCGGCGTGAACTTGCTTGAGGCGTTTGATGGAGGTAAGGCCTTCGAGGATGCAATTCTTGATTTCAGTAAATTTTGAAAACGATGAAGTTGCTGCTGCTGGGACGAGGTTCGTAAACATGGCCACTGCCATGGGTGTCTACAGCTTTGTCACACTGAATCTTACAAGCTCACGTCTAGTTAAAATGTTAAAAGAAAGTTTCAATCATAAAAGTCCATTTATTATTAATGAGAGTAAATTTTTTGGTACATTATCGTTAATAATTTAATATTATATTGACATATCATTATAAAATAATATCATATTATCATTGAATAAAATAAAAAAAATTATATCAATAGTTTTATTAATTTTTTAACTATCAATACTAAATTAAAATGTAAATTAAACATTAAATATAATTTATAAAAAAAGAAAATGTAGACATCAAAATAGAATAAAAATAATAATTTAAGTGTTAAACATGTAATTTATCCTATTAAAGATAAACAACATCATCGGTACGGAAGCTGGTCTAGTTAGTGTGGGAGCTGGTTCCATAAGCTAATTTTGCTTTAGTTCTTTTCTGGATTATTAAAAAAAAAACAAATTTGATATTATTTTTGTTTTTCATCATTAAACTATAAAAATATAATTATAACTAAAATTGTCGGATTTATTGTTTAATCAACTTTACTATTAAATCTAAAATAGTTGAATGATGTGATCCTTTTTTATTGACGCAGAAGGTAAATTTTTTTCTCTTCATTTTATCATATTTTTAGAAGAATCCACTAATGTTTTTTTCCATTTAAATTTATCACCGAAATCTTTTTTTTCAATGTTTCTTTAACCATTTTAATCGCCAATAAATTTATTTCACTATTTTTTTTTATCATTTTATCAATTTAAATTTTTTCAATATCTCTTAAAACTCGTGAAACTTTAACACAAAACTTGTCAGTTTTGAAAAATTTAGAGTCTCATCGGAATTGAGGGATTTAGAATCTCTATTAGTAAATTCCAATAGTATGAATCACCTGTCCTAAGAGAATGACAAAATATCTCAAAATTAGTGTATTTACCAAAAGAAAGCTTAAGCATTAACTTGATTTTTATCGATTTTGAAAGAGATTTAAAGAAAATCAACCTAATAAAAATAAATAAGAGGAAACAATAAATGTTTTAGCGCCAGATATGTCACAAATAACGACCAACAATATTAAATAATTAAAGGCCTTAAAGATCCTTTTTATGAACGTCATGAGGATTAAGGTTATCTTGGAAAGTTTATTGTGATGTTCTTTACGAAATTATTTAGCCGAGACGATAATGCTGAACTAAATTACGACATCTTATGTAGGTTTCAAAGTATTTCAACATAGGAGAAGGATTGTTTGGTGGAGATGGCGTTGGATGAGAAGGTGTGTGATGTTGCCTTTGAAACGCAACCTTTTTAAGGCGCATGTAACATTTATTCATTAAAATATTCATGCGAAGCATTAGCAGTGTGTTTAAATTGATTATATTAAATGATGGTTTAAAGTGAAAATTGATAAGTGAAATTAAAAGTTCGAGGACCAATTTGACAATGAACCAAAAAGATGGATGTTACATGACAAATAATCCAATGATGTATATAGTGAATTTTGATGGAATATTAAAGGTTTAGGTGTCATGTTCTTATGCTACAGTAGATTCTAGTAATTGATGATAAATATATGTTCTTTCTTAATATTGGAAATACATGTTTAATTTGGAAAACATCAAGCCATTCATTTTTTTTTTGTCTTCAGACCGATTGGGAAGAGAAACTCTTACCTTCGATCATTCTTCTCCATCAAACCTCCTTGGTAGCCATTGATGAATGCTTATATGAATTAATGAGGTAAACTTCAAAATTCTCTAAATTTCCTCGAGTGCCTATGAATTCAAGCTTAGTTTTATAAACTCTAGGTGAAATATTTTTAGTTAGTGTTATTCATTCTAAGTTCAAGGGTTGCCAAGAACCCTTCAACCCATAAATGAAAGATTAAGGTTTATACATGTAGAGACAGATGTAAAAATTTATGTCGAGGGCGCGAACTTAAGAAGTTATATTAAAAATTTAAGAGTGCAAAGTTATAAAATTTTAAGAGGTGTGAAATTAGATAATAAATAAAAAAAATACAATAAAAAAATCTAAAATATATGAGAATTTGAAATTTTTAAGAGATGCGATTGCACCATAATACCCCACTGTTCGTCTCTGTATACATGTTAGGTATTAATTTTTATTTTGGCATATTAATATGTCAGTACTTTGTGTTCGTGTATTTTAAAAAACAAGGTGAAATGAGAACTTTAAAGGAAAAAGAAAACTAAACTAATCAAGTAATTCATCAATTTGAAGAATATTGTAAGCTCGAATTAGGTGATTGTAAACAAAATCGAGTTTATATGTGTGTTTTTTTTTTATGATTTTGCTTTGTGTAGAAAAATTGTGTAAAATACCTAATTTGTGATTTTGACTTTAAAATGAGCACTTGATTAGTATGTTGATTTTTTTAAAAATTAATGTAGAGGGATTACGACGCTTGAATACGAGATCTTTAAATATAACAATAATCTCGTTAACCACTAACATAACTTAGTTCGTGCAATTAATATTTTAATTAAAAATGCATGTATATGTGTGTTTTAATATAATATAATATAGAACCTAATGCTATGATAAAATTTAACATGTTATCATATGTTTTTATTGTACAATATTGATATCATTGTCAAAACGTGTTAATTATAATATTCGAGAAGTGAAAATGAATTAAATGTATTATTCAATATTAATAATCATAAATAAATTTAATATATTTTTTTAATGGAAAAGTAAAAATTAAATATATATATATATATGAAGGAAAATTCATTTATATTAGTATAAAACTAAATGGAAGCGTAATTTTATATGATATTTCATGGTATAAAAGAATTAGAAACCCTATCCCTTGGTTTTCTTTTTAATTATTCTCCACCATAATAAAAATAATAATAAAAAGGAACAATAAATTTATTATATAAATAAAAGTAATAATTGGATAAATGGCATCTTTTCCTTCCTCTCCCACTCTCCCCGTTCCCCCAAATCTCCAAACCCTAACCCTACCCCTATCAACCCACAATTTCTCATGAAATTCGCCCACCCTACTTTCCCTCTCCCCTCTGTAGATTCTTCTCTCCACGAACCCTAGCTTCGATTCTCTTTTTCCTTTCAATTGGTGGTATATAGAGCCCTCAAGAAGGAAACCCCGTCATTCGTTCCACCATGGAAGGCTCTGTGGTGGAGGATCTTGGCGCGCCGGAGTCGTGGGAGGTCGCCGATTTGGACGCTTCAATGAGCCGATTGATGCTTTCTTCGAACAAGGAATCTAAGCCCGAATTCCCCGATTCTACTTATTCAGCTTCGGCTTCGGCTTCTGGGTCGTCGGATGAGAAGGTGGTTTCGGAGGATGCCATCAACCAGGTTGATCAGTTCCTCCGCGAGGCAATCCAAAACCCCCGCGAGCGCCTCTCCAGTAAGTCTCCTTCCTTGCCTGTTTCGCAGATAATTCATTAGGGTTTCTGGATTTAGGGATTGGTTTTTGCATATTCCTTTGTTATTTTCTCTCCCTACGTCTGATCCAGTGTATTTCTTACCTGGACCTTATCTTATTAGTTGTCTAAACACATTTGAATAAAAAATAGGAATGAAAATGATTGTATTTTTCTGGGTAACTAATCATGTTTTTGGTGCATGCTTATATGGTGTTTAATAATTAATATCCTAGATTGAAATATTTTAATCCACGTATATTTTTCATGTTCGATTACTCAGGAGTAAACAACTTTGCAATGGTGCATTTGATATGCCAACATTGCCGATGACCTTTTCATAACTCGTTATGTTCCAATGACTAGAATGAATATGTTGAACTTAGTCTGGCTTTGGTGAGAAGTTTTTATTAGATATCATAAAGGTATCCTTGGAACTTAGAAGATTCTTGGCTACTTCATAATAGCATAAATAGATTGACTATCTTTTAAAAGTTGGCCATTTAAGAATGCTTGTGGAAGATATAAATAAAGTATGCATTGGTGGAACAAGTTGAAAGTACATCATAGATAAAATTGAATCATCATATTCCGGCATTTTTTCATTTGAAAACTATTGTATCTTCATAGAATGAGTTGTCTGCATCTTTCAATATACGAGCAAGAGTGTTCATTTATACTCATAAACTGAGATTTCTTAATTCCTTCTGTTCAGTCCTGAGGATGGAACAAGATGTTGAAAATTTTATCCGAGATCCTTCACAGCAGCAATTCGAGTTCCAACAGCTGCCTACATCATACTTAAGGTTGGCTGCACATCGCATCGCACAGCATTATTCATTGCAGTCGATGGTTTTATTAGACAATAATTTACCTGATGGTTCTGGCTCCAGAATCATTGTCTGTAAGACTTCTGAATGTAGGCTTCCCCGTATCCGCCTGTCAGACATCCCTGTAAATTTACCATCAGAAGACCCTGGTGTTCTTAAGGTGGCTATTAAACAGAGGCCACAGAAAAGGTCTCAGCTTGTGAACAATTCAAATTCAAATTCTTCGAAGTCAAACAGCTCCAAAAGTGTGGAAGAAAGAAAAGACGAGTATAACCGAGCTCGAGCAAGGATATTTAACTCTAATAGTTCTAGCAGTGGTCCTAGTGGAAAGCCAGCAAGTGAACCAAGGTTGCAGGATGTTTCCTACTATGGTTCCTCAGGGATGGCAAATATGGAAGAGGGATCTGTCTCAGTGATTTCTGATGTAAATTCTGATAGTGGTTTGATTGATTACTCTTCAAGTAGTAGTAGGTCAGCTAGAAGTAGGACAGAGAAGGAGCCAATTGGTAGGAGCAAACCACATAATAGGGTGGCCATCTTTCGGGATCATGAGACTGAGCGCAAGGACCCTGATTATAACAGGAATTATGATAGGTATGTGCCACTTTTTTTAATTTTTTCCCCTCAGGGTATTTCATTTTCTGATTCATTGCCAGGGATTTCAAACATAGCGGGGATTCATTATAGTTAATATTGAAAGTTATGTTGTAACTTGAAAGGGAGTAAATGTTTTATTCTCATAGAACAAAGTTTTAGAACAATTTCTCTTTACTTTTCAATTTTGTGTAAATGAGTCTTGAATGACTGCAATAGGTATCTCTGTTTTTATATTTTGTTTCCAGCAGGATTCATTGAAGTTAATACTGAAAGTTATGATTTAACCGTAAAGGGAGTAACTGTTTTACTCTCATAGAACAAGTCTTTTAAACAATTTCTCTTTACTTCTCAATTATGAGTGAATGAGTCATTCTTTTCATCTATAGATACCCATTCATATGTTTATAATGCCTGCTCTACATTGTTATTGTCGATCTTTATGCTTGTAAGATCTGATATTTTTTTTTTCCATTACCTTTCATAAATTCTCTTTATTTGTATCAATTGAACACACTTCCTTTTCATTATTATTTTCTTTTTTGATGTCATTCTATGTATGGCAAGTCTGTACTGGTATACTCATTTTCTTTGAAAAGTAATAAAAAAGTAATTTACCATTTAAATACAATTTGTACATCTATTAATTGGAATATTTAGAGATAATTGGTAGAAGGAAAACTTCATAATGGTGTAAGAGGAAAGGATCGATAGAGCTACTGATTTTTGGATCCTTATGAGTTTTCTAACAATAAAAAGATCTGCAGTTTCTGCTTTTTGTTGTCTTACGTGGTAGGAATATTTTGTTGGATTGTAATTTGTGTGTGTGGAGGGGGGGGGTGTTTTTTTAGATAAAAAGCTTAACTATATCAAAATGTATTCAAATCCGCTAGCTGCTAAGATCAATCCTGGATTGACCTATTTCGTTTGTATTTCATCTTTTATTTCATATTTATAGACTTGGGTATTGCAAAACCATTTTTTTCTTCGTGAGGCATAAGTTTATATAGTGTTTGTTTTTCTTCAGGTACATGCAAAGATTTGATCCTGGGTTTGGGTTCAATAGTGGACCATACACAATGCAGCCTATGTACACCCCTGCAATTAACTACAACACTGAATTCCCACAACTTGGATCTACTCATCGGCCTCAAATATCTACCGAACACCAACCTCATCCTGTCCCACAACAGACACCTGGGCCCTGGGTGCCTCCACCAACTCCTACAGGAATCAGTTATGGTCATCCTGAAACAATGATGCCACCTTTTAATCCAAATCATGTTGGTGCACGCTCTACATCTGCCATATATTTGCATTCTTCTCAGTATCCTCTTCAGCGTCCTGGAATGCCTTTCATCCACCCTCATGAGCATGTTCACCAGCCTTTTTCACAGGTAGAGCAACGTCACAACTCTCCTTCCTAATGTCATTAAATGCACTCATTTTTGTTCCTTCTTTTGATGCTTGCTTTTGGTCACTTTTTTTAGTTCAGACTTAATTTTAAGGGATTCCAACAACATTTTTGTTTTTCATCATCACTTGCACATGTGCAGTGAACAACAAAAGTTTACCTGCTATGTTTTAAATTGAATCTTGAAAATTTTGGTCTATATAGAACTACTATAACCATGTTTAAGTAGCCCTTCTTCCTTTCTCTTCATTTCCATTCTATCTTTCTTTATTTTTATTGTACTTTCGTTGTTTACTCGAAGGTGAAAGATAGACCAATCAACCCAATGGTAAAATATTAAATATGCCAGATGCTTTCATCTAATTTTTATGTATAGTGTTGGAAGGGATTTTCAGATACCTATCTTAAGGTTTCTTATTCTACTCTGGCTTGAAGACGCCTGCAAACCCCTGCATATAAACAGAATTTACATGTTGACCTTATAATTATTCCTGAATTCTTGATTGAAATCCCTTCATATTGATAAATTTTTAATTCAAAACCGTTTAAGTGACTTTTCAAAAAAAACCTTATATTTATAACAAAATTTACTGCGATATGTCTTGGGAAAAAAAGAGGTGGGGTGAACAGGGGAGGGATAGAAAGGAACAAAATTTGAAAATAATATTTGTCTCTTTAGTTTATAGCTCTGATGATGGTCTTGAATTATTGAATTTATACAGCCTCGTCAACATCAGCCTAATGCTAGTTTTGGATTAGCCCGGCCCCGGTGAGGGGCTTGGGCCATGCCTGCACCCTGCCAGGAAAACAATGATCTGAAACTGCTGAATCAAAGTTGTCACAAGTTATCTTAACTGGCAGGAGTGCAGGCATAGAAAGCCGGGGTGAGCTGGACATGATTTTGAAGGAAATATGCATTGATCCACAACCTCACACTCGGTTTATCTTGGAGCTTCTGTCTCTTTGGCAAAGGTAGGAGAAGTTCATTTGGTTTGGCATATTCATTGCCTTTGATGATGATGATGATGAAAAGTAGATGAGACTTCTTGGAGCTAAGAATGTAATCACTCATCAATGATGAAGGTATTGCTCACCTCATTCATGCCCCCTCTCCAAAGCAGACATAATATTCCGAACTGCATTTATATGTATCTGCTATGTCACACCTATTCGAGGAGCCAAGGGGAATTGAGAAGATACTTGCTTTTGAAGTGGGCAAATTGAATATGTCCTGTGAGGGCTTTCGACGAGCAGCATCTCCTGTTGCGTATGGGGTACAAGCTTTTGCCTTGAAATAATATGCATTTACTGGAAAAGTTGTTTGCTGCAATAATAAAGCGGACATCATTATGTACCATATAACTATTTGATCGGAGCATATTTTGAAACTTTTGATCACTATCAGCTAGTATCTTTAGTCTTGCTTGATTTTTACTTGCACACACTTGTTTTCTATATATTTTGTGCATAGGAAAACCACTAGTGTTTTCTGCTGGTGACTTTACACAATTAATGACCATTGTCTGTATTTTGATAGAATGCTACATGCTCTTTGAGACCACACAGTTTACCAGCAGCCAGCTCTTTGTTCAAGATTATCATCAAAATATTACTAGGCTTCGTTTCGCAAATATATGATTTTCTAAGATTAAACATCAAAATGTTGTTTTTTTATTTATAGAAATATCACATGGACAAAAGTATGTCGTTCTTTTGGAAGATGTATGTCGGTGAATGTCTTTTAAAAAAGGCTTAATGAAAAAAAAAAACGTTCAATCTATACTCTTTGTTCATTTTAAGCGTCTGAAATATTTTTTTTATCAATTTAAGTTCTTGAAGTTTTGACGTTGTTATTCTTTGAAGTTCTGATGTTATAACGGTCATTAAAAAGTTTATCATTTGACATGTGTTGTGTACAAAATTGAAAATTATATATTTTTAAGATAAATATTAAATTTTTCTAAAATCATAAAAAAGATCTTGAAATTCTAAATCCTTTATTCAAGTTTCTATCATGATCAATCGTTGGTCCAATCATGTCGGTCACAATTGTTGTCACTGTCGTCAAAAAAATCACATGCTCATCGTAGTCGCTATTGCTGACACCCTTGTTTGCCAAACAAGGCTTTGCGATAAAGCTGAGACCAGTGCGGTGTTTGATACAACTTGTATAGCAAGTATCCTTTCTTGAAACCCTTCTCTACTAGCTCGAAAAGGCCACATTGTACATGCTAGGAATGAATTGGTGGGTGTTCTGATGATGGAGTCAACATCCTCTAATCGTGTCCGACTCTTCTATCTGGTTTCCTCGAAGTTCCATCTGTTCTTTGTTCAACAAATCTAGTTCTTCTGGCAGCTCTTATCCTATCAAGGTTAAGATTTACCACTGTTTAGATAATGTGGAAGCAGTAGAGAATTGCATTAATTATTACTGCTCAGGTGGAGAATATAGGTACGTATCTGCAACGACAAACCAAATTTTAGGAGAACAATACGTGCATGGTCACAAAACACACAGGAAAGGGAAAGAGCCTTACTCGCTGCTTGGTTCATCAACATGGGTGATCTCATTTTCAAGCCACATCTTAATTTCACCTGAAAGGCATAGAGAACAACTACACCAATTTGATAGTCAACTTCAGGATTCATTCTTGTTTCTCTTTGGCCTACATCTCACTCATCTCATACTCCAAAACAAAAGCTGGTTTATGGAAAATGAGACCAACAAAAGGAGCTTAGATTGAAAGCATTTGCTAATTATATAAAAGAGTCGGTTGATTATTTTGTATAAACAGTGATAAATTAAGAATAAATTGAAAGCAAGAAAACGTCGGCGATGGTCGTAGTAGTGGTGACGATGGTGAAAGACATTGACAATACTGATGAGTGTGTGATTGTTCAACAGTGATGGTAAGGTCGATAGTGATCAGCAATGGCTGATGATGAGATTTGGAATTAAGTATTTAGGCTTTTGATTTTTTTTCCTTTTTGTAATTTTAGAGATTTGGAGTTTATTTTTAAAATGTATATATCATTCTAAGCTTTTTTTTTTAAGTGAACAAATTGTATAATTTGGGTACTGACAATAAGAAAAAAAAGGACCCTCAAAATACTTATTATTTTCGTGAACAAAGTACAGGATTTCCTTTTCGAAAGATAGAAAAAGATAAGATACAATAAGAAAAAAGGATACTCTTAGAGCATGTAGAGATGGGAATTACAACCTACACCGTATTATGAGAATAATTGAAATCTCCAAAAAATCACGAGCAAAACATAAATATTATCCTCAAAATACATATTGGATCAGAACCAAAATTTGAAAGAGTAGCTAAACTATTCTGTCCCCAAGGTAAAACACATAATTTCATAAAGTTCTAAACATGAAGATCAGAAATCCCTCAATAGAAGAAGCCTAGTACTTTTCCACCAACATTCTTTCTTCTAGCTTCTTCATGGTCCATTATTCCAGCAGATGTAGTCAGCACAATATACCCAAACTGCAATCAAAATACAAACATATACATCTCAACTCAATAAAAGGATCCATGTTTCTTCGGACAAACCGTAGCTAATGCATATGAAAACATTTCCACGAGGGAAAAAAATTCTTAATGAAGTTTCTAAGCTAACCTGTCTTGACGGAAGTAGCCTAGCAGTCCAACCCTCGATCTCCTTCACTCCTATGTCGAAACGAGGACTGATGACTCCACACTTGTTAAGCCTTCCGTTCAATTCGACCACTATTTTACCAGCTCTGTGATCATCGACATACTCAAACTCTCCAATATAACCGTGCTTCTGCATGACCAAAAGGAACTTGATGATCACTTTCGAGGAAGGCCTGATCATGACCTGGCGTTTGCCCCTCTTCTCAGCATTGTACATGCTCTTCAGTGCATCATTCAAAACGCTGACCCTCACCATCCTTCCAAATACAACTTACTGCTGCTTTTACATCAAATTAAGCATTAATTTAGAATTTTTTAAGAAACTCACTAAAGCAACTCAAACATATTATTCTTCTAACCAGTGTTGTGGAGGCATGTGCCTAAAATGTATGTGCAGTACACCTAAACACTCGGCAACTTGATTGAAGTTCTCCTTAATTTCTTTTGATTTTCAGTTTTCTTCATTAGATATACCACTACTAGTAAGAAAGGGATAATATCAAGCTCTATATTTATAAAATATTTGAGTATTCAAATATAGACAAGGACCATAAGGAAATAATTCATTTTGACAAATAAAAAGATTACATGTTTTAAAAATAAACTAGACAACACTTTTAGAGTTATATTACATGTCCCAAGTTATATCGTATATAGATACACACGCATACATAACGCATTTCTTCACCCCTGGGTCGGATCGAATACAAGGGTTTTAACACCCAGAGTGTGTCTTGCAGTTTTGACAACAGAGCTATTAAACAACCACTATTTTCCTATAGTAATAACAGCATTTCCAGTGATCAAATATCTTATTCAAATGAGGAATCGTTTCAATTCAATAAACCCAGCTTTCTAATCAGAGCTTACATAGTGACAAAACCAAGCAGAGGAAAAAAGTTTAAGGGAACCACAAGTTTTAACCCATAGGGGTGAAAAAAGTATATTCTTTGCTTCCCCATAAACCGAAACACAAGATCATTTCAGTGTCATATCTTGTCCATGGAATGAAACATCAACAACGTAACAAATACGAAGACAAATAAAACGAAACCTGATCAAATGTGTGAATAAATCTTGATATCCATATAATTCAATGAAAGAGAGAAGAAAAAGAGAACCTCAAAGGTCTTAAAGTTGAAGAAAGGAAAGGGAGTGAGTGTGCTTCTAACCTGAAAGCAAAAGCCGGCGGCCGCGTTTGAAGAGTAGTAAAAGGAAAGACAAAATTACATGAAAGCTAGGTTTCGGCTTTAAACTTAAGTTTTTGGTTTTAGGGGCTTTGAAATTACTCAGAAATGGGCCTGTGGATACAAAGGCCCAAATGGATGCTTTGCAATTGTATAAAATCAACTCAATTAAAAAATATTTTTATATTTTTACATAATCTTAAATAAAATATTTGGTACATACACTAATTTTTAATATTTTTATATAACTATTATCTTGACTGATTAATTCAAATCAAATATTCTATAAATATATTATAAGAATGACTCTTCCGGCCTAATTTGTTTCATTTATAATTCAAAATTTCAATATATGACTTTACTTAAAAATGTTGAGGTCTCATCCTTCTAATTCAATAAAAAAATTATACACAGAACAAGCGATCTCAATGATTAAAGAATTATTATTATTTCATGAAATCTTGAATTCAAGTATCATGTATATCGTAATATAAACGTTTAATGTCAAATAATTGATAGGTTAAAGAAATACTACCTTATACATACTCTATTTAATAAAATAAATTAAAAATCGTTAATTTTCAACGTTTAAATAATATGTGCTAAACTATGGCTCCTTATCATTTAAATTATCAAAAAATTACAAAAAAAACTAAATGATAATTGATAAATCAACATAACAACATTTTAATCATTAATATTTACATATTTTAATTTTATCTTAATTCTAGAAAATTAACATGCAAAATTTCAATATTATATCAATTTAATCTCTATTAATCCATTCTCTTCTCATTCCCCAAACCATACCATACCATACCCCTTCAACTTCAACAAAGAGCCCATTATTTCCTGTAATTCTCCCTTTTTTTCATATTTCTCCACCAAATATCTGGCAAAAACAATTTTGGTACGACATCAAGTTACATAATAATACACAATGTACATTTAAATTAAATTAAAAACCTATACATTATTACACTACTCTCCCACTCTTATCCAAACTTGTTCTACTAGCTTACTACCGGCACCTCATCAACCAAAAAGTGGGCCACTGAATCTTCCGACGATTCGGTAAGACTAGCAGCTTCAGCAATTCTGAGTGCCATCATAGCTTTGTATGTAGCCATATCGGCATTTTGCATTAGCAACTGAGTATGTTGGCGTCTCATGATAGCTGTTTCGATAGATCTCGTTGCTGCGGCTCTAGCTTCTTCCACCTTAACCATCACATCCTCTTCTACCAATGCAACGTGTTCAGCGACCATGGCTGCAGGTATCACAAATAATAGTGTCTCAGCAACAAATCTGAAACAAAGTCTTATCAACACATACACACTAGGAAATTTATATCATGAAATCATTGATGACATGGAAAACCATATATACACATCAAAATCAGACCAAAACTTGTATGGTACAGCATGACTGCTATAGTGGAGAGCATAGTTTACCTTGCAACAAACTCGGTTGCTTGCCTCTTGCATGGCTAGCTTGACGCTTAAATGACCTCCTTTTACGTAGGAAGGGCTGCGGAACTACTGGAGCCTTCTTGACCTGATGACCCTGTTAAAATCAAACAATAGTTGTAGTCATATATCTACAGCAGTCGAGCATATACAATGCTTATAACTCTACATGCACACCAGACACCAGAAAGAAGAGCAAGGAGACTGAACTGCAACTGCAACTGCAACTGCAGAAGGGATGAAAGTTTCAAATTTCAAGACATTCCTGGGAACAAAAAGGGATATACTAGTCGTAAAGGAAAGTTCAGAGCAAGAACATATCGAGTGCCTCAATTGCGAAACAGAAGCACAATTTCACAACTTGACCACACACAACCTGTTATCTTTTTCCCTCTAAATTCTTAAAAATGTTAATGTTGTATCACATTGCTCAGGATGTGTAATTTATAGCAAGCAACTCATGCAACCCTATAGTAAAAAAATCAGTTGACCCATAAATACAATTGTATGAACTCGTCAAACGATAAATGTAGGAACCAAAACAAGAAATAGGCCTATAAACCCTTCGGAAAAGGTATAGTTGTCCATGCTAAACTTCGCTAAAAGTTCCAACAAACAATTAAACTTACTTAGAACACGAGATAGAATTTTCTTCATTTACAAAGGATAGTATACAATAAAACGATGCAGAGTTCATTTTTCCAAATGAAAATACAATGATATTGACATGTATCTATAAATAAATTTTCCACAAAGTTTACCTGGAAAACTCTAAGCAGCGGCGATCGCCTTTGCCCCCTTTTTTTCGACCAGTAAGCATGAACAGCTTCAACCACTCCACTAATACCCAGATCAGCAGCAGCAGCAATCACATTTGAGTGATCATCTGTGCTACAAAAACATGCCTTCTCGAAAGCATCAACCATCAACTCAAAACAATCCTCTGAAATATGCTCGCAATGACCATTTCCTTGAAAAAACTCATTATTGAACTTCTTTAACCACTCCTCATCTTCTGAATCCATGTCATAGTTAGCAGCCCTATTTGCCAAGGTTCTCGATACCTCATCACCATCAACAGATATATATGAATCCGGTCTTCGAAATGGCACACTGGGTTTACCCTCATACCCTGATACTTCACGAACCCCAGGCACGGGGATCACTCTACAAGTTGAAGCAGGCACATTGCGCTCATTGCATTCCTTGTAAAGATCCTTGAAAAGGATCCAATCTTGCCGATTTGGAAACTCGAGCTTCCAGGTATCATCCCCGGTCCATATCATAGCACGTGTGAAGCGATTCAATGAGGGTGGCCTCATAATTTTATCTGCCTTCTGTGCATATTTGGTCTTATTGTCCTTTTTCACTATAAGAAGCCATTCTTTTGATGCAGAGTGCTCTAAAGTGACAATTGCTCCTTCTTCCCTGTAACATCTATCAGGTTCAATGATCAATACATTGGCAGAGCATTGCGATGAATCTGATTCCAACTCTACCTTCGGCATTAAATCTGATATCGAAGAGCTCGCATCACTCAAGTCCGATGTGGAACCGCGGATTGAACTCCTAAGCTTGTTTTTAGAAACTACGGAGGAAAACGGAATCCCATTTCTCCTGCTACTTATCAAATCAGACATCAGAGCTCCACTAGAAATAGGGTTTCTAGCTCTCATTTTCCTCAACGAACTCCTCCTCTTCTGAATACTGCTTCGAACTGTTAGTTTCGAAGCTCTAAAACATGGATGCGAAACGGCTTTGCTCCCGTGCTTATCGGTTTCAAGAACCGTAGAACCAATGGGACTCTTCGGCTCAGAATTTTCCGAAAGATGACACTTAGGTACCCCGTTTCTCTTCCTTTTTCTAGTATAAACAATCCCAAACATCTTATCTACAGTGCCGCCATTGTTTTCGGCTTCAGCTTTCACTTTCCTGGACCGTTTCTTTGGATTTACTTCGTGGCCCAGTCTTTTGGGTTTCTCATTTACGTCTGCAGGAGACTTACGTACTTCATTCTTTGGGGTCTTTTTCACCGAGTTGTTGAATTCAACACCGTCGTTGAAGCGCCTCTTCGGCTTTACTTCGCCGGAATCAGGTCGGAGTTGCCTCCCGGAACGAAGAACCCGGGCCTCCGAGCTCTTCATACTGCAAACACGTGTGCTCCGTTTCATCCCCACCGAAGGCATCGCCGCCCGGAGAAAAACACTGCTCACACGCTCTTCCTATCCCGAACCCAACGAGTTGACTCAGTAACCGACTAGACTCGGACGAGTCAAAAAGGAAAAAGAAAAAACCAACCCCGAAAAGCCCCACTCAACCAACCACCTCGTGAAATACAACAGAACGTTAACAATTAGACAGCCAACGGATGACCCTCCATCTAAGAAACAGATCCATACTCAAAAACACAAATCTGCCACTCGGGAAAAGTAGGAGTAACCCAGACCGTTTTGACTCAGCTACACGATTTTTTTTTAAAATTTACGTTTTGCTTACGAAAGAAGAAAACTAGTAAAGATAACTACAGCAGAGTGAATAGTACACAAGGACAGGGAAAAGTAAGACAACATTTCACAAGCAAAGATCGTTCGACTCCAACTCAAAATTAAAATTACATCCACAAAATACTTACAAAACACACACAAAGATCTTGTTTCTTTACAGAGATCGAGAGGGAAAATCTTTAGAAAATAAGATGAGTTTCTCTCTAGAAATTGAAGAGAGAGAAAACAGGGTTATGGAGTTTCACGTAAATCTTGTTTTTTTGGGAGGGAGGGAGAAATGGAGGCTAGGGTTTATGGTGATGTGATAAAAAAACCACTGAGTGAGAAAATGTAGAAAGGGGGGAAATATAATTGGAAAAGAGAAATCGACTTGCCGATTGATGGAATCCGTTGATCTTATGGAACGGACGGTTGAGATCATTGGGTGGCTCCAATAACTGGGCCGTTTTTGCCCTCTAGTTTTAAGAGGGAGAAAGGGATATTTTTATATTCAGGTTGTGTGCCTGAAATTACTAAAATAACCTTCGGTGAGTATGGTATGGTCAAGGATGGTTATTATTCAGGGCAGACTCAAAATTTAAACCATTCACTTGTATTAATTGGACTCGAATTTAGAAAGTTTTGATTTGATTTAAAATTTAACTAAAATTTTAAAGTGAAATTTATATTTGACTCACTTAACTTGATTTGTTCTACATATATATTGTTAAGTAAATACAAATAAAATTAAAAATATAATATAAAAAATAAAATTATTATAATTATATCTAAATATATAAAATAAAATTATAATATTATTTTAGATTAATTGATTCGATTAAATGAAGGCAAGTTCGATCAAAATATCCATCTCTAATAGTGGAAATGTGTTTTTGAGGGTAAATTAGGAAGTTACAAAGGGGAATGTGGAGCAGTAAAAACTGACTACAAAGATCTACCGTTAATGAGACACAAAGATGATTTTTAATATAGCCCACGCCTTTGACTTCTTTATTTGTATTATAGTTAAAGGGTAAAGTATATAAATAATTTTATTGAATATTTTATTATTAAAAATTATAAAATAATTTTAAATTATAAAATATTAATTTATTAAGTCTTTTAATTATTAAAAGTTATAAGATAATTGTTTGACTACTCAACTAATATGAATTGGGTACTAAAAAGACAAGGATAATATTTTAAACTCAATTTACTTCATTTACAAACATTAAAATTTGATTTCTCGACTTACTTAAAGTATTTAGTATTTCATCCCATTAAATCAACTTAATTAAAAAAAAGATAATATTTTAATTTGTGCACAATCAATTTAGAATCGGAGAACTTCAAAACCAAAGGAAGATAATATTTTAAGCCCGAGTTAACTTTCTATTTCTATTTGATGACCAGTCCATTCAATTACAAAGACAAACAATATAAACTGAGATTCTTTAAATAAAACAACGTACCTTAGTTAAAAGCAGAGAATTATCATAATCCAATTCAGTACCATCACAAGCACCCAAGAGCTTATCATATATACATTCAACAAATCACATGCCAGTTCTAAAATGCTATAAGCATATAGATCAAGTAAAAGCAACTGTGGACATTTTAAGCCGCGGAAACTGCTTCGGCCGGAGCTTCCCAGAATGTGGTCTTCTTTCCGGTCTTCGACACAGTTTGCAAAACCGCATCAGGCTGGACGTTGCCCTTCACGGTCACTTTCTGCTCCTTCAAATCTACTTCATATGATTCCACACCTGAATAGATTTATGGCAAAATATATGATGAACATGAGTGATTATTATTCTAATTCTTCATCAAATATAAAGATATCCATGCCTCACACACCTTAATGCAAATGTTTTTTTCCGTGTTGCCCTTACTAATTTTTTGTATTCAATTGCACCCTTAATGTTTTATTTTTGTCAAATACACTCGATTTTGATGGAAAACGCTAGCCTACTAATAATCAACCTATTTTGGTGATATGGCGTGACACGTCACATAGGGATATAAATGAATTGGTTTTGAACTAATAAGGTTGTGTTCGTTTATTTATTATTAAAGGTATTCTTTAACTTTCGCGAACATGCTGATGAAATTACACTACTAGTCTTTAAACACTTTTAGCTACACAGTTTGAGCACCAAAGTTTACCTTATATTCAATTTAGTCCCTACATGCATTAATATTTAAAATGTAAAAAAATAAAAGGAAAAGGAGAACTAGGTAAACGGGCCTATAAACAAGCTAATAAAAGTTTTCAAACAAGCTTATTCGTGAACATAAACGAACCAAATACACCTACGTTCATGTTAATTTGTATATAAAATAAACATAAATTTTTTGTTCATGCTCGTTTATTTAGCTTAATAAATGAACATAAACAAAAGTTATATGAATGGTTCACGAACAATTTATCGAACACTCTATTTATTTAACACCTAACGTCACATCACGGACTCGAACGTAATTCTGTGACATAAGATGTTGTAAACTTTGTAAACCTTAATTTCTGACAATTTTTAGCACCAAGGACTATATCATCGCAAATGACCAAAGTGTTAAAAGAATGCAAGAGTTACAACACACCTTGCATATTCCCCAGAACTCTCTTCACGGCTCCAACGCAGCCTTCACATGACATGCCGACCTTGAGAACAACAGTCTGCAATTCAACCGAATCGAAAAGCGGTTCATAACATTATCAAAAGAAACCTTACAAAAGCAGCGTTCAACAACCATGGACCACGGCAAAACAAGGCGAAAACATACGATTAGATGCTTTGGAAACCAGAAATAGATAACCGAAACCATTCAAAAGAACTTGGTGGTCCACCAACACAGGTAGAATTTCCAAATTCAATGAACAAAAATAGCAGATAATCTATATTACCACCATTTAGAGATTTGTATATGTTCTAAAATACCATAAATTTGATTTCAACGATGCCCAATTCATACAATATCTTTCATTATCCTTGAAACCCAGAAATGCCAAATCATTCAAATTTCCATATAATGCTCGGAATTTGAATCCTAAAATTAAACAGACCCAGAAACCAGAAAACAAGAACGAAAGCTTATCCATAGAATTCTCCCAACCAATAGAAAACCAAATACAAAACTCAAAAAATTTCAGCCAAAAGAAAAGAAAATTTTAATCAGAAAAAAGTAGAAGGAAAAAGAAAAGTTACCTGAGACATGGCTTTAGATTTGGAAATTCAAAGAGGGGGGAGAGAAAGGGAAAGATATTGTTGAGCGTGTGGGGTATGATGCAACGAATATCGAGAGGGTGGAATTTTATAGCAGAATCATTTGTGGGCGATGGTGGACTGGACCATTTCTTCCATCTTCAACGAAACTCGACGTTCAAACCCCGACCTTTTTCAAATGTTCTCTATTTTTCCATCTTTTTGTTCTAGATAAATTACATCAAATATTATTAATTTTGTTCATAAACTCATTTAATATTACTAAATTTTAATATTATCAATTATAATATTAAATTCTAATTTTACATTTAATTATGTCACTTATTATTAAATCAGTAAGAAAAATATGATATAATTAACGATTAGTGACGTGATCTATCACATTAAAATGATATTAGTTTGACGATGACTGTTATTATCTAAAATAACTCATTTTAGACACTAAACTTTGAAAGTGTATCGATTTTATTAATAATTTTTTTTCATGGTATGTTATGACCATCATTTATAGTCAATAATCATCTTCAATGATTTTTTAATTAATTGCATCAATATCCTTAAACTATAACTCTTATTTAAAAGTGGTATTTGAATTTTTGAATATTTCAATTTTATCTTCAAATTATGATTCTCGTTTTAAATTAGTCTTTAATCTTTTGAATATTTTAATTTCATCTTTGAATTATGACCCTCTTTCTAAATTGGTGTCCAAACATTTTTTTTTGTTACAGAAGGGGTATAAGTCATCTACACTATTTAGTGTTTTCCTCATTTACTCTAGCTGCTACCATTTCAGGGGGTTGTTCAAACTCATGTAATCCTTTCGGCCAAGACCATGCGAGTTTTGCGAGGCAGTCTGCAACATTGTTGCTCCCTCTCCCAATATGTCGTATTTGAACATTCCAGTCTTGCCTTAATAATCCATCGACATATTGTATGATGGTGAAGTTTCCTCTGTTGTCGGGGATTATTTGTATCATCTTTACAGCTTCGCAACTATCTGTTTCGGGCTGGACTTGTCTTTTGCCCAGTTTCCAAGACACTCTAAGGCCCTTTAGGATTCCCGACAATTCTGCTTCTAGTGGAGAGTAACTGCCAACTTTCTTGGTAAATCGCATCCACCAGCATCCTTCATGGTCCCGTATCACTCCACCGCGGTAGTCTCCCCGGTTCGGGTTTTGTGTGAACCATCCGTGTTAAGTTTAACTCAGGGTGCTTCAGGTTTTTGCCACTTATCGTTCCTTTTATCCTGTACTGGCGCCCTTAGTGTTGCGGTAATTGTTCTTGAATGAAGGATATCCTGAGTCATCCTCTACCCTTTTTCCAACACAGTTTCTCTATCTACCTTGTCAGGATTAAATATTTGGTTAGAGTCTCTCATAATTTCCGGTTCTGTTTCACCTTGTTCTTTGTCAAGAGGTTGTACGCCGTTTTGACCGAGAATAGGCGGTTGTCGGTTCCTCTCCACCCCGGTGTGTCAGCAGTGCTTTGGTCAATCGAGGGAGGGATGGTCTCCAAACTTTTTAAACATTCCAATATCATCCTAAATTCATCTAAATATGTAATTAGTTTCAATCATAATTTAATTTAAATATTTTTTTCAAACATATAATAATATAATTTGGTCTAACAATTTTATTAAAAATAAATGTGATTACTATATACGTATAATTTGAGATAAAATTAAAATGTTCAAAAAGTTTGAGGACTAATTTAGAATGAAAGTCATAATTTAAGGATAAAATTGACATGTTCAAAAGTTTGAGTACTAACGTAGAATGATAGTCGTATTTAGATATAAAATTGAAATATTTAAAAGTTTAGAGATCAATTTAAAATTTTAAGGACCAATTTACAGTAAGGGTCATACTTTGAGGAAATGTGATGTAATTAACTCTTATTTTTTCTTTCAATTGTATTATTAATATTTTCCGGCCATAATGGCGCACGATATGTGTTTTTTCTAGGCGCACATTAGTTGGCCTAACAGGTTCTGAGATTTCATCGATTTTTTCGAGTTTTATTAGTTTGAAGTGATTATTAGATGTTTTTAATTTGAAAAAAAATTAATTATTTAACAATAAATGCTCAAATATCTTTATAGACGATAAGTTAAAACTCAAAATTTCTAGAAATAATTATTTATGTCGCTTTATGCACAAACAAACCGACTATTTAAATACCCTTAAATGTTTGGTGTTGGTGTGCTATTATGCACAATACACTTAACATTTTGACAAATATATTTTGAAATCTGTTTTTATTAATCAGTTAAATTGTTCAAATTAATAATCAATTATCTCAACGATTCAATTAACATTACGATCCTTACAAGTTTTATATATTTATATGATTAAAAAAGACAATACACATTTATTATAAATTTCTCCAAGAACAAAAAAAATAAAAGGTTTACATCTATATAAAGATAACAACATATTCAGAAATATCTTTTAAGATAGATACATATATATTAATAATAAAAGAATTATATAAATATATATTAATAAAATTTTAAGATAAACACCGTTAATAAAATAAATAACAAATATAAAAAAATTAAATTTTAAAGTAGAAACATATTTACCCAAAGTAGAATCGTGAAGGCATGAAAGTTGGAAAAAAATGCAACGAGTTTTACACGCAATAACAACCTTAAAAGCGACACCCCCATTTTGAATGATTTTTTATTTAGTTTCTTTGCAATTTTTAGTTATATTTTATTTAAAATTATTTTTCCTGGTTAAATTGTTGTTACAAATTAAATGAATATTAATTTAATTAAGAAAATAATAAAGTCCTTTAATTCATTGATAGTAAATATTTTTACAATTGGTTTTTATTAATTGAACATTTTAAATATTTTTTTAGTTTTCTTTGAAATTCATACTTTATATAAATATATATTCATTGATCAAATAAGTTTTTGAATTTTGACATAAAATCTAGCATGTACGACTATTTTGCAATTACAAGTAAGGCATCTAAATTTTTTATGAAAACATTAAATTGAAAAGGACTTTTGATGGAGTTTTTCTTTTTGTTTTGACAAACTGATGGAATTTTTCTTATGTATTAGTCTTCCACTTTTGCACCAACTAATGCAAACGAGTTGTATAGGTCAGTCCACGTTGCAGACTTGCAGCCTTGACAATTGATATTTATATGAAAATACTTTTATTATAAATAAATAAAATAAACATAAATATTTTAAGTATTTCTATAAAAAATATAATATAAAAAGTGCTAAAGTTATACTTATTTTCTCATTTAAATGTTCAAATTTCGTTAATAATCTCTAGATTAAGTTGTTAAAAACCCTATGTTGACACATTTTATATTGCCTAGATTATGTATTCAAAACTCATTGGGAGTAAAATTTTACATTCCCATCCCCGTAGGAATTGTTCAAAAAAAGTTTAAATTTTTTTCGTATCAATGTAGGTGTCTAACATTACTAATATTATCATTTTAAGTGTATGGTCCCCGGCTATCGTTAAAGAAGTCTATTATATGATATGTGTTGCGTTATATTTTTTTAAAAAACTTAATAATGTTATTATTATTTTAAAAAAACCTTACAACTTTTTTAAAATTTTAGAAAAATCTATATATTCTTAAAATCTCTAACTCTAGTCAATTTACTCCCGTCGTCGATCGTCTCTGGCCACCCATGCATCACTACTCACTCATTGATCGATCATCACCCTTACCATCGTCTGAAATCCCTAAATTTTCAAATCCATACACTTAAATCCCTAAAATCCCAAATACTCAATCCTTAAACTCTGATCAATAATTGACGACCATTGACAAATCTTTTGGATGAAAACAACAGTCACGTTGACTCCACATTCATTTGTGTTGTTGTTGGTGGTCGATCGACGATGTTGGTCGTAGGAGGCGGTAATAAGGGATTTAATTTAAGAATTCTAAAACATTTGGGGTATTTTTGAGTCTTCGGAAAAAATTTCAATTTTTTAAATAATAATATTCTTGACATTTTTTTAAAAATAATTTTTTTAAAAATATATAAATGCAACATTTGTCACATAACAAACTTCTTTTTAATGTTCATTATGATTGATGCACTTAAAATGTTAATGTTTATAACATTAAGCATTTACATAGACCGAAAAAATTTAAACATCTAAATGAAAAAATATATATAATTTGAACATTTTTATTATTAAACCTTATAAAAATAAAAAAATTAAATAACCAAACTTATAAACGAGTTTAAAAACAAATGAATTCATTTGTTTCGTATCAATAAATGAACTAATAATTCTATATTTAAATTTATTTGTTTTTCATTAATCAACATATTTTTTACATTAATTTATTTCGTTTATTAAACAAATATACTCGCACAATATACAAATAATATATATCTAATTCGTCGAACGCTTTTTTTACAACTAATATAATTTATTTCTTTTATTTAGAGTTGTATTAATATTAAATAATATAATCATGATTTCCAATAATTTAAAATTTAATGACAGACTTTTCACCTACCACAAAAGTTAAATCAATCAGAAGCAATCAAGCTTAAATTGGCTCACTAAGATATCCTTATATTCTTTAGGATAAATTACCTTTCTGCTATTCAATTTTATCTTATTTTTATTTTGGTCATCTAAATTTAATTTTTTTAAATTTTATCACAAAAAATTTAAGTCATTTTTTTAGTAAATTTAATAAAAAAAATTCTGAAACTTTACTTTAAAAATTAAAATTTTAGATTCCTTTCTATTCATCAGTGTCGAAGTATTTTTTTTAATTTGAATAACAAAAAGATAAAAATGATTAATATATTTTAATTTTACTCTAATCAAATAATAAAAATTGTAAATCAGATCAAAATAACATCAAAAATTTTATTTATTTTTTATCAATTTTATTTCCAATTATAAAGACAAAAAGGAAAAATATGTCATGTTTTAAATTTTATTAAATTAATCTATATATCATGTGATAAGAGGTACTATGTAATAATTTCGCTAAAAATGAGAGATTTTTTCCAACGTTTTCCGTGAACGTGAAGACCGGAGCCTAATATTTTGTTCGACTTCACGTGCATTTGTTGGGTAATTTTGTTGTACAAAATCTTAATTTTGGGTAATAACATTTTTTTGTTGAACGTAACTTAAAATATTAAATTTTTTAATTATTTTTTGTTGTAATGAATAAGATAATATTTTCGATTCAACAAAAAATATTAAAAAAAAGTTAACATTTTAAGTTATGCTTAACCTAAAATATTATGTTTTTTATCACACTTTCGCTTAAGTTTATTTCCCTCATTTTTCATCCTTAAATTGTCATTTCTTAGACTTTCCAATGTTTGTTTAAATTTTGTAGAGGAAACTATCAAAATGACCAATTTCATTTAATAAGAGTTCACTTTTGGTCATTCAATTTAAAAGATAACATCATAGTCACTTATATTATTAATTTATATCATTTTAGTCGTTTATGTGATCAATTGATGATGTTTTTGTCATTGATACGTTTATACTTTCAGCTTGTTGTACCATATCATCATTTTATTGTAGAGTTTTTATCAGATCCACTTGATAGTTTATTTAAAGTTTAAGAATCAAATTAATATATTGTCTATATTTTAAGGGTCCAACTAGTATTTTATCTAAATACAATTTATTGTATGCCATAACTCATTTTATTAACATACCACATAATCAAACTAACGACGTTTAACGTCTCAATGGGCAAAACGTTATAAATCTATAGCGCAAATGACCAAAATATTATAAATCAATAACATAAGTGACAAAAGCATTATTTAAAAAAAATTCAATGACCAAAACTTTATAAATCGATAACAAAAATGACCAAAATATTATAAATCAATAATATAAGTGAGAAAAGCATTACTTTTTTTAAAAAATTCAATGACCAAAAGTAAACACCTATAAAATAAAAGTGATGATGTTGGCAGTTTACCCAATTTTTTAAAAAGATATCTCAGTATTTTACTTTGGTATCCTCATCTGAAATACCTGAATGACACTTAATTGGTGATATTTGTCATTTAATATTTTAATAAAAGGCCAAAACAAATAATAAATATTTTGCTAAATTAAGTTTTCCTGGTGGACCTCACAATCCGTCCTCTCTATCTCGCCGTCAAAAAGAAAAAAAAAGAAATCTTCTGGGAGAATTTGATTTACTATATCATATATAAAGCTCAAATGTATGAAGGTTAACATACTCTAAATCTATCGGCGTTGATTAGTTCATTAGCAATAGCTTGGTGATGCTTGGTGTATTGTGTGCACGACCTCCTAAGCCTTGGATCCTCAACACATTTTCTCTCATCTCCCACGGCGGCGGCTCAGCGGCTCACCATCACGATAATCGATTGTTGCATTGGCCCACGCATTTTGCCGGTTTATCGGCTGATAGTCGACGTTGTGGGCACCATTCTACGGCTTGCCGGCTTGGTGGCTTGGACAGGGGTGCGGCTTCTATATGGCATGCCATCTTGCCTTGCGGCGGAGACCCTGGAGGAGTAAAGAGTAGAGGGGATGTGTGGAAGAATGTGGAGAGGAGAGGGGAAGGCTCCTGGAACGTGGCTTGGGATGCCAGACCGGCTCGGTGGCTTCATCGACCTGACTCTGCTTGGCTTCTCTTTGGAGTTTGCGCCTGTCTCGCGCCCATGGTTGAATTCGTTGATGTTAATCTCGACGATGATGCCAAAACCGATGGAACTGAATTGAATTACCTGGGTGCTGACGATAAGAGTTGTTCATCTCCAGCGGCTGATAATTACAAAGTTACAGGCTAGTTGTAATAAATTAACGGTGATTGATTACTAAAAGATAGTTTCATTTTTTAATATTAAAACCCAAATTTGAATGTGTATTTAATCGACAATTGCAGGGATTTTAGCCGATGGTAGATGCCTTTTCAGAGCAATAGTTCATGGAGCTTGCTTGAGGTCCGGAGAAGAAGCACCTGATGAGAATCGTCAAAGAGAACTTGCTGATGATTTGAGAGCTCAGGTAATTTAGGAAAACTTAAAATATATAGATGTTTTAACTCTAAAAATAAGTTACTCAAATACCATTTAAATTACACACTAGCTTCCTTATATTCGAACAAAATCTCGGTACCAGCTCACTAAATTAGTTTAACAGGGTAGATTTCTTTTCTGATACATAGAAATGCTTCATAGTTTTGTTGTCCTTCCAAATGTTTAATCATGTAGGTTGTGAATGAGCTTTTGAAGAGGCGTGATGAAACCGAATGGTAAAACTTTGTCTTTGTTATATCAGAAAATCTATCCTTTTTCCAATTTTATTTTGACATAGTTTTTATTAAGCATAGTGTTCCATTCGATATCTGCAGGTTTATCGAGGGTGATTTTGATTCGTATGTAAGAGAAATTCAACATCCTTATGTTTGGGGTGGAGAACCTGAGTTGTTGATGGCTTCTCATGTTTTGAGGTGAGTTTTATGCTACTTCTTGTATTACTTCGTTAGATCCTGAAGAACATTCAATTTTGATTGGTCAATTGTTGTGCGATTACTGCAAGTTACATGCTTTTGTCTCCTGTAAACAAATGAAAAGTTTAGGAGAAATTCAATTGTGTGTTATGGCGCTTCATCATTCTTGCATACATTGTGAATAAACTGTTTAAACACTGTTCGATAGTTACTGCTTGAGCTTTTAGGTTGGTATATGTATTTTGCATGAAACTAAGCTGATGTCCTGTAGAATGTTATCAAAGCAAAACCATACTTGTTCTTTTCTTTTGCATTGCCCAAATTGTATTTGACAAACTATTTTCAATCATTGGGCTCAGGATTCCGATATCAGTGTACATGATTCACAGTAGTTCTGGTCGTTTGATAAACATAGCGAACTATGGTGAAGAATATCAGAAGGAAAAGGAGGCTCCTATTAACGTACTTTTTCATGGGTATGGTCACTACGACATATTGGAGTCATTGCCGGAATTAATTTCCACCAAATAAAGACAAGTTTGGTCTTGTTGTATTATTTTGCATAAAAATAAGCTGAGCTTATTTTCAATGGAGGAATTCCATTGAACCTTTGAAGAGTGTGATGTTTGATAGATTAGCTTGCACCTACCTCAGCTATTGCAATAAGGTCGATACAATTTTGTAACTTTCAAGGGTGTTTTATGATTTTTAGAACTCAATTGATGAAGCCTAAAATGAAACATAAATTAAACGATAGGTGTGGTTTTGAAAAAAAATTTAGGGTACTAGAACGGAGAATAAGTAATCATTTAGGTACTTAATATGTAGTTTACTCTAAAATTTAAGTAAAATTATTTTGAACTTTAATCTTGAAATTAAATTATTATATTATTTTTATTTGAAAATTTTTATTCTTTATTTTACTCTATAATTGTGAAAAAGTGAAAACTACTTTTAATCTCTCATATTTATAAATTTTTAAGAATCAAATTGATAAAAAAATAAATTTAAAAGATTAAAAAATATTTATCATTATTATGATATTAGGTCAAGAATAAGAAGAATAAAACTAAATAGAAATTAGAAAATGAGAAAAAAATTAAATAAAAATATATATATATTAACTCAGTTTTAAAAAAATATAATATAAGAATTAAAAATTTGAATTTAAAATATTACATGGTTTTCAACATGTTTTAATTTTAAAGTAATATAATTAACGTATTCAAATTTAAAATAACAAATCGAACAATCTCAATAGTGAAAGAATGTGTTCTTCTGTCTAGCGGTTTTGTTTTTGAAAAGTATATGTGCGTTGTAAAGAAATTAATTTTTTAAAACAAATACTACCTTATAATTACCAATGACAGATGCAAATGCTTACCCACCATTAAATCTAAATTCATTTTTATTAGTTATTTATATTAATAATAATGTCCACTTTGAAATTTTATTTTACTTTATAATCACCAATAGCGTATACAAATACATTTGAGGGTGGATACTGAAATTTGAATTTCTTATTGTTCACTCTAAAATTTTATTTATACCGATCTCATATATAAAAATTATATTGTTAATATATATACCCAACCTCATAATATTTCTGATTTTATCACCGATAATCATCTCAAATTATATAAAAAAACACGTAAAATATTTGAACCATTTCACAAATCATTGACATATTTTTTTTAATTAAGTATAAAATAATATATGTTTAAAGATAAATTTCAATCATTTAATATAATTATCGTATTTAAGCATTTTCCATGCGTGGTTTGGTGAATAAATATCAATTTTCAATACCTCTCACGTGATAAATTATGATTCTTTGGTTCCCAATTGTACTTCAAACACTTAATTATTTTCAAACCCTTGGGGCTGTAAATAACTTTGTTTTAATTGTACCTTTGAATTTCCAATTAGAATTGGTTTTCAGTACAAATTTGAAGGTTTATCTGATAATAAAAAAATATTTAAATTAAAATATTAAATTTAAAAAGAGAACTAAGAAAAAGTTAAATTCATTTATATAGAAATCCAATTTCAACCGAATAATTTAAATCAATTATTGGATTGAGGAAAATCAATTTGGAGTCGTTTGTATCCATTTTTATTCTTCTGCCTATAGATCAAAACCGATAACGTAAAGGACCGTCATTAATAATTTTTTGAATTGATGATTAAAATTGAACAAATCAAAAATATAAAGGATCACACATATAATTTGCTTTATGATTAATATAAATACTAATATATTTTTTCATGTCATGTTCTATATTGTCATGTTTATTCGAATTAAGAAAAAACTATAAAATAATGATCGGTAGATAAATTCAAGCAAATTAAACAAATGAGCAAATATAATAAAAATATTTTATGTATCTAAAATTGTAACAGAGAAAAAGTTTGTAGAAAGTCTTGCTTTATACCCAAGTTCTTCATTTTCTAGAGTCTATTCCTTTTTATTAAACACCAATTTACAATGATCAATCTTTTTTCCATAGAAAGTTTCATTAGATTTCATGTACCATTCTTATGAATGATAGAGAAAAACATACTATAAAATTAAAGAAAAACGTGTTATAAAGATAGAGTTATTAAGGATTAAAAAATAAAAAAAATAAAAAGGGTATAATATAATAAAATAAAAGACATATAATGAACTAGGAGAATTAGATATTAATATAAACCTTTAGATATTAAAGAAGAGAATTAGATATATAGTGACCTTTACGGTCCAATATGTATCTAATTCTTTCAAGACGTCGGCTCACTCACGTATATAGTGACCTTCACCGTCCATATACATGTTTTATGGACTATAAATAACAAAATATTTCACTGGTATTCTGTTTATATTTGTTCGAAATATACTTTTTTATTGAATGTTTTCTCAATCAGTTGATTATAAGATGGATATGGCCAATGGCAGTGAGGAGAATGTTAATGAGCTACTTGGAGCTCATGCTCACGTTTGGAACCACCTGTTCAGCTTCATACGCTCCATGCCTCTAAAATGTACAATTGATTTAGGCATCCCGGATATCATTCAAGACCATGGCAAGCCGATGACCGTCACTGAGTTGGTCGTGGCGCTACCGACGCTAGACCCTACGAAAGCATGCAACATCTACCGGCTCATGCGTGTTTTAGTTCACTTGGGCTTCTTTGCACGTCAAAAGCTAGGCGATGATCGCCCAGAAGATGGTTATGTTCTTACCAATGCTTTTCGTCTTCTTCTCAACGATCATCCCTTAAGTGTAACGCCTCTTTTTAAAGTTGTATTGGATCCTATTTTAATATGGAATTGGCATTTTCTAGGGGCCTGGTTCCAAAATAACGATCGTAGCTCATTTGAAACCGCACATGGGAAGACATTTTGGAACTATTGTAGACATGATCCGCATGTAAACGATTTGTTTAATGAAGCCATGTCTAGCGATTCTCGATTGGCTGATAGTGTTCTGATTGGCAGGTGTAAGGGGGTGTTTGAGGGGTTGAATTCCTTGGTGGATGTTGGGGGTGATACAGGAACACTGGGCAAAGCCATTTCTGATGCATTTCCACACTTGAAGTACACTGTGTTTGATCTTCCTCATGTTCTTACTGGCCTACAAGACAGTGGCAACTTGAGATATGTTGGAGGCGACATGTTTGAGGAAGTTCCAGCTGCAGATGCAGTTTTATTAAAGGTTTTTACTATTTTTTGTTGTTGATTATCTCTCTTTTTGTGCATTTTGCCTAATTGTTTATGCTTTCGAGTCGATTAAACAGTTGATATTGCACGACTGGAACCACGATGAGTGCTTGAAGATTCTGAAGCAATGTAATGAAGCAATTTCAAATCGAGGGGAGCAGAGAGGGAAGGTGATTATAATAGACATGGTGTTAAGAAGGTGAAAGATGAAGCATGGAACTTGATCGAGACACAACTTTTGGTCGACATGCAAATGATGGCGTTGGTGACAGGAAAGGAGAGACAAGAGGAGGAATGGGTTAAGTTGTTTGAGGATGCTGGTTTTAGTGATTATAAATTTATTTCTATACTTGGTATAAGATCTTTGATTGAGGTTTATCCCTAGGAGTCTTCATGTTACAATTAAATATAATATTTTCCTCTTTTTCTCGCATGCAAACAATATACATGTATGTATGTTTGCTTACAAATATCACTTTCAAAATACTAACACCGTTTTTAGTTGGCATGCCAGTACTATTTGCTTTAAATAAAGTTGTTATTTTACATATGTTCAGAAGTAAGGGACATGTAGATTTTATGTAAATTTATAAAATTTTAGAAGAAAAAGATCTTCAATAAAAAATATATATAAAAAATAATCTAAAATATATAATAATTTTAAATTTTTAAATGGACGATTGCTCCTACTCATTTCCTCAATCCATCCCCGAAAGAATTCATGAAGGTTGTAGAGTTAATTTCATTAAGGGAAGCACCTGTAGGATTGCAATTGAACTTGTTGCCAACTCATGCATAGTATTCATGGATGAGCCTACATATGGTCTTGATGCCAGAGCAACAACTATAGTGATAAGAATCGCTAGATATTGACTTAAATTTTATTAAAAATTAAATTAGATTTTGTTATAATTATATGGGTAAAATCATGAAAGATTACTTGATTATTAAGTTTATTTAGTAAAAAAGTTTATTGAATAAAGATTCTTAGTAATCAAGTATCTGACTCTATTTTAATAAAAAAAAATATTTAACTCTATAAATAAATAGTATTTCTTAATCTTTAGAAGTATAAAAGAACTATTTTTTGTAACTTTTGAAATATACATTGTATAAGTAGATTTTATAAAGATATTGAGAGAGTGATTTGACATATTTTAGATTTTCGAATATATATATTATATTTTAAAATACATATTGTATCTTGTATTTATATATTCATAATTTATAAATTTATAATAAAATTATTATTTTTCTTAGCTACGATTCATTGATCAGGTGGAAAGCTTTGACTCCTTCAATTGTTGTCCTACATGGACCTCTTCAACCTTAGTTTTATTAATTATAGGTTTTCCACTTGTATGAACCATCTACCTTTGCTTTTCCCTGGATTTTTGGCCTTGTGGTTGACTTCTCCATCAAAGCTCCAATATTTCTCGTTCGGGCTTCTTCAATTGACTAGTTACTCTAAATTTAAGAGCCCTCCCAGGTTGACTTTTGATTTGAAGTTCCATTATGTTCAATTTTAACGGTTTATTATGTAAATCGATAACTTAATTTTGTAATGTTTATTTTGATGTTACCTAAGTAAAGATATGTCACATTAAATATATCTTTTAAAAAACATAAAATCAAATTAAAAAGAGTATAAAAAAACTATACGAATTTTATTAAAAAAAAACACACACAATATGTGTGAAAGACACAATATCTAATCAATGTAAAATTTGTATATTACATCTTATATTATTTTTTTCTTCAAGTTCTTAAATAAAAATATTTTGTTACAATCATTTAGTAATTGGAGAGAAGTTTCACACATAAGTTCCATCACCTGAATAGTGTGTTTAGTTTCTATTCATCGTATAATTTTTTATGTATAGTAGCTGTTTGGAAAGATTAAAAAAACTTGATGCTTTCAATTACAAATCGGCAGATGCGTCATCGACCTGAAGAATTAATTTTCAATTACAAATAGAAAAAAAATATTCTACGCGTTAAGTCATTGTTGTTGAACATGAAAAATGAGATATCTTTATTTCAGAAGCGCAGATGAAAGTAGAGTCAAAAGGGATGATAAACCATCATTGAACATCTGGGAAAGCTGAGTTGAATGCCATGGAATTGTCGTTTATGCTCTTGAGGATCATATCCAGCATCTTGTTAATAGTATTGATTGGCGTGATCATACACATGTACGATTCACTTATATCGAAGCCCGAAAGACAACGGTCGAGGCTGCGAAAGCAAGGGATTCGTGGTCCTCGACCGTTGATCTTGGTCGGTAATCTGCTGCAGATGGGAAAGACACGGTCTAAGGATTCAAATATGGCACAGGGAGGGGAAAAAGTGATAACCCACGGTTCTTATGCTGCTCTTTTACCATTTCTTCATAAGTGGAGACAACAATATGGTATATAAATTCATAATTTCGACTTGAGTTTCGAACCGAGTGCTTAATTTTTAATTTCGGGTTCTGAGATGTTTATGGTGTATTTACAGGTCCAACATTTATGTTATCAATGGGGAACATACAGGTTTTGCATATGAGCCACCCGGATGTTGTGAAAGAAATAGCAGCATACACTTCCTTTGACTTGGGAAGGCCTACTTATCAGAAAAAAGGGCTTCATCCACTGTTTGGCGAGGGAATTGTGCACGCAAATGGTGCAGTATGGGCACATCAAAGGAAAGTGATGGCTCCTGAATTCTACATGGACAAAGTCAAGGTATGGTTTAAAAATTGACAATCTTGTATTCATTGTTGCTTCATCTGATTGTATAATGTGTAGGGTATGATGAAATCAATGGTCGAGTCTGCAGTTTCGGTAATAAACAAATGGAACCGCGAGATCGAATCGGCAGGGGGAGTGGCTGACGTAAAGATTGATGAGTATCTGAGGAACTTCTCCGGAGAAGTTATCTCAAAAGCATGTTTTGGAAGAAATTGTAAAGAGATAATCTTGAAGCTCAGAGCACTTCAAGAAATTGCATGCAAGAAAGTACTATTGCAAGGGATCCCCGGGCTAAGGTGAGACCCCTTCACTTTGCTTTTTCCTAGTCATTGATTCTAGGGATGGGTCGAGACGGAACTGGTGGGGATAGTCGCATCACGAAAATTTTAAATTCTCATATAATTTAAATATTTTTTTATTGATAATATGTTTTCGTTCTTTAAAATTTTATAAGTTTGACCATGTTTAATTTCTTAGATCACTGCCGACTAAAAGCAATAGAGAAATGTGGAGATTAGAGAAAGAAGTTCATGCTCTAATCTTGAAGGAAGTGAATGGGACAAAGGGATCAGAATCGGAGAAGAACATATTACAAATGATAGTTGAAGGAGCAAAGAGCAGTAATTTAAGCCAAGATGAAATAGACAACTTTGTTGTTGACAACATCAAGAACATATGCTTTCCGGCATACGAAAACGGTGCTGTACCGGCGATTTGGACCTTGATGTTATTAGCCTTGTATCCAGAGTGGCAAGACAAAGTCCGGGCCGAGGTTCTCAAAGTTTGCAACGGCCAATCGCCGAGCTCCAACATACTTAACAAGATGAAAACGGTAAGTACCCATTTGCACATTTCTTTCAGTATTCGTTCGACACATTTATAATCACTCGAAAAATATGGCAGCTAACAATGGTGATATACGAGTCATTGCGACTCTACCCTCTCGGTTCCATGCTTACTCGAGAAGCGTTTCGAGACACGAAATTCGGAGGCATTGATGTGCCGAAAGGGGTTAGTATTTGGGTGATGTTGATGGCACTTTACGAAGACCCCAACATTTGGGGACCGGATGTACACAAATTCAACCCCGAGAGGTTTGGCAACGGAATCAATGGTGCATGTAGGGTTCCACATGTGTACATACCCTTTGGCAGTGGACCTCGTTCGTGTTTGGGGCAGCATTTTGCCATGGCGGAACTCAAGATACTCATCAGTCTTTTAGTGTCCAACTTCACGTTCTCGCTCTCCCCAAAATATGTGCATTCTCCGGTTATGAATTTAATTATTGAGCCTGAATTTGGTGTAGATCTCTTAGTTAGCAAGGTTTGAGGCACTTGTTATATGGATTGATTTTCCTTATGATTTATTAATTGTGTTTTCTTTATATGATCACAAACCTTTAGTTTAATAAGGCTTAAAAAGATGCATTTGCATAGTCACACCTTTCACATAGTCCAATAAAATCTAAGGTAAAGTACATAAATGGTCCATAGATTATATGGTGTTGTTTTGTTGAGCTCATCGACTATTAAAAGTTATAAAATGGTTCTCCAGCTAAAGGGTATTGCTTTGTTGAGTCATTCAACTATTAAAAGTTTCAAAATGATCACTCAACTATTCATATGTTCCAAATTTTGTTCTTTTTCTTTAAAAAATTGATAGTCGTTTGAGTTTGACGCTAACCTGTTGAGTGGAATATGATATTCGTTTGAGATTCTGATATCAGATTTTATCATATCTCGATTAGCAGGATAACGTCAAACTCAAACGACCGTCAAATTTTTAACATAAAAATGATGAGTTTAGAACATATGAATAGTCGAGTGACCATTTTGTAACTTTTAATAGTCGGGAGACTCAACAAAGTAATACCCTATAGTCGATGACCATTTATGTACTTTACCCTCAACAAAGTAACATCCTATAGTGGAGGGACCATTTATGTACTTTACCCTCAACAAAGTAATATCCTATAGTCGAGGGACCATTTATGTACTTTACCCTAAAATCTATATCATCAATGATGGGCGTCTCATTACCCTATATTATTTTAAGGGTAAACTACGCATTTAGTATCCCAACTATTACTTTTGTTTCGTTTTAGTCAGTTAACTATTTTTGTTTTAGAAACATACATAATGTTATGTTTTTGTTTCATTTTGGTCCACCCATAGTTAAAAAAATTAACAGTGAGCTGGCGTGTCATCATAAGGTAATGCCACACCATCATTGGAAAAATTTAGAAAAATGTCACGTCATAACGACGGGTGACCAAAATGAAACCATAACGTAACGTTAGATATGATTTTGAAAAAGATAATAGTTGAGTGACTAAAACAGAATAAAAGTAATAGATGAGGTACTAAATGTGTAACATACCCTTATTTTAATTACTAATTTCTTTCTTAATCGATATCATTTTGATCGTTAATCTTATCTTTATTAACCATATTGTTATGTATAATCTTCAATCAAACTTTAAAAAATTATTCCATCTTTGATTCATATCATTTTTATCTTAATTTATGAAGTATGAGTGTATTATCTTTGTTTTTCAAGTAAGAAGAGTGTTCATTTAAAGTTCTGCCATCTTTTCCTTCCCTTAGTTTTGGAGGATTCATCAATCTCTTTAGAAGCTTAAACCATGAAAACAATAATTCAAAATGATATCTTTCATGTTAGAGTACAAAAACAAAGTTGAAAATGAATACGAAAATAAAGAAAGGATTGAAAAACTCTCCCTTTCATAAACTTTTGTTAATCTCATATTGAACCATTTTAAGGGTCATGATAAGGGAAAGAAGATGATTATCTTTTATGGATGGTGTAAATTTAGAAAAGTCACCATCTTGAAAACAATCTTTAGTTATCGTTTCGATGGGGAATGAAGCATGCCCGATCTTTACTGCTGATGGTTCGATGGTAGCGAGTACTTGTGGGATTTGGGATGAAATGCGGGTAGAGATCAAAGATCCTTGGCACCGATTGATTATGTTTCGGATACATATGCCTAAACATTCAATTATTGCTTGGCTTGCTCTTTTGAATCGTCTTGCTTCCAAAGGTTAAACTGTATGGGGATTATTGCTGATAATCCTTGTATATTGTGTGGTCTAGCTGCTGAGACTAGAGAGCATGTTCTTTTTTAATGTTTCTTGTCTATTGGAATTTGGAGAAGAGTCCTTAGTCTTCGTAGGTTGAGGAGAGTAGTGATGTCATGGACAATGGAGTTGGATCGGGTATGTTCCTGTTCAAAGAGTATGCCACATCGTAAAATTCGGGTTAATATTTTAGTTTTGATAAATCAGAATTTTTATTAGCTTCAATTATTTAATTTTAGAATAAATTTCTAAGTTTGTTTTATTTCAAGTGTTTTTTCTTATTATCTCATAAATATTATCTTATAATCTTAATTTGTTTCTTTTATATTATCTATTATATTATTTATTTTAATTCTAAAATATATTTCATAAATTATCTATTTTAGAATTGATTTTTAAATAGGACTTCTATCTTTATCTTTATTTTAGTTGAATTTGATCTTATTCATTTATAAAGTATTTTTTTTTTATTTCTTCCTAAACTCTATATATTGCCATGAAAGAAAGAGAACAAATTCATCTTTTCACTTATTATTTCGTTTCAAATTCAGTGACTATTAATTTAGTTAATTTTTCTAAGATCGTGTGGCGTCTCTCTACTAAACCTTCAACTCAAGATTCCGACCACAAAAGTCTTTGCTCATTAGTATGTTTACCTCTATACGATTTAAGGTGCATGTCTTACGTGCTACAACAGTTTTAATTCCGTTTGATAGTTTTTTTTGTTTGTAAAATCTGTAATAATTAAATTCTGATTGTTATCGTGGTGATGTATCTAAATCTCTATGTTTCTTTATCTGGTGCTAAATCTGTTCTGTAATAATTGTTTGATTGGTTGAAAATTGGTTTAAAGCATGACTGTTCTGTGATATTATTGTATTAAATTCAATTCGTATAAATATGTTATGTGACATATGTTATATATCGGCTTCAGAATTTATGTTATGCATTCAGACTTTGAAACTATGTAAATATTTTTACATTCGGATCGGATCAGAATTCAGATATGTTTATTTTGATATCATGACACATTAGTTTGGGATTGATAGAGGAAGTTCAATGTGTTCGCCCGACAGGGTGAATTTCACTTCGGATTCAGTTATCTCTACCTTTGTGACGGACTCCACTTCGGATGATGTGTTGTAGTTAGAGTAGTTCTGGGAAGCCTACTCTTCGGACAATGTGAGATGTATGGGTGCATTACATTCGCATATTTATTCGCACCATGAATATTATGACTCGGACTGTGATTATGTTTGTTGATTGTCTTTCTGAATAATTTGTTTATTCACACATATTGATCGCACTGATCTTTATAACTCACCACCTTTATTTCTCAATTATGTATAGTTTGGGGTATTCATGATTGAGTATCGAGTTTTGTTTGATACACATATTCCCTGGTAGTAGCTTTGGCTGCTTTCTTTGGATATAATACTAACGATTTATGAAAATAAATGCTAAGATAGGACAATGAGAAAATATTTCAAGTGTGTTGTTATTTATTTTTAATTTTCTTAATTTGGGAGAAATTTACAATATTCCTGGAAGATAGTCGAATGACATGACGTCTTATCGAAAGACGATAAGATAATACAATATTTTTCTTATAAAAATATAGAAGACGTTATGTAATTTCGATGTCTTCTTTAACGTACTATAAATAGAATTCTACTTAAAAAAATAAATTCCATCTACTAATATGTAGGAAAAATTTTCCCCACCTTACTAGTTGGTTGATTTTACCCAAGCTTTAGGAAAGAAGAACAAAAGCAGAGGTTGAAGGGAATGAACCAAATGCTCAACTTGTGTGGTGCATCATCTTTTCATAAATTGGGTTAATTACCTTCTCAGTCCTCCTACTTTGAGTTGGAGTTTTAAAACCCCTTTTCTATATCTAAATGAGTTGTATTTCTCATCCAATTAATTTAAACTCTTGGTCCAACAAGTCAAATGTGTTCAATAACCGAATTTATAAAATCTCGAGTGTTGACACGAGTATTAATTTCAAATTTTTGAGTAGTCACATAAACCACCTTTAGGTTTTGGGTAACAAATTCTTCAAGAGGAGGGATGTAACATCCTCAATACCGGGTTAGTGACCAAATTGTAAAATTTTAGAATTTGGTAATTAAAGTAGAATAGTTGAATAGTTCAATGATTTATTTGAGAATATTTTCTGAAAGTTGTTAGTAATTATCCAATGAATTAAAGAGCAAAATGGTCATTTGACAAGCAACAAGAAAGATATTTTCCCCCTTATATGAATGAATCATGTAGGGGGAAAAAGTTATCTTCTTATTCTTTCTTTCTTCTCTTCTCTTCACCGTGAACCCCAAAGGCAAAGATGAGTTTCTTTGTTTTTGATTTAAAGTTTGGGTTTTGATCAGTAGATGATAACTAAGCTTAAGGAAAGCTTAAGTTATCTTAAAATCAAAAGATAAAGGAGTTAGAGAAGATTAAAGATTTGGAATTCTTGAGTGAGATCTTGAAATAGAGTTGATAAGTTGAATTTGAAACTAAATTTGACTTGTCATCAACTTAACTAAGATATATGAAGTGATAGAATTGAATTTGGATTATATTGAAAATTGGGTATGATTATTGATTTCATATAAAAGATGGGATTTTGAGGTTTGAGATGTGATAAATGAGTAGAAATTGGTTTAAGTATGTATATTTGAGTTAAGAATATGAAAGGGAATGAAACATGAAGTGTTGAAGTTGGAAATAGTAAATTTTCGTGCATGAATAGTGATTTCTGGGCAAAATTTACAGATTTCTATAAGGGTACCGATACCCTAGGGAGAGGTACCGATATCCCCTAAAGGAAAAATGAAATTTTGGTTCATTAAACTAGATTAAGTTATTAACATCAAGTTATAAGGTTTAGGCTTCTGATAATTGTCTCGAAAATTATGTTTATGTAGATATTGAGCCTAAACAAGTTCTGGAACAATCAAAGAATTAGGATCGAATCAAAGCAAGACTAAGGTGAGTGCAAATTTAATTGTACTTATGTTATCGAACAAACATTGGTTTGCGATGAGCCAATGATGGAGTTACTATGGTAAAAAGTGACTCGTTAAATATTATTTGAATTTTGATTTATATGATGCTTATGTGGCATGAGTGTATGTGATATATATTATTACATATGTTACATGAATTGTATGAATACATGAGTAAATGGAAATGAGTATATGTAATATGTAATATGTAATAATGAATTACATGAATAAAGGAAAACATGACATAAGTTATTTGGCATTGATATATGAAATATATGTAAGTATGTACATGAATATATGTATAAGTTTATATGCTATGTGATTATATGCAACATGTGATATATGTTATATGATATGAAATGAATAAATGATAATGTCCATGTTATATGATACGAGAACTATAGGTATAGTTGGCATGCCAAGATTCGAGGGTCTACGCGGTCCTTCGGGACAACTCATATGTCCTTCGGGACATATTCACAGGTCCTTCGGGACAAAATTTCATATGCCACTCAGTGGGACTTATACGAGCTGTGGTGACAGCATTAGTGCGCAACCTCAATGTACTCTCATACCTTAAGTTCTTACATGTGTACATGGGCTAATAAAAAGATTAAACAAATATATTGAATGTGATAAGTACATGTGATTTGTTATATGAAATAAATTACAGGATTCATGTATTGGTTATATGAAAAGATATATGTTTTTAGTTATATGAACTATATTACATGAATTATATGATGTTAAGTGTATTTCTTTATGAAATGATATATGATGTGTATACATGATAAGTATATGATTATATGATAAAAGGTATTAATGATAATAATAGGATAATGATAAGAAAGAAGATAATCATATATGTACATGTGTGGATTTGATATATGAAATGTTTTATGGTTTATATTATATGTTTTATATGCCTCACTAAGTGAACGACTTAGTGTGTGATTGTTTCACACGTAGGTTTCGAGAAGAGGAAGATTGATAAAAGTTATGCAAGACAGATCAGTTTCTCATTTCCAAAGATCATATAAGAAAAGAATTGAATAATATGTATTTTGTAATACTGATATTGGTTGGCATGTATATAAAGATTTGACTCCGATATGTTCTAAATGGTTTGTAAAATCATATGATTGAGTTTTGTAATGTTTTAAATGTGTATATGTAAATGGTAAATTTTATACGGATGAAAACTTAGATTTTTATGAATTTATATGTATTTTACGAAATTACTATAGCAGTACTGTAGCAAGGTATCGGTACCTGCACCAGGGGTATCGATACCCCTGAAGCAATCTGGAAAAAATTAGCATTTGGCATTGTTTATGGTACTGTTCATTATTGTTCATGGTATTGTTCATACCATATAGTACTGTTCATAAATACGTTTTTGACTTGAATTTTTATACTGAAACATAAGTTAATAGAATATTGTTATATTTTCTTAAAATGAGTTCAAATGTTTTGATATTTTGTAAGAATATCGATTTTAAAAGTTAATGTGACATCTCGAACTCGTATCCGGGTCAGGTACGGGTTGGGGTGTTACAAGGGATCATACGGATTTTGTTGTTCAAGTCATTTTGAACAAACAATATGGATCTAGATGATTCCAGAAGACGGTGGATATTTAATCAAGCAACTATAAAACATAAAAGGAACTATAGATATTATGAGTTTGATCTTTGATGCTGATCGTCGGCAATTGGAGAAATCTGTCATTTACTTCACAATCCAAACCAAACGAGTAAATAATGCCTCATAAGTTGACCATTGGGTTAGAGTGAGAGTTACCCTATTGGCCGACTTATGTACATGCAAAGGTTGTTGAGGTGTGAGACTTAAAATGGTGTATAATATGCTTAAAATGATTATATGATAATTGAAAAATTAATATTTAAAATAAGTTACATTTAAATGTTGTTGAGGAAAAATTATGTATCTTAAAACACTTTTATCATACATGAGAAGTGTATCGGGTTTAGAATCAATTTTAATCGGGGTTGGAAATGCACTCTTATAATGTGAACACCGTGAAATATTGTGTTAAGGGGTTGTTACATCGGGATTGAAATGCGATTTTGAAGCATATTCACCGGGCTGCAAACAAAGTGGTTGATACATTAGTGAAGTTAGCTACAGCGAGGGGCGAAGTCCACATGGTTTTCAACACTCCGTCAATGGAAGTCGTCAACTTGGTGCAACAGGAAACTGCTGGCTGTGTATTGACAGCAGAGTTTTAATTTGTGTAACTTCTTCATCTTTATTTCATCAAAAAAATATTTTTAGCTCATTTTATATTTTCCCTCAGCATAATTCTATCCCTTATTGTTACAAAGATTAAATATTCGTTGAAGTTTAATTTTTACAATTAATGTTTGTGACTTTTCATTTCATAGGTTCGTCCACCAAATCTATTAATTCCATATAATATCTTTTTATTTGACCTTTCATCTCTTTAAAAAAAATTGACGGAAAATGTTTTTTAGATACTTTAAAACTTTCGCCTTCTAAATATTTAATTTTATGATAAAAAAGAAAATATTGAGTTCGATTTGTTTGTTGGAGTGATGTTGTTACCGCTTATCAATATCGGTTGTTGTTTCATGGGAGATAGACTCCTAACAAGCATTAAGATTAAGATAAATCTATTTAAAAGAAACTGTTTATATATGCTTGAACAAATTTTGCTAATAGTTCAATTCTGATTTAAATTATTATATACTTCCAAAGTCAATACTCTAGTATCATATCCTCCACTCAAGGTCTCTCGAAGATACTTTGTACAAGTAACTCAAAGTGTTTGAAAATTTCACATTCTATGAACAACTTTCATTTTTTTAAATTTTCTTTATGATTATGTTATTTACATCTAATTATTATTGAGTTATTTTAAAGTTCACCGACACTTAAATCAAACGAAAACATAAACCTAAGGAACCGGTAATGATTGGACCAAACAAAGATAAAACTAAACCATGCCTTTAAATCCAACTCTATAACAACCAAGTAGAACCCTTTGTTCTTTGCAAAGTGGAAGGGTACTGATCGTTTGGCAGAAAATAGAAAAGAAGACATATTGTTGTTAACCTTATATATATATATATATAATCAATATAGAATGATTATAAGATAGTATATATTAGAAATATTCTCAATCATTTAATAATTAATGCTCAAATATTTCTTTATAAACATCATATTCAAACCTAAGATATTTAAAAAAAATCATTATTTTAACCACTAAAATTACTTAATTTATGTTAACCTTTTATATATTATACATCCTTCTTTGTCAAGGACATAACTATATTAATATACTGACATTTATGGGCTTCCATGTAGTCAAGCACACCATCTTCAAACCTGCAGAACAGATCGTCCATGATGTCTTGCCCAAAGTGACTGGCTAGAATGGGTTCACCTACCGCTCTAATATCTCTAGCAATTATTGCTGATCTTGCTGTCTTGTCGACCACGTGGTCGTTGTCGGCTTTCTTTATGTAATCGTCCCTATCTATGCTGAAAGACTCCAGTTTTTGCAACTTGAAAGACCCTTCGGCTTCTATCACGTTTTTCACTTCTTTTACACTCGCTGCATAATATGGCAAATCGAATGATACCAATTTTTCATCCTCGATCAAACCCTGTGCGTACAATTATTATTGGACTAAAATCAATATGGGCAAAATACAACTATCTAATCGTTGTTTTGATGTGACAAACTCATTTGATCTGATAAATATTACAAAAAGGGCCAAGTTAATAAAATTTTTTAAATATAAAAGTTTAAATTTATTGAATTATTTTAAATTAAACCTAAATTAATAGAGTGTATAAGTGTTAGAGACAATAATTATTTTTATATCAAATCACATTAGAGATATGTTTCAATTTTAGCGACTAATAATCTACTAATAATAAAATTTTCATTGAATTATTAAATTTATTTTTTCAGAAAAATAACCCGTTTATTATCAAATATATGATAAATGACTTGTGATATATTATACCAATTATTCTATTAGGTTATTGTCTTTTCCTACTTTTGTTTAATAATAATGATGTTGCTGTCAATATAAAATACTTATATAAATCTAGGTTGTTCATGGTATAATATATACTTCTTATGATTCACATGTCTTAAATATATGTCATATAAGATTTTTTTTAATAATTTATTTTTAAGAAGAGAGGAAAAGAAAATTTTAATTTTAATAAATATTGAACTCGCGATTTAGGAAAGAGGAGAAGTGTAACTGTGAGCTTTTAACTCTATGTTAAAAGGTAGACACATATATTTACAACAAAAATATTTTGTATATGGATGTACATAGATAAAATCTTAAGGTGAACACAACCAATAAAATGAATAATTAACAAAAACAAAAAAGAAATCATATTTTAAGGTGGACACTTATTTACTCTATCCATATAAATCCATCACTGATTAATATAGACTCAATTAAAGCATTTTAAAAAAATAATAGAATTTAAGCCATAATTCCTAATTTAATTATAATATCTCAGCGACCATTTCATTTAGTTTCAATCCAACAAATTCCCAGATGGTGAGGGGATCATTGCTGTTGATGCTGCCCATTGTTGTTAGGATCATGCAACCTCTGGAGACAATCTCTTCTGCTCGACACCTCAGGAACAGTTCAAAATCTCTTTTGAGTTGCTCCAAGTATGCTTCTAACACAGCCGTAGGGCTTGTTTTTGCTACGCAAATGTTCCCCTTGTTCAATGATGATCCTGTTTTACTAACCAACTCTTTCGGTGCCTGAAAAATCAATGACTTAATCCCTAGTTAAATGTATGTATGTGTGTGTGTGTAATATACCTTGGAGATCCACATGATGGCATAAGAAGATTGAACAAAGTGCAAGCTATTAGGAGGAAATAGTCTGCCATAGAAAGATCCAGGAACTCCTGCAACAAAACAATTATTGCGGAACTTGGTGCCTTTTTCTCGTTCAAGACGCTCGTAGAAACTTGGTAATGAGTAGGTAAAAACTGCATTAAAATCATTTCCAGGAAGATCATTCAAGAATGCTTGTAAACATGGCCGGGGACGCTTTAATCTTCGGCATATTTCATCGACGATGTCGATGATTTCGGATACCACTAAAAGAGCATTGGGTCCGGCAGAGCAACCTAAATCTGCAATCTTCAAGCACTCGAATGATGACATTGCACTATAAACCTCTATTATGCTTTCTCCAAGTATTGGCTTCACCATTGATATCACACTCCTCTGAAAACCACAAAACCAAAGCATTTATGCCAAAACAAACTCAGTGATGATTATATACGAGATTCGAATCTCAATAGCAAACAGAATTATGAAGAAATAGTGTTACTGGATGAGATGAATTGTTTCCATAGCTGTCTTTTCCTACTCCTCCCTTCATGTGGAGAACTTGCTCTACCTTCATTGCTATACTTGAAACTTAAATTAAGGATCTTTTTATCTCCAGTTTTGTTGTCATAGCTTAAAATATTCCGTTGTATTTTTAGGCACTAGCTACTAGGAAGGAGCATGCGACTTAAATTTGATAGATTCTGACTTGATCTAATTTTATTAGATATTTTTTTTTAAATATGGGATTCGGTGGGATTTTTAAAGGATAAGTTTGGACCAGTCGGATTCAAACTTAGAGTGGAAATATTTGTCCCAACCCGATCAGAAAATAATGTAATTATATCCTATATATTTAAGGATAATTATAATAATAATCGTCTTTATTTTTAATCAAATCTATATTTTATTAAATAAAATTAATAACCTTTTATAAATATATTTATTTCAAATTAGGTAAAGTGAGAATAGGTTAGAGTGAATAAATTCTGGTGTTACTATTCACGTAATTGTTTCTACGTGGGTTAATTGATTTCAGGCAAAAATAACAATCTCGATACATGTGACTTAAATTGCATGTTGATTGTTGGTATTTACCAATATAGATTTATCTACTCCAAGTGATATAGTAGAATAATAATGTACAGCTATGTATTATAAAGCTCAAAGTGTAAATTGTTTCCGTACACATATTGATAGATTATTGGTGATTGAGTTACAGCGGTGTCATCAACAAGGAGTTTCAACTTCAAAAAATTTTAGAGTACAATTTTTATTCCTTTATATATATATATATATATATATATTCATTGAACCCTTATTTTTTGTGTTATTTTATAAACTATACTCTTTTTTAATAATTTTGGGTGGACACACAATTGTATATGTAGCTTTTTAAATTCAGAATTTCTAAAAAAAATGCTATTTCTTTTAATCAATGAGGTCATTTAATGGTTCTAAAATACTTAATTTGTATTTTATCAGAGCTTTGATTTTATATAATACATTTTTTAACTTGATCATTTGTATTTTTACTTTTAATTATGAAATTATGATGTTTTCAAAGGGTAAAGAATGATTTAAAATTTTAGGGGTAGGCTAAGTCGTCCAATGTGACATTTTTAAATTCATTTATAGAAATATTAATGAGACTATTTTAAAATTATTGGATCAAATATTAATGTTAGAGAGGCTAATGCCTTACTTTGCACTCAATTGAGTGGAGATGGGTATTATGTTTTGCAGGAGAAGGGGCAAGGATTAGGATAAAACTTAGACATGTCGTGAGTGATAGGATAGACATGAGTATGATATTGTACTCGTCTTATCCCCGCATATCTCACATTATTGTTTTTAGTTAGATATTATATATATATTTTTGAATTCATGAAGTTATATTATTTTAATTTATCAATGAAAGGATCGAAATAATTTATAATTTCTTTTAAAAAATATGACAATTAAAATAATGATATATATATATATATATATATTTCAAGGCATTACATATATGACGGGTTTGACACTTTGGTCCCTTCATTAAGATAAAAGCGACATTCTCAATAACGGATTGGTTGATTAAAGTTTGAATTGAATTTGTACATGACACTTCTAAATGTTGTAAGGTGCAATCTAGTCCCCATATATGATGATTTGACACTTTGATCCCTTAATTAAGATAGAACTCAAATCAAAATTTTGAATTGAATTTGTATGTGATAACTGATTAATAAAAGTAAGATTAACAATCAAAAAGGAAACAACAAATTAAAAAAAAAAGATTAATCACAATGATATGTCAATGAAATTTAATACGCTTAATAGATGAGCTCTAATCATTGCTATAGGTTTCACAATTAACACATGTTAGCACCGATAGATAAACTTTGGATTCCAATTTGAAAAAGGTAATGGCACCAATAATATCCAAGTAAAAGCAACGGTTTATTTGATGAACGGTAGGAGGAAATAAAAAACAAAGTGGAAAGAGTTACAACTTCATTATCAAGGATAAACCTTGATGACAGATATTGGTGATGGAAATTATCCATTTTTGTTTAAACGGAGAGTTGTAACTTCATTATCAAGGATAAACCTCAATGAGGGATCTCAAACCTAGAATAGGAATAATTTTATAACCACTAAACCCAGCTGCAGAAAACAGCTTAGCCCATTCTTCCTCGTCTCTCTCTTTTCCAGTCATCAACACCATCATCACCATATCAAGGAAGAGCTGCGTTTCCATCAAGTCCAACCCTTCTTCATTCACTTTCTTGTTCTTCATCACTACCATGTCTATTATCATCACTTTCCCTTCCTCTTTGCCTCCACTGCTAATTGCCTCTTTACATCGCTTCAAAATCTTCACACATTCATCGTCACTCCAATCGTGCATTATCCACTGTTTTATCAACTCAAGAGTATGAATGAATCATTCACTTGGCCAAAGAAAAAAGCATAAAAAAGAGATAATAAACAGATCAGTAAAAACCTTTAGTAAAACTGCATCTGCAGCCGGAACTTGCTCGAACATGTTTCCTCCAACATATTTCACGTTCCCACTATCTTGTTGGCCAGCAACAACATGAGGAAGATCAAACACAGTGCACTCCAAATGTGGAAATGCATCAGCAATGGTCTTTCCCAGTGTTCCTGTGCCCCCTGCAACATCCACCAAGGAATTCAATCCCTCAAATGCCTCCTTATACTTGTCAATCAAAATTCGAGCTACGAGTCGAGCATCGCTAGCCATGCCTTGATTGAAAGAATTGTTTACATGTGAATCATGGCTACAATAGTCCCACAACATCTCCCCATGTGTAGTAACAAATGGGGTCCGATCATCATTTTGGAACCAGGTCCCAAGAAAATGCCATGGCTTCATCAAAATTGGATCTAGCATGGATTTCAAAAATGGTATTGCGCTCAAGGGATTATCCTTGAGAAGGAGACGAGAAGCGTTGGTAAGAACATAACCATCGCCATCGCCGACGCCAAGCTTTTGTTTTGCAAAGAAGCCCGAGTGAACTAAAATACGCATGAGCCGGTAGATGTTGCAGGCCTTGGTAGGGTTGAGCGTCGGTAATGCCGCGACCAACTCGGTGACGGTCATCGGCTTGCCGTGGTTTTGAATGATATCAGGAATGTCTAAATCAACAGCTGACTGCAGAGACATGGAATTTATGAAGCTGAAGATGTGGCTCCAAACGTGAGCTTGAGCTTCAAGTAGCTCACTAACATTCTCTCCCTTGACGTTAACCTCACACATGATCTTTGCTAAGGAACTTCTGTTCTGCTATGAAAGCAGTATGCCTATGAATATGTTATTTATAGGCCATAAAATGGATACAAGGAGAGGGAAGCCTATAATACATACAGGAACTGGCTTTAAATGATTTTTTCCACGAAACAAGTGGAATAATTAATTAATATTTTTTATTCACGTCGTTGCTGTGCCCACAAATAACATTTTGTTTAATCTGTATATAAGGCAATCTTCCCTCTCCTTGTATCTATTTTATGGCCCACAAATAGCATATTGTTTAATCTATTTCTAGTATAACCCATTTTGTTTTGAGCTAATCTCCAAGGATTGAGTTATAATTAAATGAGTATAAAGGAAAAACTATTTCTATTACATATTAAATCAAATTAAGTTCACCAGGTCTTTTGATTTCAACGACTTAGAGTACATCAATAATGTTAGAATATACTAAATTTGAATAATTTAAAATATTTTGACTCATAAAAATACTCACCCCTAAATTCACATATATTGGATATAATCTTTGGGATAAGATTTAAAGATGTATCATCGTTTGCTTGATATATTTATTTGTTAACACGTATCATGTGAGAATTATGTGTTAAATGGTTTTTCTTTAAATTTAACAGTTGGGGTTTTATTTATTTATTTTGAAATCACATTTTTCGATCAGAACAAAAATGCTTTTAAGGTAACAGGGAAACATATATAAATATTCTCTTAATTATAAGATATTATTTTGTCCAGTCTCTTAACTATTAAAAGTTATAAAATTATTCTCTAACTATAGAATGTTGTCTTGTTGAGTCTCATGACTATTAAAAGTTATAAAATGATCATCCAACTATTCATATGTTCTAAACTCGTCTTTTTTCATTAAAATTTTGATGACATTCTGAGTTGGACATTAACCTGTTGTCTGGGTATAATAAAATTCAAACTCAAAATCTTAAATGACTATATAGTTGAAAAGGTTATGGAATCAGATTTTATTATATTTCAGTCAACGAGTTAACGTCTAACTCAAACGACTGTCAACTTTTTAATTGAGAATGACGAGTTTGAATCATATAAATAATTATAATAATTATTAATATCTCGATTTTGCAGTAATATTTTATCATATATACAACTATTTGTTTTAATCTCACAGTTGTAATAAAAGTAAAAGAATGATCAGGGAGTGTTTATTTTTATTTTAACTGAATTAATCAATCAAATTAAAATTTAGTTTGATTAAATGGTCGGTTAATTTTATGTTAGATGGGTTAATGGTTAAGAAAAATTTTAAAGTTCGTTTAACGATTAATTTGATTTGAAATCAGTTAATTAACTGAATTAACCAAAAATATTAAATATTAAATATGTATATATATTATATATTTTAAGCTCAAACTCATTAAGAATTAAAGTTCAACTATTCTTAACCACACAGACCCATTAAACTTTTAAAATCCAATCAAATTTAATCCAAATGAAAAAAATACCTCTATTAAATTTAAATTAATATAACTAAAAATATGTTCAAATAATTCTTGTTCGGTTAACAATTTTAAAAAAAGTTTGATTCAGTTAATGGTTAAAAGAAAAAAAATCGATTAATCTAGTTCAATAGGTGACCGAATTAACTCTTTGAATACCCCTAAGTATGATTACAATTTATGAATTATATATAAGATTACATTTTAATTATTCTATTAAAAATGAATAAACTAATTTTATACATTTTGTACAGAGTAAAATAGTTCTTTCGTTAAGTTTTTTCATTCATTTTTGTTGTTAAATGTTGATGTGATATTTTTTTTAATTAATTTCATGCAAAAAAACCTATGATATAAAAAATAATTGTCGCAACCGTCTTTCGGTTGGGCCCCGGAATTGGGCTTCGACTTGGATTAAACGAATTGGAGTCGCCACCGACCATTTTAAAACGAATTTAGGTAGGTCGGACACCATCTTACCTGATCTGCGTTTTACCAGAAATGTGTCGGGTTCGGGAGTCGGTTATGGTTAAGGAAGGATTAGCACCCTTGAACCGCCCTTTCGGTACCAATTAATTTGTCGGTTGTCTTTAATTGCAAAAATTAAGAATTTAAATTGAAATTTAAAAATTCGATTCGAATTACTTACCTTTGATCGATTGGAATTACCCCTAAAAAGGTCAAAAATGTTAGATTGAAAAATAAATACTAAATAAATCGGAGAGAGAAAAATAAATAAATAGATAAATTGAGAAAATAACAATAAATATATTAAGAAAAAATAAGAAAATATCAAACAATACATATACTAAAAGAGAAAATAACCCCTATTACTATCACAAACCTACAAACCCTTTTAAGGTTTCATTCGCACTCCCACGGCTCTTCAGCAGCCACCCGTAGTCCTCCATCCATGATGAAGGCACATCAGCGCCCAAGCCACCCCCTAACAGTCGAGTCACACGCCGAATGATCCCCAACGCTCATCCACGCCAGCAGCTGCTACCAACAAGCCCCAGAAGCTCCCTTCCACGCGAGCAGTATCTACCAACAAGCCCCAGAAGCTCCCTTCCACGCGAGCAGTAGCCCCAAGCCAAGGTCCTAGCATCTTTAATTTTGTGCTAACAGTCCCAGACACCCTCCTCCACGTCATTTGCCAGCATGGTGGCCCCAAATTCTCCTTGGATTTTTGGTTAAATGGCTTGGTCTTCTCATTTTCCATTTCCCTTTGTCGTTGTGTTAGCTGAGTGCTGCGAGAAAGAAGCAGTGGCACAGGTTCATTCTTGTACAGTCCCTCAGCTCCTTATGCCCGAGTGGAAGAAGAATTTTGGACTTGCAATCTATTTCAAAAATCTGGTGTACCACTTGATCTAGAGGAATACTCGGTTATTAACTTTAGGAACATTGATGACTTATCCTCCAAGAGACGTGCCGGAGTATCAAACTCTGTAACTCGACCATCACTCAACACCAAAACAAGATCATTGTCGATTACGGTGGAATACGATGTGCAATAGTGCAAACAGTGCAATTCATGAACTCTGTTCTGATGATCTTCTGTGTGAGATTATTGGTGGCAGTATCAACCGATGCTTTTGCCTCATCGAGCACGATTATTCTTGCATGTTTGAGTAAAGCCCTGTCGAGGGTAACAAGTTGCCACTGCCCATGAAATCGTGCGTGTTCTTGGTCAGTGATGAAGAAGAAGATATGAGAGCGGTGAGAGCCAAATTTTAGGATGGGTTTTGAGGTAAAGCTACTTTGACAAAGTTGAAAAAGAAAGGTATTGGATTCGTTGTCGGCGCCAGTGGTTCTTTTAAAGATAAGCGTCTTTTCCAGTTTGCAGAGGGAAATAATTAATTCCCCCACCAGGTTAGACTTTGGGGAAATGGAAAGAGTGGGGCTGTCCCCAGAAATCCCCCCACCTTCTTGTATAGAAAAGTGGTATATAAATGTGTGGAGGTGGAGGAGTTCGCGAAGTGGCAGAGAGTGGTAAGGTAGTGGTGATAGTGGTAGGTTATTAGGTGGGTAGTTTGTTGGTAATATTGGTACCGAGAAATCCGGTGCATGGGTTGTTGGATGCGTGAGAAGCGGTGCTGGTGGAGGGCTGAAACGGTTGTTGACTGGTTCGGGTCCTGGAATCTGTAAAATAAAGAAAAAATATATTATTTAAGTAATATATATATGTGATATATATATGATATTATATATGGATGAAAATTGGTGTCCACAGCTGCCCCTCTTTGTCCTTTTTCGTGGAATGAAAAATAGGACAAAGACAAAAAGACACAAATTTTCGTTCGGTGGAGTTGAAAATTGATTCTAATATTTCAATTAAGAATAACTCCCTGTCGATTTGAGTTGCGGATGACTCCTTAGTTGCGAAGTCAGGTCCATCTTGAAATGAAATTGAAGCCATAATTCTGAATTTGAATCAGAATGTGGCTTATCGTTGTCAAATTGTAGTCAACGTTGGTCTTCTTCTCGGTTTGAAGACTTCGGTGAAAAATTCGACTGGACAATAATTCATTGACTCCACCCTATGGTTGATAGGCCCTCGAGTTGAATGAAATCGAACTCAGAAGGTCTTCGTTGGCAGATAGCCCTTCCCGACTTAAGCTATGCTGCAAATGACATGCCTTGGAGCCGAGCGTGGTCGATCTCAAAGGTCTTTGGTTGGCACGATTCCCTTCACCGTGAAATTGAAACCATGGATGGCCTCTCGTTGTGAAGTTGAGCCTCGAATTGGATATCCTTCGTCGTGAAGTTGAAATCCAATGAAAGTTATGTTGTCTCGAGTCCAATATCCTTCGCTGTGAAGTTAAAATTGGCTCTGAAATTGGGAAATTGTTTGTTGACAACCAGTCGTCCCTTCGTTGTGAAGTTGAACTTGTGTTGTCTCGAGTCCAATATCCTTTGTTGTGAAGTTGAAATTGGCTCTGAAATTGGGAAATTGTTTGTTGACAACCAGCGGTCCCTTCGTCGTGAAGTTGAACTTGCGTTGTCTTGAGTCCAATATCCTTCGCTGTGAAGTTGAAATTGGCTCTGAAATTGGGAAGTTGTTGTTGACAACCAGTGGTCCCTTCGTCGTGAAGTTGAACTTGCGTTGTCTTGAGTCCAATATCCTTCGCTGTGAAGTTGAAATTGGCTCTGAAATTGAGAAATGTTTGTTGACAACCAGCGGTCCCTTCGTCGTGAAGTTGAACTTGCATTGTCTGGAGTCCAATATCCTTCGTTGTGAAGTTGAAATTGGCTCTGAAATTGAAAAATGTTTGTTGACAACCAGCGGTCCCTTCGTCGTGAAGTTGAACTTGCGTTGTCTGGAGTCCAATATCCTTCGCTGTGAAGTTGAAATTGGCTCTGAAATTGAGAAATATTTGTTGACAACCAGCGGTCCCTTCGTCGTGAAGTTGAACTTGCGTTGTCTTGAGTCCAATATCCTTCGCTGTGAAGTTGAAATTGGCTCTGAAATTGAGAAATGTTTGTTGACAACCAGCGGTCCCTTCGTCGTGAAGTTGAACTTGCGCTGTCTGGAGTCCAATATCCTTCGTTGTGAAGTTAAAATTGGCTCTGAAATTAGGAAGTTGTTTGTTGACAACCAACGGTCCCTTCGTCGTGAGGTTGAACTTGCGTTGTCTGGAGTCCAATATCCTTCGTTGTGAAGTTGAAATTGGCTCTGAAATTGAAAAGTTGTTTATTGACAACCAGCGGTCCCTTCGTCGTGAAGTTGAACTTGCGTTGTCTGGAGTCCAATATCCTTCGCTGTGAAGCTGAAATTGGCTCTGAAATTGAGAAGTTGTTTGTTGACAACCAGCGGTCCCTTCGTCGTGAAGTTGAACTTGCGTTGTCTGGAGTCCAATATCCTTCGTTGTGAAGTTGAAATTGGCTCTAAAATTGAGAAGTTGTTTGTTGACAACCAGCGGTCCCTTCGTCGTGAAGTTGAACATGCGTTGTCTGGAGTCCAATATCCTTCACTGTGAAGTTGAAATTGGCTCTGAAATTGAGAAGTTGTTTATTGACAACCAACTTTTCTTGACTTAAGCTGTGCTGTAAATTTCCTTTAAATGAATGATGGCCCTTCTCGCCAAATTTTGAGTCGGATATCTTCCGTCGTGGAATTGAAATCTGGCTTGAAAGTTTTAACTGGAAACATGATGCTCATGGATGAGTTTGAGTCGAACTGGATTTGTTTTGAACTGGTTCTCGAACCTATCTGAAATTGGTTCTGAGATATCAAGTCGGTTGAGGTGTAGCTCCTTACTGCCGAGTTAAGCAACCACCATCCTTCTTTGAAGGCACTTGAGAATCGAGTATCCTTCATCCTGAAGTCAAAACTTGACTCTAAAAGCTGCAAAAACGTGTATGTTAAAATGATGAATGTGACGCACCTAAGTATGTCTAAGATGCATGCAACATGAATGAATTATGTGTTATCTCTTCGTGCTTTGTCTGCCAATCTGGTCCATGGAATCGATCGTGCCCCATTTGCTTCTCGAGCTTGGGCTTTACAGACATTTCATATCTGAGATTGTTCTGTTTGAAAATGTTTTTCTCATTTTTCTTGTTTCAGGAGAGAAAACGATAAAAATATTGTACAATATTATTCGCAATTGAATCAAATTATAAACGTGAGTTCAAAGAATATCAAAGGAATCAATAGCTCTTTTAACGTTTTCAGAGTTACAGCTCTTTGACCAGTGTCAAATGGATGGGTTGGCTTTAGCTTGGCCTCCTTTATAAGGTTTTGGAAAAAAAATGTCATTTTTTTTTGAAATATCGCAACATGCTTTGGCACTTCAATTGGGTGCGGACAAAATGACACAACTAGCATGATGACTTACTGGACCTTTTATTTCAGTCCTCTGAAATCTTCTATTTGTTCAAGCTTTGTAGGCTCCTCTAACAAAGGCAGTGCAAAAACATCGGTCTAAAAATGAAATTCTTGAGTGCTCGTGTGTAGTTGACTATAACAGGTGTTCCTTAACTCCCTTAGTCCATTTTACCGAAAATTTCTTGCTTAGATAAATTTGATTTAATTTGTCGTTATCTGACTAGCTGAATCCATAAAGCCGGGGTGTTTAACCAATTGCTTTAGAGGGACAGCTTAATATTATAATCACAGTTATCAAGTTAACTGAATGGTTCATCTCATCACAGAGTCTTCAGCCTGACAAGAGCAGTGGAGCAAACACCGAATTGCCAAGTGTCCGAGCAATGTCATGGTTTGAACGTAATCTACTCATAAGGCCAGGGCTTTCAAGTTTCCTCTATAACCAATTGCCTTAGCGGAATAGCTCAGTTTTTTACGGATTTAATTTCCTAAGATTGTCAAGAAGAACCTGTTATAGCCTAGGTGTTTTTTGAAAGTCAAGGAATCTCATCTTTATAGTTCAATTTTCAAGCAACTGACCTAAACTGGATTCACCTACTCGACTCTTTCATTTGTAAAGATCATCATCGTCATTGAACGTCTTAAATAAAAAACTTAGTAATTGTCATATGAAAATGATGCCCCGTGTTGTCCGCACCTTATGAAAGGAAAAGGGTATATTGGTTAATTACAAGAGCAGGGTATGGTGTTTGAGGGTATATTTTGGATAAGGTCAAAGTCCTTTTTTTTAAATCATGTTACTTTGTCAAAGATCCGTAACTTTGAACCATTAACAGAGTTTCTTAATTCAAATGATATTCAAAGAATTGCAAGTTTGCAAATGTGATTTATTGCTCGCCATCATTAAAGCAACATAAATTTATTTAAAAGTCCTTGCAAAAACTTGAGAAAAGAATGAAAAAACAAATCCAAACAGAATGGCTCAAATGATGAGATGATATGCCTCACTTGGATGCCCCCAAGTTGTTGAAGTCGATCCGATTGTTACGTATTTTCTGTATGATTCTCTTGATGGTGGAGTAATTCTCGATAGTGCACCCTGGGACTCCGCTATGATTTTCGCAATGAGCGTTCTCATCATACTACCTGGGGTACGGGTCTTCATGGACACCACGTGTGCATCAAACAACTGTTGGTAAAGCTCCTTATATGTCATAGGATCGGAATGTTCTCATTTTTGATGAGACATGTGAATGTAATGAAAAAAGGGAATCATAATGCGAATGTAAAGAAAAAATAACAAAATGCACAATATGTCTGAATGTATGATGCATGAAATGTTCGAGGCATTGATCCGAAAAATGTGCCTATTATTCTGAATAATCCTTATTGGGGACAAAAATGTTACGTCTGAAGAGACAAAAAACTTTTTTGATGGTATAGATCCTGCACAGCCTCTGGAAAGTTGATTCGTCTTCCGCTTTTTCACCGGTTGAATATCTTGTTGAACCATTCCAGTTCCTTTGGCTAAACTTGTGCGGGTAACGAGTTGCTTACCCCAAAAAATGTCTCGAATGACTGCATCTCCGGCCTTCACTCTATGCCGAGCTCGTTCCAAACGAAAGTGCCATTGGAGCCCTCAATCCGAAGTTTGTCGACCTGTTCTTGGAATTAACCAATAATGGTCTCCGGCTTAGCTAGGGTTTCACCATCTTGTTCTCGTAATTTTCGAAAGGACTCTGCGGGTCAGTAACCATTTCCTCGTCTTGCCCCTACAACTTTTGCCTCTGAGTATTCTTTGATCACGGTTGGACTTCTGAGCTTTTTATCTCTTTGTATTATAACCCCTTTGTCCATTAATGCAGATTATTTACGTTTAACAAACACATTTTTGGTGGATCAATACCTCGTTTTAATGATGCGAATGATAAAAAAAATGCCAAAGAAAAAAAATGAAAGGAGGAAAAAAAAAGTTAGTGAGATAATGATGATAAAAAAATGATAAAAATGAAAAGCCTTACCCCACATGATATCTACCCCACATGCTTATTATTCCTACCCGGACATGATCTCTATCCCGCAAGTTGATTTTGAACAAGTCCTAACCGCATAAATTTCTAGTTCACATGCTTTGAACAGAAAGTAAAGCAGGAAATAATTCCGGCATCCTAGGGTTTGAAATGAGGTTTTGGGGTGGGCTCTAACTCCTTCAAAGTCTCCAGGTTTAGGTTCTAAAAAACGGTACTCGAGTTCTCCTTGCCGGTGTCCCCTTGGGCTTACCAGACCCTTAGTCCTAAACCCATCACAGGCTTGTGTGGACTAAGTTAAACTCGAGGGGACACATTCCCTTATGCCCGCACGGTGAATAAATTCACACGAAGACATAAGGTATATGAATCCCGAAGGCTACTTGCTAGGCATATGCGGTGAATAAATTCACACGAATGCGTCGCTTTCACCCCCACTTAAAAGGGTTCGGAGCTCGGGTATAGAGCCTGAGATGAAACTTTTCGAAAATCTGAAATCATTGAAAAAAATGTTAGTACAACTAATTACTTGGAAAAATAATCAAAGGTAAATAATTGGAATCGAATAAATAAATTAAAATTTAAATTTACAATCTTCGCATAAAAAGACAACCGAAAATTAATTCTGGCCTGACTCACTTACCTTTCCCCAGTGGAGTCGCCAAGCTGTCGCAACCGTCTTTCGGTTGGGCCCCGGAATTGGGCTTCGACTTGGATTAAACGAATTGGAGTCGCCACCGACCATTTTAAAACGAATTTAGGTAGGTCGGACACCATCTTACCTGATCTGCGTTTTACCAGAAATGTGTCGGGTTCGGGAGTCGGTTATGGTTAAGGAAGGATTAGCACCCTTGAACCGCCCTTTCGGTACCAATTAATTTGTCGGTTGTCTTTAATTGCAAAAATTAAGAATTTAAATTGAAATTTAAAAATTCGATTCGAATTACTTACCTTTGATCGATTGGAATTACCCCTAAAAAGGTCAAAAATGTTAGATTGAAAAATAAATACTAAATAAATCGGAGAGAGAAAAATAAATAAATAGATAAATTGAGAAAATAACAATAAATATATTAAGAAAAAATAAGAAAATATCAAACAATACATATACTAAAAGAGAAAATAACCCCTATTACTATCACAAACCTACAAACCCTTTTAAGGTTTCATTCGCACTCCCACGGCTCTTCAGCAGCCACCCGTAGTCCTCCATCCATGATGAAGGCACATCAGCGCCCAAGCCACCCCCTAACAGTCGAGTCACACGCCGAATGATCCCCAACGCTCATCCACGCCAGCAGCTGCTACCAACAAGCCCCAGAAGCTCCCTTCCACGCGAGCAGTATCTACCAACAAGCCCCAGAAGCTCCCTTCCACGCGAGCAGTAGCCCCAAGCCAAGGTCCTAGCATCTTTAATTTTGTGCTAACAGTCCCAGACACCCTCCTCCACGTCATTTGCCAGCATGGTGGCCCCAAATTCTCCTTGGATTTTTGGTTAAATGGCTTGGTCTTCTCATTTTCCATTTCCCTTTGTCGTTGTGTTAGCTGAGTGCTGCGAGAAAGAAGCAGTGGCACAGGTTCATTCTTGTACAGTCCCTCAGCTCCTTATGCCCGAGTGGAAGAAGAATTTGGACTTGCAATCTATTTCAAAAATCTGGTGTACCACTTGATCTAGAGGAATACTCGGTTATTAACTTTAGGAACATTGATGACTTATCCTCCAAGAGACGTGCCGGAGTATCAAACTCTGTAACTCGACCATCACTCAACACCAAAACAAGATCATTGTCGATTACGGTGGAATACGATGTGCAATAGTGCAAACAGTGCAATTCATGAACTCTGTTCTGATGATCTTCTGTGTGAGATTATTGGTGGCAGTATCAACCGATGCTTTTGCCTCATCGAGCACGATTATTCTTGCATGTTTGAGTAAAGCCCTGTCGAGGGTAACAAGTTGCCACTGCCCATGAAATCGTGCGTGTTCTTGGTCAGTGATGAAGAAGAAGATATGAGAGCGGTGAGAGCCAAATTTTAGGATGGGTTTTGAGGTAAAGCTACTTTGACAAAGTTGAAAAAGAAAGGTATTGGATTCGTTGTCGGCGCCAGTGGTTCTTTTAAAGATAAGCGTCTTTTCCAGTTTGCAGAGGGAAATAATTAATTCCCCCACCAGGTTAGACTTTGGGGAAATGGAAAGAGTGGGGCTGTCCCCAGAAATCCCCCCACCTTCTTGTATAGAAAAGTGGTATATAAATGTGTGGAGGTGGAGGAGTTCGCGAAGTGGCAGAGAGTGGTAAGGTAGTGGTGATAGTGGTAGGTTATTAGGTGGGTAGTTTGTTGGTAATATTGGTACCGAGAAATCCGGTGCATGGGTTGTTGGATGCGTGAGAAGCGGTGCTGGTGGAGGGCTGAAACGGTTGTTGACTGGTTCGGGTCCTGGAATCTGTAAAATAAAGAAAAAATATATTATTTAAGTAATATATATATGTGATATATATATGATATTATATATGGATGAAAATTGGTGTCCACAATAATCTTATATAATTTTATTTGTGCAATTTATCTTTCTTACTTCAATCTCTAATCTTTCCTCCTTTAATAAGAACCCATTTTTACAATGGTTTTAGAGAATTTGGTAATATTGTTAAGGGTAAACTTCAATGAGAGATCTCAAACCAAGTATAGGAGTAATTTTATAATCACTAAAACCAGCAGCGAAAAACAGCTTAGCCCACTCTTCTTCTTCCCTCTCTCTTCCATTCACCGCCATCATCATCATCATGTCGAAGAAGAGCTGCGTTTCGATCAACTTAAAGGCTTCATCATTCAACCTTACTACTATGTCTATTATAATCACCTTCCCACCCTTCTTGTCTCCACCTGAAATCGCCTCTTTACATCGTTTCAAAATCTTCAAGCAATCTTCGTCACTCCAGTTGTGAAGTATCCACTGTTCAATTCGTCGTTAATAATTAGTTCAAAACACAGAGAGCATTAAAAAAAGGGGAAAACTACATATTTAGTATCCCATAATTTACTTTGGTTCTGTTTTGGTTATCCGATTATTAACGGTGATAATGAAGTGTCACATAATGTCACATCATCATTAAAAAATATATAAATAATATCACGTCATATTTATTTTTTTAACTGCATGAGATCAAAATAGAATAAAAACATAACATTGAGTATGATTTTGAAAAAAATAGTTTAACGATCAAAATGGAACCATGGGATTAAATGGGTGACTAAATATGTAATTTACCCTTTAAGAAAATCTTAGAGAGGGTTTGGTAAAATAAACCTTTAGTAGAATTGCATCTGCAGCTGGAATTGATTCAAACATGTTCCCTCCGACGTATTTCAAGTTCCGTCCATCTTGTTGGACGGTAACCACTTGAGGAAGATCAAACACTGTGCACTTCAAGTATGGAAATACATCAGCAATGGCCTTGGCCATGGTTCCTGTGCCACCCCCAACATCCACCAGCGACTCGAATTCCTCGAATAACTCCGAACACTTTTCACTCAAGGCTCTAGTAACCAATGGAGTATCATTAGCCATGCTTTGGTTAAACGAATTCAATAGTTCTGGTTCATGGCTAAAATATTCCCAAAATGTCTCACCATGTGCCGAATCAAATGCAGTATGATCATGATTTTGGAACCAGGTCCCTAAAAAGTACCAAGGCTTTATCAAAACGGGGTTCAAAATAAGTTTCAGATACGGCGTTATGCTCAAGGGATTGTTCTTGAGCAGGAGACGAGAAGCGCTGGTAAGAACATAGCCTTCTTCTCCGTTGTTGTTGTCGCCTAGGTATTGTTGTGCAACGAAGCCCGAGTGAAGTAAAACACGCATGAGCCGGTAGATGTTGGGTGCCTTGGTAGGGTTGAGCGTCGGCAGTGCTGCAACCAGCTCGGTAACAGTCATCGGCTTGCCATGGTTTTGGATGATGTCTGGGATGCCTAAATCAATGGCGCATTGTAGAGACATGGAATTTATGAAGCTGAAAATGTGGTTCCAGACGTGTGCTTGAGCTTGAAGGAGCTCGTTAACATGCTCCCCGTTTACATTATTGACCATATACATCTTAGTCAATGTTTTTCTAGTTTGATATGAAACCACCACAATACAAAACTATATCGTTTATATACAGTAAAATAGATTATTTTTAATAATATTATACGAATACAATATAATATTAATTCAAAAATTTTCTTAATATATTAATAATGTACACATTTTACGGACACAATTATTCAAATCAATGTCCTTTAAAGAGAATTACATTCCATTTTACTACTAAAGACACTCAATAAATTCTACGATAAAACAGATAAATAAAAAAAATGTTATTATGAGATGAACATTAAATCCTTTGAGTATAATTAAGATTTAAGATTTGGTGTTTTGAACAGATCAAACTTATATATAGTCTTGTTATCTGTCAGGTATGGGACTGCAATGTTTTGCTGAATTTATTTTGATGAAATTGTTTGTGTCTGTATTGGATGGTGTATTCTTTTCCTCCGAATAAGATTAGGGAAGTTATTAATGAGATACATTTCAGGATTAAATGATTTATACAAATTATGAATAAAATCAAATTTGCTGGGGAAAAAACTGAATTAAATCTGTTGCCCTATGATGAATCTTTGTAATATCCTATCAGAATAAGTCAAGATTAAATGCTGATAATTAAATTTAAAAATTCAATATTTTTTTATGCCTTTGTTCGTCATTGTTGCCCCTGCACCTCAAATCATTTATTTTTTTCTCACGCATCAATAATAGATTTAGTCCAACGCTATCTTTAAGAACGGATAGGAAATTAGATAAAGCTTCATTGATTATTGTAAGTATATTAATATTAAAGTAACGTTCCTTCAGTGATCGTTTTTTCATAAATATGTTTCTGATTTATTAATCGATAATAAATTAATTAGTATATTTCAATAAATTAAGTATGAATTATCTTTTATTCGAAGTCTTTATTTGTTTAAACAATTATTTTTATTATTGAATTATATATATCTACATTAATAAATGAATAAATAAATAAACATTTGACGCAAGATTATAAAATTTGTTATAAGAAATAAAGAAAGGCGAAAGAAAAATAAATAATAATATAAAAGAGAGAAAATATTGCTTTTTCAACTGCTTGTATCTGATTAGTTTTATAAAATTATTATTTATATAGTTGGGATCGTAAATATAAAATATGAAGAGAGAAATTATCAAAGAAAAAAAAATTAGATACTATTAGATATATACACACACATTTATGTCGGCATATGAAATGTGTTAATCATTTTTTATTTCTTTTAAAATTTGATACTATTTTAAATTATCTTATTTAGATTCACTAAATCTCTCATTTCAATAACATATATTAAATATCAATACTTTTGCAGTAGTGGAACTAAAGGTGGGAGTAGTTAAGTGATCAATTCCAAATATATATATAGCTATTTTATTTGAAATATTATTTTTGATATATATATTTATTTTATTTTATTCATAAATCGAAAGATATTAAATGCCAAGCAATTTAATTTCACATCTTCTAGTATAATATACTGCTAACGATATCAGCCAAATTAAATTAAATCGATTATTTTAAATATTTATTTTGTAAAACATCAAATCAGATTCACTAAATCTTCTCATTTCAACAACATATTTAATTTAGCATCTTTATATAATACAATTTGTTAATGCCCAAGTTTGTTTTGTAATACATCAAATTATATTCTGTAAATCTTCTTATGTTATTAAAAATATAAATTTCACATCTTCAGGTGTAATCCAATTTGTTATTAAAAATTATAGCTGAGCAAAAAAGAACATACTTAAAATACATTTATGAATAAATTTTAAAACATAATACTTTAATATAAATGTATGAAAATCACGTTAAGGGATAATATTTGTTGTTGAATTATTAGTTTTATATGTTTGGAAAGGGATGACAATGGGTCATCATAATTCTTTTTATATACCAAAATTGTAAGGAAAAAAACGGAAGGGAGTAGGTAAATTAGTTAATATTAAATTTAAATGCGTTTGTTGTTTATCTGTGTGTGTGTTTTTAATAATATAATATTATTATAAGATAATATTTGTTCATAATATTTTTTTAAATTATTGACAATATATATACTCTATAGACATAATTATTAATTTTAAAAATAATACTTTATTTAACAATTAAGATCATTCAATAAATTTTTGTTTTCACTATTCTTTTGCATAATTTAATAGAATTATTTTAAATTATCAATTGATTGGATGGCCCATCTCATTTTGGACTAAAATCCAAAGAATTTTTTTTCCTATAAAATATGATTTCCATTAAACAAAAAGCCAATACATGGTGGGAAAAACTATTTCTGTATTATATCATTATGTGTTAAATCAAGCTAGATTTACTAAATCTTTTCATTTACCTGTTCTCTTTGGTGCGCTTCACTGTTTGATGTCGTATTTTAATTTGTTGTGTGTATTTATATTATGTATTAAATTAACAAAAAAAATTACACGTTATTTTATTGTCAATAAGTAAAAATATATTAATATGATTAATATCTTGAATCGAGCTTTCAAAAGTGCATAAGCTAAAACTAAGCAAATTAAGAACTTGTACAATCTTTTGAATGAATCCTTGTATTTTAGACATAGGTTTAGTCAATAAAATGAATATTTTAAGTGATCCTTAAGACTATAAATATTTACAATTAAGTTCTTAAAATGTGCTCAATTGTATTTTAGACCCCTTTTGGTGATAAAATATGTGCCATGAACAAATTTGACAATTTAACTCCTAATTTGATGATTGATGAATGTTTGTCTTATTTAATTTTGATCAATCAATATGACATTTAACCTTATTATAAACTTTCCGCTTGAATGGAAAATAAATTTTCCGTTTGGTTATCGGGAAAATGGTAGAGAAAATTGAAAACATAGATTTTTTATATTATCTTTAATCATTTTTCTATTATGAATTTTGACAAAAATACCTCTTAGATCTCTCGTAATTCTAAATTTAATAAATTAATCCTTATTATTAAATATTTTAAGGATCTCGTTTTAAAAAGTAACATATGATCTACATATTTTTGGGACGGGCATGATACGAGACTTTGCTTTAAAGAATAAAAAACAATGCTAATTGCCCGTAACGTGCATTCTTATACGGCTTGAAATAGATCACAAATACAATTGAATGAAATAAACAAAAACAAAAACAATCAAAGAAATTGAAGTGCTCTTATATTTGGAGAAGACATAGAGAGATGGATTCTGGTTTGATAATTTTGGGGCTAAGAGGTTGGAACAAAGGTTCCGACATAACCGAAACCTGTGACGAAGAAGGCGATCGACTGGAGGAAGAGGAAGATGAAGTAGCGGTTCTTTCCGAAAGCCATATCGTAGCAGCCACACAAGAAGAGGTATGCCCCAACACCAAGCTCAAGCAAATGAAGCCTATAAATGTATATGCAAATATGTTCATCATAGATTGTGACTCGACGAAGATAGTAAATGTTAATCGGTCGAGAGTAATTACCTGTCTCCGATTCGATTATGGGTTTTCTTGGGAGATTTTGCAACTAATTTAGTCTTGAGAGCATCTCCCAGTTTCTCAGTAACAACCCATTCGTTCACTCTTCCAGCCTCCAGCAGACCGATGAACGTCCCCTTTGTCCGATGTAGAGACATGACATTCTCGAAAAGAATCCAGAACACCACTAGATGCAATGACCTGCAACATTTTAGTAAACATGTACTTGGATTTATATTTGAATATGCATTAGTCACAGGTATCGGATACAATATTCTAGTGTCACAGATCACAAATCAAGGTTGCAAACATAAGTGCCTTAGGAGTTTCGAGCAATGCATCAAAATCAAAAAGCTCTCTAAAATCGAGTTGTGCTTGTTACCATCCAAAAAGCTCCCATTTGAGAGACTCAATACATCAAGTACATAGAAATCTAATAAGATTAAGAGTCAAGAATAAAATATAGACTTCGAATTGTATCGGTACTTTATCTTGTGGATAGAGTTTTTAATCCTATAAGCATCGACCCAAGTACCTCGGAGTTCCGACGGCATTGAGAATAGTGATGATGGAAGGAATGTAGACAGCACCCCACTTAGGAACTTGGACTTCAGGAAGGAACACAGTTGAGGGTAAAACGACACAGTAGAAAACAAATGTGACAATGTGAGCCACTATCTTTCGGACAAAGAAGAAACAGTAGATCACATAAAGCTTCTTCCATACAGTAACTTTCTGCAATCAAAATGCAGGTTAATGAGTACAAAACAATCGATTTTGATTTCATTTTCATTATGATTTCGTGTTCGTACCCTATTTCTCATGATTCCCATTGCCATTTTCTTGAAGAGATTAGCTGGTCCACAAGACCATCTATGCTGCTGATACCTGTAAGCTTTGAAAGTACTTGGCAATTCATTCTTCACCTTGAGGTCACCTACATAAACGAATTTCCAGCCTTTAAGGCTAGCCCGGACCGCCAAATCCATGTCCTCCACCGTCGTTCGGTCTTTCCATCCACCGGCCTCGTTGAGTGCCGAAATTCTCCATACACCAGCAGTTCCTGCAACATGTTATATACCTTCTTATAACCATGTCTTATGTAATTAGAGGACTTAATTAAAACTATTGATGCCCTTTGTTTACCATTGAAACCAAAGAAAGCATAGGTTGAAGATCCCACTTCTTGTTCAAATTTGAAATGGTAATCTAATGACATCTCTTGCATCCTTGTCATTAAGCATTCATCTGCGTTGACTGCAACATAAACCAGAACTCATAATCAGTATGTTAATCGGCTGAAAATGAAAGATCAATGCAGAATCTAGTAAAGGATTCAAATGTATCAACATCATGTGTCATTTTTGTTCCAAGTAATTGACAATTCTCTTTTATCATTTCTTTAATTAGATGAAAATAGTTAGCCCCACCAACCTCGGTTCCCTTGATTACATTTTTTTTAATTTGTGAGTTAATTGCATCATGTCCCCAGACTATAATCCTCATTTAAAATTGGTCCTTAAACTTTTAAGTATTCTAATTTAATCCCCAAACTATGACTCTCATTCTAAATTAGTCCTTAAACTTTTGAACATTCTAATTTCATCTCTAAACTATGACCCTCTTTCTAAATTGGTCCCAAAACTTTTGAGTGTTCCAATTTCATCCTCAAATTCATCCAAATATTTAATTAGTTTCAACCATAATTTAACCTAAATTTCATCTAGGTACCTATAGCCATGTGTCAACTTCTAGATATAAAGATGAAAAAGATGTATAGTTGAGATACCTATTTTGATAAAAATTACTTTACATACCTAAATTTAAAAAAAAAATGAACACTGTATGTAAAATAGAACATACCTATTTTCTAAATAACCTAATTTAAAGGATAAATCACACCATATGTCACTCAATTATTAGTAAGATTATAAACAAGTGAATGAACGTTAAAACATTACAAATGGATTATTCAATTAATTGATCGTTACAAAGATGTCACTCTATTATTAGTGTGTAACAAACTTTAATTTTTTAATTACAATCGCGTGGCCTGATTACAACAATAGAGTGAAATTTAGTGACACATTTGTAATTTTACTAACAATTGAGTGACACATTTGTAGTTTTACTAACAATTGAGTGACGTGTAATAAAATTTATCGTAATTTAAAAGGAAATACAGCAGGAGCACCGACACAAAGAGAAAGAAGGTGTCCAGCAAAAGAGACAGCAAAAGTTACTTAATAGAGTTGGAAGAAATTAAAGGTGTGGTAATGAAGGTTACCAAATTCCCAACGTGCTTGAACAAGTGCGATTTCAGGGTTGTTGACAAGGAAAGGGATGGCTCGCCATAGGAAGTCTGGTTCGGGCTGGAAATCTGCATCGAAAATGGCCACATAATCACACTGTTTCACGTAGCTACGCTTCATTCCTTCTTTCAAAGCACCTGCTTTGTATCCATTCCTATTGTCCCTTATCTCGTACTTTATGTTCATCCCTTTGCTTGTCCATCTTCGGCATTCTTGTTCCACCATGCTCTACCATCGGATTCCAACATCAATATTCCAATAAACGCTACTAATATTTCATACATGAGTAAAGCTACTCCAAATACCTTGATGCTATGATCCGTCGAGTCGTCGAGAACTTGGATTATGATCCGATCCGATGGCCATGAAAGTCCACAGGCAGCTCCGATGGAAAGTTGATAAACCTGTGTATATACCACAAATCTCAGATCAGAGATGGATTGAGGGGACTGGCCAGTTCCCTTTAAAAATTTCATATTCTTATATAACTTAAATATTTTCTATTGATAACGGTACATACTCATGATTTTATGCTAAATACGAACCTCTTTTTCATTGTACATTGGGATTTGTATTAGAACCATGGGGTAAGCACCATTACCGAGCTCAACATCATCCTTCATCGGCTCCCATTTGTACTTCTTCTCAGGCTTTTTCCCAAACAACTTGAGAAAGACTATGACAATCCCCATATACAACCTGTCGACGAAAAGCATTATCGACATGGCCAGACACAAGATGACCATAGCTTGCAGAAACGGCACGATCAGCGATGCCTTCATTTGCTTCCATATCAACCCGATTTGGCCTGTGACGATGCTTGTCGTCGATGTCACCGGTATCTGCTCCATCGAGATATATGTATATGTATATTGTGTGTGGTTTGGTTTGGTTATAAAGAAGAACATGAATGTTTTATTTGGTATCCTAGGAGGTGTGATTAATGCTTGTGAGTTACGTACATGCAAGGTTGTATTAGAGACAGCAAAGCAAACTAGGGTTTTGTCAGTAAGTAGATCAAAGCACTCCATTTCAGCACCACACCACAAAGGTTCGCCGAGGAAAAATGGTCAAAACTAAGAAAGGATCAACTGAACTTAATCTAAACGATTTCAGTAGTGAAAGAGAATATTTTTCTTTCTCAAATTTGAGTATGACGTATCCAAGATGCATATATTTTATCACCAATTAGTTAAAAATATTTCAAATAATACTAACTCATAATCATCCCAACTAATAAAAAAAATAGCGGAACTTAAACAGGCGATGAAATTAGGCCAATTCCCAGGCTTTCGTCCCTTTGGAATTTGGTATATTTTTCAACATGCAGCTAACCCAGCCGGGTTTACACATCGCTTTCAATCATTTGGCTTTGGGGTGATGGATGACAGAAAATGATGATAGGATTTCTATAAATAATATTTTTAGTTATAATATATATAGGTTAGTATCACTTACATAATATATATATATATATATATATATATATATATATATATATATACACGTATAATTTATGATCGTTTGATGAATAAAAATATATTGTTGAAATTAACTTATTTTTCTAGGTGAATATTTTCTCATTTTATACAGTAATTAATCTTAACCATATATTTTCATTCATCTAATGATCCTAAATCTATATAAAACTAAAATAATTTTACGTTATATAAATGCATCTCACCCTTATATATCAAGACCCTTATATTACACATTTTTGATGATTTATTCTCGGGTAAGTAAAACTTGATTTGATTAAAAATATTAGTTTTTGGACTAAATTCGAATTGCTTCGAATCAAAATTTTATAAATTTGACTCAATTAAAAAAATTAAATTTACAACGAGTTATAAAATATAACTCGAATAATAACTTTAAACTTTTAGTAATTAGTGGATTGATTTTTAAGTTAGAGTCAACCCTTCAATTATGTATGATATATAATATCACATATAAAAAAATATGAAGAGATATAAATGTATTTTATATGGTTATAGAAAATCATTTAAATTGCAATCAAATAGTATCATAATATTATAATTATTTACAATTAAATCTAAACAAAAACTTGAATAACTCAATTCAACTCTATTGAAATTTTATAAATTTGGCTTGATTCTAAAATAAATTTAAATAATATTTGAATTATAAAATATAATTCATTAACTCAAATAATTTAAACTTTCTTTTCACTCGATTCAATCGAACACTCACACATGCAAAAACAATCTTATGAACTAATCAATTAGACTGGAGCCCAAAATTACAAAAGCCCAGCCACGTAAAGTGCCTCCTTTACCAATTTAATCCTTCGTTTGGTCTTAAAATATCTAAAATGCCACTAAAAGTACCACCCAATAAAGCTTCATAAACCCTAACTGAAACTCAACCCGGCTGCTTTTTATTTTCCATTGCAGCAACAATCCTCTCAAAGGTTGCATTTTTCATCACTTATTCAAAACAAATTGTAAAATTAGAAACAATTTTTTGTTAGCTTTTAATGGCCAAGGGAGATGATTCAGTTAGAAGAAAGAAAAACAAAGTACAAAGAAAGAAACTAAATAGGAAAAATGATTCCTCAACTGTCTCAGCTCGAATTGCTTCCATTATCGCCGCCAAAAAGCGCCGAAAATCCGGTAAACGCAGCATGTGTCAGGTATTCTAATAACCCTTTTATAAGAACTATTGTTTTTTCATGCTGGTTATTTTTTTTTCTGGGTTAAATTTGGTTCTTTTATTATTTTTTGAAGTGCATATGATATAGTATTGAATTTTTTGAGTTAAAGATAGGGGACTGATCATGAATGGCGTGTTTTTATTTCTTTTATGAATTTCTTTATCCAATTTATCGTATTACGTGGGAAATGTAGAAACATTATTGGTAGGGATTATTTTTTAAATGTTCTTAATAGCATTTGGGATTGAATTAGTAGTTTATCAGCATATCTGTTATAGGTCTGTCGGGAAAGAACTAAATACTGATTTGTTTGTACCATAGAATGAGAATTTTGCATGATGAGCTTGAATCAGGAATGATAGTAGGTTTGGGCATGGTTTTTATTTTCATGAATTATAAGATTGTTCAGGTGGATATGAGTGAGAAAGGTCATCGGCTTTAATCTGTCTTCTTAACATAGTGGATTTTAACATGTTATTCAGGGGATGTGTTTTAGCCTTCCTACTCCTGACGATCCCTTCAATGATAGACTTGATAAGAAGGATATCAGTATCAAAACCATGCCTTCAAAACGGGATCAGAAAGTTTCAGCCAAGAGGGAGGACAATGTTCCAACAAAAGGAGCTGTTCTTGGGCATAATGTGAAAGTAGATAGTTTTGGAAAGGTAAATGAGAAGGTAAGGGCTTTGAAGGATGAACAGAAAAAATCAGTTACATTAATTACGAATGTGGGGAAGACTAGACACATAGACACTGGAAGATTGAAGATTCAGCCAGATAGAAAGAAGGTGGGTGTCCATAGTAATCGGGAACTAGCCTGTGAAAGTTCTGATTGTCCATCGAAGTATCTTATAATCTGCCTGAAAACAATAGAGGATTCACTGTATCCTGATGGTACCTACAATGGAGAAGAGGGAAAGCATCTATTTGTAAACCCATGGGGTATTGAGTTCTGGAAATGTTATTCTGCTGGTAAGGATATACTTGAGACAAGTGGCCCACCTTCTGATTTTGAGCAAATTGCATGGATAGCTTCAACTGCTGCTGATGTTATTTCTAGGAGAGAGAAAGAAGGTTACTTATTCACTGGTCCTTTCATTCTTTTCATTGTACCATCCAAAGAAAAAGCTCTCCGGGTTTGTATAATCCTCTCTATGCCTTTCCATTATATACTTATTAGTTTTTATATTTAATGACCTTTTTTCTCCAGCAGTTTTTCTTCTGTTATCTTTATTCTATCTTTAGAAGCCGGACACAAATCAGTAATATAACATGATTGGCCTACTGTGATATAAGCTAATATTAAGATATTTGATAGAAGGGACTTTGTGGCTATATTAATATTTCACCGTCTGCTAAGATAAATGGAAATAAATGTAAACGTATATCCAAGCGTTACAAATACACAAGAAAATTATCACATTTGAATAGAGTCTGTTTTGCTAGTTTAATTGTTAATGCATTTGATGCGGTAAGCCAATATTTTGTTAGTTTGTTTATTTAATAATTTCTCATCAATCCTGCTCAGGTGCGTTCACTCTGCAAGCCCCTGAAAGCTCAAGGCATACATACAGTGAGTTTACACTCAGGTGCTTCCATAGACCATCAGATCAGTGGGTAAATATAATCTAAATCTTTAAACCTTTTGCTGTAAAAGATTAATGTCGTCTTGTTTCCCTCAATTTCCGTGGTTTCTTCTGTAGTCTGCAGAGTTGTGAACCTGAGTTTCTTGTGTCAACACCCGAGAGACTCTTGGAGTTAATTTCCTTGAAGGCCATAGATATATCTGGGGTCTCCATGCTGGTAAACATGTCTTTTTCATTTGAAAATTCTCTTTGTTGCTTATGATATGCTCCCTCATTTCCATGCTCAGACTTTAATGTTATTTATGCTAACAAATATCTAAAATTATTGGTCAATATTTATGGTTATCAATGTGTATATAACTAGGTTGTCTTCTTAAGCCTTCTTTTATACTGAAATTTCTCCTGTCATATTTTTTTTTCTCAGTTCCATTTGTTCCAGTATTGCTTGATAGTTTGATTTTCAAATGTCGTTATTCTTGTGCATCAGTAGTGCAATTCAAGTTTGTTTTTGTATCGTACACATTGCATATAGGAAGCTTATACGTTATTTGAATATTTTTTTCTATTTTGGAATGTCATCAAGTTTCATTCTGAAACATAGATTTTTGACCCATTGACTTCTACTTGCACACGCATCCTTGCTACTTTTCTCCCTTTACATATCTACATGTATGTTTGTTGGTATTTATGTTGAAATTAAAAATCGTTTCTATCAACCTTCTGTGACGGCCTTAAACATCAAATCACATTTCATTGAAGTCATTAAATTTTATTTCCTAATGATTAAATTCTTTAATAGGTTATTGATGGTATGGAGTCTACTTCTGGTGGTTGTTATCTTGATACAGTAAAATCCATCAAGCAGGCTATTTCTGGAAAACCCCATACCACGGTATTCTTTAATTCCTTCAGTAATGCTTCTGTTCCGGCTGTGCAAAATCTACTGAATGGATCAGTCTATAGATTATCACTCAATGATTCTGTCGCCAGTCAAAGCGCTTGCATCATCCAGTCTATACATGTGTGCGCTTCAAAGGAAGAAAAGATAAAGAAGGTGGGCTTTTTTTTATGTGTTTGAACATTTGAATGTTGACTTGATATATATTGTGGATGAAAAATGAAAATATCTTACCATTGAGTTTGTTTTATTTTTTAAAATAAAAACTGAAATTTATACGGTCTCTAAACTTTATTAAAACTAAAGCAGTCTGAATCAAGCAAATATGTTTAGCTTGATATAGGTTCCAACTGAGTTAAATTGGTTTGGTTTTGAATGCAATTCACCGATCTCTCTTCTTCTGACACATTGGCTGTCAGTAACTTTTAGGATTAGACCATTCAACATTTTACTGCAATTAACTTTCTGTTTTTGGAAGGAATATTTTAGAGATACGGTCAGACTTAATGTTGGGATTCATTCTGAAATATCTGATCCCATTGGTAATTGGTTATAGATGCTTTCCATTTTATCTCTGTTCATTTATCACCTATTTATCATCATTTTGCTGTGATTGATGTAATGGTTACCATTATGCTCCTTCGGGTTTTCTACATGACATGCTTAATCATTTTTCTATTTCATCTTCTTCTTTCCTTTTATGGTCGTTGGACGAGGAGTCCAAAAACTATGGCTTCAATGAAGCCCGCATTTCTGTGGCCTTGTTTTGAAGCCTGAGGCACACTAAAGTGTCAAAAGGCGAGCGCCCCTTTAAACTCGCCCCGCTTAAGTACCTCATTTATCGCTGCACCTTAGTTCCTAGGCACACACCTTGACAACCTTGGTAAAGAGTAGGGTAATGTGGATCATCATGGGATGTGGGGACGTGGAAAACACGTGGTTGCTATTTTTATCAAACAATGATCAATTGATCATAGATTTGTAGTTTCAGTTGACATTGATCAGTATTTTGGGCGTTAAGATTTGACTTTCAGTTTTCCATAATTTAGTATTCTGAAAACTTGTTAATAATGATATTTTACAGGGCATTCATGCTTTGGATAATGCATGCAGCAATCAAATAATACCACAACCTTTGAAGGTGCTGTACATAGTTGGAAAAAACAATAATGTTCAAAAGTTAGCGTCAGCTATCAAATTCAAGGGATATTCCATCTCAACCAGCTGCTTCTCGAAAGTTATGGAATTTGAAAACAGGTAAATTACGAATTATATGTTCCTTTTCGAACTACTTAATGTCATGAAGATTTGATTTAAAAGATTTACGCATGTGAGACTCAATCTAAAAGTCATGTTTGACTTTAACTATTTAGGTTTTCTGTGACTCTGTTCTATATTTTTCCATGATACTTATCCTTGATATTCGATGGATGTTACTGTTCTTTTCAAGGAGCTTGCCAGCTATTTCCGGTGCTTGTATTCGTAACTGATATGTTGTTATTTTCTTCCCCAGTCTCGATTGTGGCAGACCTGCAGTCTCCATTATTGATACTGAACACATCAATTCTACAGATTTAGGAGAGTATGGTGTTGTAATAGTTCCAGATTATGTACCATCAGTTGATTATTATGTTCAAATTCTCACAAGGATGGCAAGGCACACAGTCAATGGTATATTGCATAGCTTTTTAACTAAAGATGATGCACGGCATGCCGGTCCATTGATTGGAATCCTTGAACAATGTGGTTTGGCAGTACCTGAAGAGCTAAAAAACTTGTGACGACGTGTATCGACCATGTTAGCATCTTCGAAAATAAGTATAGTTCTTTCAAAGATCCTCCAGTCTCTTTGCGGGAAATGTTGTAAGGTGAACTGTGCATTCTTTTACATTTAGCCCGCACGTTTTGCTAAGAATTTGTAAAATTAGGTTGTGGCAACAATTATTTTAACATATAGTTTTAAATATTCAATGGTTGAGTTGACAATTAGTGGCGTTCTACCACAACTAGAAAAGGCTATGTGTTATTTGATTTTGATCTTTACAATGGAACTCTTGAATGTAGTCAAACTTTACAGCAATCCATTGTTTCTATCTATGATCCTCCCCTTCTTCCTATTAACTTGGCTTAAACCGGCAAAAAGGAAAAACCTGAATCTGCCTCCACCCCAAAACTACCAATTATTGGCAACATCCATCAACTAGGCAAGCTTCCCCACTGCTCTTCCGAGACCTCGGGTAAATATGGTTCCCTCTTGCTTCTGCAGTTGGGGTAAAAATCGACTTTACTGGTTTCATCAGCCGACACGGTTAGAGAAATCGTCAAAAACCATGCCATCGTTTTCTCCAATCGGCCAAAGATCACAGCGGCAAATATCTTTCTTAACGGATGCAAGTTTGCATTTCTATTCAGCTTGTCATTGCCAAGTCGAACTCCTACTATCTGTGACTCACCAAGTCCTTTTAACAACAATACGATTGGAACATAATTAACATACTCTCCTTGTCATTTTCTCTACGAAATTGACTTGATTTTGATGGTTTTGCTCATCTTTGTGTTTAATCCAACAATTAGTTTCTCTGTGATCGTAGTTCTTGCAATACCGACATTGGATAGCACTCTTGAATGGTACGTTCACCAAACTAGCATAATTGTTAATGTGATTCTCCTTAAACAAGCAAGTCTCCGGACAGGGTCTTGCAAAAATAACTTATCAAGTGATAAATTTATAAACTTTTTAGATAATTATATTTGATTAAATTCTAATTATTATTAAAGGGTCCATCCCTTTGGGTTAATGTGTTAGGTCACACCATCTGATTAAAGAATCAATGACCATTACTAAAGTTATCTTTTTGATAATTTTAGGGACTATATTATAATTTTTAAAAATTTGGTGACAAACTAAAAAAGGAGTTAAATGATTAAAATATGTGTAATTTACCCTAAAATATATGCACAAATATAACTTTTGAAAAGTTTACATTATTTTATCTGAATTTAAGATTTCTCATATTAGATTTGTATTACGTAATCATGTTTATCGTGCATTATTAACATATATTTTACAAGTTTTTATAATGCATCCTCGTATTATGTCTCCATCATAATTATATTAAAAAATTTATATTTTACGACAGAATTTCTTTCCAAGATTTGTTAGGCTAAGTATTGTTACTTGTTTACCTAAACTGCCTTTACTTCTTCGTCAATCTTTAAAAATTTAGGATAAACAACACCGTTAGTCAGTCGACTATTAGTGTGGTTTTGTTTTAGTAATCAAACTTCACAAATTTACGTACTGATTACTAACGTTATTAACGTTTGCAAATTTAAGAATGAAAATAGATTATTAATAAAAATATATATTTAAAATATTTAGAAAAGCGATTATCTCCGCGTACCCTCGGTCGATCCCCGCAAAGCTATAAAAGAGGCAAATTGGTGCAGAATTTCATCATCAAATTTGCTAATGGAGCTGCCGAATAATATAGCTAAACTTTCCATGAATGCATTGTTTCCGTCTCTGATTCTCCTTCTCTCCCTTTTAATCTGGCTCAAACTAGCAAAATCAATAATCCTTAATCTTCCCCCATCACCCCCAAAGCTCCCAGTCATCGGCAACATTCATCAGCTCGGCAAACTCCCCCACCGCTCTCTCCGAGACCTCTCGAGAAACTACGGTCCCCTCATGTTTCTGCAGTTGGGGGTACAATCCAACTCTAGTAGTTTCATCAGTCGAAATGGTCAGAGAAATTCTCAAAAACCATGACATCGTCTTCTCCAGCAGACAAAAAACCACAGCCGTAGACACCTTGTTTTATGACTCAAAAAGCTTGGGTTTTTCACCCTACGGTGAGTACTGGAGACCACTGCAACAACAACCGAGTGGGTAATGGCTGAGCTTTTAAACAACGCAAGTTCCATGAAAAAGGTCCAAGAAGAGGTAAGAAACGTAGTGGGAAACAAACACAAGGTAGAAATGGAGGACATCAACAAAATGAAATACTTAAAAGTGTGTGGTCAAAGAAACTTTAAGACTACATCCGCCTGGTGTTTTTGTTCTTCGAAGAACATCAACAAGTGTCAAACTCGGAGGCTACGACGTTCCTTCGAACGCTACGATCTGGATCAATGCATGGGCCATTAACAGAGATCCCAAATGGTGGGAAAAACCAGGACAAGTGGCTTTATACAATTCAAGCATGATATGTATGGGAAGATTACAAGTAGCTATCGAATCAACTCTTGTGTTTAAAGTAGGAAATAGATCTACAACATAACTAAATAACTGTCAGCTAGAGAAACAATATTAGAAACAACCCTGAAAATTAAAAAAAAACCCCATTGTTTTCAAAGAAAAAAAATAAAAGATGTATTAAACAAAATAAAATAAAGAAGACTGTTCTACAAAATAAATCTCTAAAACAAAACCTACAAATATAAATAAGGTAAAGAAACATTTATTTGTTAATTTGAATGAATAGAAGAGGATTAAAGTGAGAGAGAAAGGTAAAGTATTAATTTGCATGTGGTTAATTTGTCAGCTTAAAATATGTTATACTCCACCAATTGCGTTTACTAATTTATTTGTTATAAATTAGACGATACGGAACATTTAATATAAAACACCATCCAATAGCCTTAGCTTGTTTACAAGCAATCAAAAGTCGAGTTTAAATACAAGATTTAATAACGTGAGGAAGCATTCCACTAATTCGTTAATTAAGTGATCAATTATTCACTAGATACACATAGTAAAGACTTTAATTTTTATATGTTTTTAAATCTTTAGACTAATTAAATTTAGTGATCGGAATTAAAATTCTTGAATTTTAGATAATCTATTCTTTTTTTTCCTTTGTCTCATAAATCTCCAAATCTCATTTGTCCACTTTAGTTCATTTAACGATGCAAAAAGTAGGTGAAATTTAAAAGTTTTTATAATATGTTAATGGATTCTATCTAGGGATGGCAATGGGTCGGGTCTGGTTTTTGGGCCATCCGACCCGACCCGAGAAGAAAATATCCTCCACCCGTGACCCGACCTGATGAAATTAAGGTTTCACCCGACCCGACCCGAATATATGACTTAGAAACCCGACCCGACCCGAAATAATAAAAAAATATATATTTTTATTTAATAAAAATAATGACTTAATTGAAAAAAATTATATATAGAGGGGTATTATTGTAATTATCTCTAAATATATAGGATAAAATTATATATATTTTTCGGGTCGGGTCGGGTCAGATTTTTCCACCCTAAACCCAAACCCGACCCGACCGGACCCCGGATTTTTTTTAAAAAAAATCTGACCCGATCGGGTCGGGTCGGAACCCATCGGGTTCGGGTTGAGTTGTCATCCCTAATTCTATCTTTCTCTTGATCCAATATAAAACTTTTAAATTTTATATATTTTTAAATTGTTGAACGGGTGAAAATTAATTGTTAAGATTAACATTAAGAAATGAGAAGATTTTTATAAAAAAAATGATGGAATATACTTAATTTAAAAGCTTTAATCTTATACATCTTTTTCAAAAGAAATAATCTTATATATACATCAAATTCAGTGGACTCACATGGTTTAAAGCAATATTTTATTCTTCTTTTTGTTTAATCATCGGTATATGATCTTATGATCGACTATTTCGAATTGAATTTTACATAGGTCTATTATGGGCGACCCTCCCAACCCAGTTTGCTCTTGTAATACCCCAAAATTCTGTTAGTGACTAAAATGAATAAATTGAAAGTTTAGTGGTTAAAATATAAATGTGAGAAGAGTTTAGGGACCAAAGTGTAATTTTAAAAAGTTATGTAATTTGGTCCCGTAAATAAATAGTTTACCCCCAATAATGATGTTTCTAAGAGTTTCAAATTTTTTGTACGGATTTTGTATTAAAAACTATAATGCAATAAAATTCGAAAAAAATTCGGATAATTGGATTGAATTAGATTTTTGAGATATTTTGGAGGATGATAAGGTAATGTCAATATTATCATTTCCATGTATTAATTCAGAAGGATTTAATATGGACCATTTGATTTAAGTTGATTTTTCATGCTTGTATAAAAAATCAGTTGGAAAAATTCACATAATCGGAACGAATCAGATTTTTTAGATATTTTGGAGGATGATAAGACAATGTCAATAATGTCATTTACATGTCTTAATTCGTAAGGATTTAATATGGACCATTGGATTTAAGTTGATTTTTCATGCTTGTATGATGATTGAAATCACTTGGAAATGCTTATGTTGAATTTGGCTACTTAGGGTTTATGTTGAAATTGGAAGTTTTAATTGAAGTTGATATGTAATTGGTTGGAGTTACATGGAATTGGTGGTAGGAACTTGAATTCACGCTTGAATCAAAGTGGAAATGATGCTAAAATACCCTATATCATTCGGCCACGGTGAAGAAATTAAGGATGCAAAACAATAAAAACTGTTTAGATTTTTTAATCTGGCAGTAAGTTTAAAAAATCACTAGAAATTCTATAAAATTATTAGGACGTTATTTTTATATTGTTGTGTTATTATGTCAATCTAGTTTCTTTTAAAGCAAACAAGGATTGATTTCAAAGTAAATAGTAAAATATATGAATTTTTTATCGATGATAGGTCAGAAAACATGGCAGCAAATTCTACTCAAAACAGAATCTAGAAATTGGATTATAAGATTTACTATAAATTGTACATGTTGAATTAGAAAGAGTGCTTTATATGGTTAGATTCGTATTTGAATTTAATTTCAAACGGAACAAACGAAATTAAATTTCATTGTGTAGATTAATACAGAATAATCATTCTTTAAGGGTAGTGCAGGCTGTCAAGATATGGAAATTATAGAAATGAAGTGGAAATTGATTGAAGTTAATGTACTATGCTTGAATAAATGTCATATGGCTTGACCATGTTATTAGATGGTTGAATTTGAAGTTAAATAGGTGGGGACCATTGTGAATAAACATGATATGTTGGGATGAATTCTAAAAGAATTCATTTGAATGGTTAGATTGTAGATTTTGAAATGATTATGTGAGCTATTGGTTGATATGAGTATTATGAGGATTGAAGTTGTATTTTGAAGTGTTAAGGTCAACATGAATTATATGAAATGGATTTAATATCGATTAAGAATCAAAATAATTTTAGAAATTTTTATGCTAATGTGATATTATGTTCATGTTAGTAAGACACTAACATGTACTTTGAAATTGTATGTGATTTGTATATGTGTACATGAAGATCGTGATCAAAATCGAAATCAAAGCAAGCTTAAAACTAACGAAAAAGTTCAGGAGTGAAGTATGAATCGCTAAGTAAGGTTACCAGTGAGGCATTACCATGTGAGTGCATTTTACTTACACTATTACAAGTATAACATGAGGAAGATTTGCGATGAATCAACATTGAAAGATTCGAAAAGAAAAAGATTTTCAAATCGTATTTTCTACATTTCATATTATTTTATTAAATGATATTGAATAATTTCGAGCATGAATTGCCTATTGTACTATTATATGATACTTGATTCTGTTGACATTTGAAAAGATCATGATAAGTGAATGATATATGATTTTGATGAAAATGCTTATTGTAAATGCATTGAGAGTCATAAGTATTATTGGCATGCCATAGAGGTGGAGCATTTAGCACGTTTGACGTTACTTATATAATGGTGGTGCTACTAGCAACTGCATGGTATTTAGCACTTCTGACGTTATGTAACAGTGGTGCTACTATTAGTTATATGGTACTTAGAACGTCTAATGTTACTTATGTGACAGTGGTGCTAATGTACATTCCGAATACATTTATGGCACATATTTGATATTGGTACTCGCACATCTAACGTTACTTATGTGATGGTGGTGCTAATGTACATTCCGAATACATTTATGACACGTATGTGATATTGGTACCCGCACATATGTGATGTTGATGCGATGTATTTCTTATTATTAGCACATTGATATTGTGTACTACTGTACTTATGCATTATATGTGGCACTAAAAGTGCAATAGTATATGTTCGACTGACTCGCATACCTTACATTCTCATTGGTTTACATTGGACTATGAAATGAATAAAAGTGAAAGGCACAAGTTTGAAATGAAATGAAAAGTACAAGAATTGAAGTGAGATGGAAAAGTACAAGTTTGATCTACTTACGTTGGAACAAAGTTTCCATCGAGAACTTTGATTTGGCATTGAAAGCCTTATATATATGAAATGTTTTTTTACAAGTTATTTTATATGATATTGACTTTAGTAAGTTAAATTGGTTTTATTAAAAACTTTTATATGATTTTTATTATTTATTTTAAAGTTATCTACCTCACTAAATATTTACTTAGCGTCTAATGATTTTTCACACATAGGTAAAGGAAGTTGAGTGGAGTAAGGAGCATAGTTTGGCATCATTTATCAAGGTATATTACTGAAATCAGTAATGACATCCTACTGTTGTCATATGTTTTTATATGAAGGGATGCTCTGATATGTCTATAATTTTAAATGATATGTAAAAGTTGTTTATGAGGTTTTTAGTAATTAAAATATGATATGAATATGTTTGAAACTAGTTTAAAATGGATAATATTTGTTTTCAATTACCAATAATAAACATGGTTTACTAATTAGTATTTTAGTAAATTTGACTATTTGCTATCAAAACGAATTGTGTTTTAGGCAATATCACTCTTTACATGAAACAATATTGAACTGTCATGTTGCTGCCTGAAAATGGATTTGAGTTGAATATTAAAATATTATATTTTGATGTTATGCGATTTGGAATTTTTAAGTCTTTGACATTATTTGAATGATTTTAGAAAGAAACAAATTTTACTGATTTTCGAATAACAAATGTTTTAAAAGTATCATGTAACATCTTGAACTCGTATTCAGTAACGTATACTGGAAATGGGTGTTACAGCTCCATTCACAAATGTCAGGAATTTGATTCCTAACTTTTCTTAAGAGATCTAATGTCTCTTCCCATTAGATCAACTGATTGTTGGTATGTTATTTAATCACAAGTATCTAATCTATTAATCGAATAATCTGAATATAACACGGACAGTACAAAGACTCATTATGGTGGACTCAAATTTAAATTCAACCTCAACATTGATGAAGCCTAAATAGATGCTTAGTTTAGACCTCAACAGTACAATCCTTCCCATAAAAAAATTCAACAAGTCTAATCAATTTCCAGCATCCTACAAAAGGAAGTCTTCAGAAACAAAAATCTGGATGCAAATTAGGCTATATGGCCCTTATTTGAAGAAAACAATTCAAGCCAGAAGCCGCATGAATAAGGTTGACCAAAGTGTGAGGGAGATTGACGCCACTGCATAAGTCCATATCATAATCACTGAACTTTCACTCTGACCGAGCTGCAAAATCTCAGATATCGTACCTGCAGCGCACCCATTGTTCATTTACATCACTCAACTTTCACTTCTGCCATAGAAGATGATGCAAAAAATCATACATAGTACAAGTTGTGTCATTACCTACAGCAGTTGCAGGCGGAACAGCATACTGAAGCATCAAAACGAATCGATATAAGGAATCCGATGTGACGATTCCCGAACGGTGAGCTGCTTTCACAAAATATATCCCCAAGAGAGGCATCACTATGTTCCTCACTGCTAAAATCCCTATAATCACAGACAGGCTAACTTCTGATCCATTTAAACCTCTCAGAAGGTTTGCCCCTAGTATCAAGGTCAAGCATGGAATTGCTGCCTCCCTGCATATCAGAAAACAGATAAGGCTACTTGTAATTACACCAGATGTCTATGATGAATTGTTTCATACCCCAACAAATTTACAGTAGTGTCATTACCTACAGCAGTTGCCAGCAGTTAAAAGTATTTTTCAAATACCACTGCAGTTGCTGTAGGTGCAAACACCTTCTTCAGATCAATCTTCCTCATAATCATCTTAAGATGATGAATTATCATCTCAAAAACAAGCACTTAATCATATAAATGAATGGCTTCCAATCAACATTTGCAACAAAGATAGCACTAGAGAGTGGAGATGAAAATTTCAGTGCGATAAACCTTTTCTCCTCCCCCGTAGGTCGTTCGAGGCAGTCCATCTCGCGCGAAATAATATTCAGAACCATGGCAATTTGTTGAAGGTAGTAAAGCTTCCCCTTCACTTGCATGCTTGCGCATGATGGTATACACATACGGCCACATAAAAATGGATCCTATCTGTTGATTAAGACTAAACAAAGAGAAATTTAAACTAATAACGTTCTATAATTAGATGATTATTTTATAATATTTAATAATTAATAGACTCAACAAAACAACGTCCTATAGTTGATGACTATTTATATACTTTACTCATAGAAATAAGATTGATCAAATATATTATTATCACGACCCTTTAAATAGTGCATGTCAATTATTCAAAATAAATAATTTAAACAATATTGACAAATTCATGAATGATTGTATGAATCCACGGCCAACCGCCACTTGTATTAAAGTTGTCTTAGACAAATTTCTCTTTTAATATCAAAACAAGCATTTATAAATTTGGGTAAATATTGATATTGGCACATAATTTTAGTTTCAAGTTTTAATTTATACTTAAATTTTACTTAGTTCAATTAACTGCTTGAATTTGAATTTTATTTTAAATAGATACCAAAATTTAACTCATTTGTTCAATTTAGTACTTGTGATTTTTTTTCTCAATTAGATAGTTAAATGTTGATTCTCGATTCAAATTGATACATGAACTTCACTTTTTGATCTAACTTAATATTGTAATTACTATTTTATAATAATTTGACAAATTCAATAATCGTTTTTAATTTTTAAAGTTTAATGATCAAAACAATCAATTTTTAATTTTCAAAAGTTTAATTATTAAAATAATCATTTGAATATAATTCAGTGACATTTAGTGTAATTCACCCTAATTCTATTTATAGTATAGTCAAAATCTATTGGTTGGACTTGTTAAATGTTGCCACCGGATTTATGAAGTGGTTTGTAATCTCCGACAATTTCCACTAATCCGCCGCTTGAAATTATTACATAAATACCGTGTACGATGATTGCGTATTGAATCATTGTCCAGTTCTGTCATCCCTAAGAAGCCATTGATTCTCTCAGAAAATGAATTCAAATAACTTGTTTCTTGAAGAGCCCATGCGAATGGCTTCTATTCTTGAGCCATCAAAGCCTGTAAGTTTCTTTCTTTTTCAAAAATTCTTTTTGTTTTTACTGTTTATTGATCTTCTGATTTTCTTGGTGATGAGTAACATGAGGAGAAATCAAAAGAAGAAATGAGTAAAAACAAGAGCATTATATGTATGATCTGAGAATTTGTTTGATCCTGGCAAAATAAACAATCAAGATCATTGTTTGTTTGATCTGAGAATTTGAACAGTTTTACTTCTAATTAGTTAAAGGAACTTGTGTGTGTGTGTGTGTGTGTGTGTGTGTGTGAAGAAATGAGTAAAAACAAGAGCATTATATGTATGATCTGAGAATTTGTTTGATCCTGGCAAAATAAACAATCAAGATCATTGTTTGTTTGATCTGAGAATTTGAACAGTTTTACTTCTAATTAGTTAAAGGAACTTGTGTGTGTGTGTGTGTGTGTGTGTGTGTGTGTGTGTGTGTGTGTGTGTGTGTGTGTGTGTGTGTGGAAGAGTATACTATAATTATTTTTTTTTAATCCTTAGAAGTTTTTGGATCATATTACTAATTTTTTTGGTTTGAATGTGGATTGCAGAGTTTCTTTCCTGCAATGACAAAAATTGTGGGGACACTCGGTCCGAGTGTGTGTGTGTGTGTGTGTGTGTGTGTGTGTGTGTGGAAGAGTATACTATAATTATTTTTTTAATCCTTAGAAGTTTTTGGATCATATTACTAATTTTTTTGGTTTGAATGTGGATTGCAGAGTTTCTTTCCTGCAATGACAAAATTGTGGGGACACTCGGTCCGAGTGTGTGTGTGTGTGTGTGTGTGTGTGTGTGTGTGTGTGTGTGAAGAGTATACTATAATTATTTTTTTTAATCCTTAGAAGTTTTTGGATCATATTACTAATTTTTTTGGTTTGAATGTGGATTGCAGAGTTTCTTTCCTGCAATGACAAAAATTGTGGGGACACTCGGTCCGAATTCGCAATCTGTTGAAATAATATCTAGTTGTCTTAAGGCTGGAATGTCTGGTAATACTTTCTTTTCCTGGCTTTTGAATATTAAATTTGCGTTATCATAGTCATGATAGTGCAATTTTTTGTCTAATTTTTGACATCAAATCTGAGTCCTTTCGGCTGTATTTGTTTTCATTGGAAGGCAGTTCAATTTACTTTTTCACGTTAGCTTTTTGGATGATTATGCTTTGTTTTCTTCAGTGGCAAGGTTTGATTTTTCGTGGGGTGATACTGAATTTCACCAAGAGACATTGGAAAATCTGAAGGCTGCTGTTAAGATTACTAAGAAGCTTTGTGCTGTAAGCCTCCTTTGCTCTTTCATTTAAAACCGGCTTTTTATTTTCCTTCTGTCATTTTACTCAATTGAAGTCCTTCGTATGTTCATACAACGGTTCATCCTAGCCTAGATGAATTTGTTTGTTTTTGTTTTTTGTTCTTCCTTGGAAATCCCATCCTCATTTACTAGAAATATAAATACTGCAATGTTGGACTTGTGATTTCAGATTATGCTTGAGACCGGAGGTCCAGAATTGCAAGTAGTTAATAAATCCGAGCACCCGATTACCCTCGAGGCAGATACAAAAGTAATACTTACCCCGGATCAAGATAAACAAGCTACTTCAAATCTGCTACCAATAAATTTTCATGGACTATATAAGGTCAGCAACTTCTTGTGAGATCTATAAATTTCATGGAGTATCAGTAGTCTGATATTTATCTCACTTTTGCATCTCATATTATCAATTTCTTTTCAATATCTTACATATGGATCGTATGTCTTCATGTACTCCATAATTATTGTCCTTAGAGGTTGTATATTAATGAAAGGGGATTTTCTTGTTCATCATCCACTTCTTCACATACTTGTTAACTGAATTTCTTTATCCGTAGTGGATGTGACCTTTCTGTTTTCGATTAGTAGTACACTGGAAAAGACTTCATTATCTCTCGTATTCTTCCCCTCCCTTCCTCCAGGTTTTCTCATGAAAAAGTAGCGTGTTAATTTCTGCATTCTAACGACAGTAGTTGACTCTGTTCCATTTGGTACTTGCAGGCGGTTAAGAAGGGAGATACTATATTTATCGGCCAATACCTGTTTACCGGAAATGAAACTACATCAGTGTGGTTAGAGGTAAGGGAAAAGGTTGCATCCCTTGCTAATGAAAAATATATTGCATAGAGGATGAGAAGTTAAAATGGTGTGGAAATTTAAGGGCCATTAATGTGATTCGTGTCTTGGTCCAGGTCGACGAGTTGAATGGTGAAGATGTGGTTTGCCTAATCAAGAATTCTGCTACTCTGTCTGGGACATTGTATACCTTGCACGTCTCTCAAATTCGTATCGAAATGCCTACTTTGACTGATAAAGATAAGGAGGTAATTTTCGTATTTCTATTTGATGTTGGATGTGCAATGGAAGAACGAGCATAAAAAACTAATATACCTTGTGTAATACTAGAAATAGAATAGTCAATTGCTGTTAGATGCATGTTTAAATTATGTGACGAGCCAATCCATCGAGTGTTTGATAGATTTTTTCTTTGTTTCTTTTACTCCAAGAACATAAACAAAATGATATGTTTTGAAGGCACTTTTTGAGATTTTGTTAACATGATTATGTTTTGCATCAGGTTATAAGCACCTGGGGTGTTCGAAACAATATAGACTTCCTTTCTTTGTCATATACCCGGCAAGCGGAAGATGTTCGTCAAGTAAGAACTTCCTTGCCCGGAGTTCCTATTGTTTAATTATTTCACTTTCCCCCTTTGCATTTTCATCATTCTGGTTTCTTAAAGTTGGTCCCAAATTCATAATATTTAGGCCTGAAGTTATGATTTCTTTCCATTTTACTAGTTACGTTTATCATTTCTGTGTACAGGCTCGTTCTTTTCTTTCTAAACTGGGTGAGCTCAACCAGACTCAAATTTTTGCAAAGATCGAAAATATAGAGGTCAGATGCATAAAAAGGCAGTTTCTAACACTCATTTGATTTGTACTTGAGATCGGTTTCGAATCAGAACCTTGTCTTTTATCAAATGCTTGTAGGGGTTAACTCATTTCGATGAGATCTTACAAGAAGCAGACGGAATCATCTTTGCTCGGGGAACTCTCGGGGTAGATCTCCCTCCTGAGAAGGTTAGCTTTTTTATTTCCACTGGCAGTGCACCGAATAGTTGTCCGAATTTAAAAGGCTTGATGATGTTGCTGATAGCTAGGAGGTATTGAGTGGCATCATTTATTTATTTATTTATCTGATTTTTAACCAAACATCAGCTAGTAAATTGTATTTGTAGGCAAAGTGATGCATCCCTACATCTGAAGTGGACTTTTGTTTCTTCATAAAACTGCCCTACTAGTTATTCGGACATTCTTCTTCATAAGAATGGATATCCCATTCTTTTAATTTATGGGACTAGACCAGCACCTCTAACTAGTTTCTTTTATCATTCTTCCATTTGAGATTTACAGGTGTTTCTATTTCAAAAAGCTTCTGTTTACAAGTGCAACATGATGGGAAAGCCTGCGGTGATCACTCGTGTCGTGGACAGTATGACAGACAACCTGAGACCTACTCGTGCCGAAGCAACTGATGTTGCCAATGCTGTGTTGGATGGTTGATTTTTGTTCACTTATACAATGCCCTTTTTTCCCTCCATTCTGTTGCCTTTGTGTCAGGTTTGATGAATTCAATCTATTGGAATCTTATTTTTCTTCTACTTTTTGGTTCAGGGAGTGATGCAATACTTCTAGGGGCAGAAACCTTGCGTGGACTATACCCCGTCGAGACCGTCTCTACGGTTGGAAAAATTTGTGCAGAGGTGAGTTCGGTACTTCGGTTTACCCTTGATCAGGAAGCCTGTTTGTTTCTACTATCCTAAGAAGTTTTATGGAACCACATATTGTGCCTGTTGTAATTTCCTTATACATGAATGTTCATTCTTATCGGTTTCCCTTCGGTATATATAAGGGTTCAAGGGTTTGAATTTTCGTTCCGATGAGCCTAAGGCTGATCATTGTACTGAACTCGGCCTCTAAATGAATTGCTTTCTGCAGGCAGAAAAAGTTTTCAATCAAGATGTATACTTCAAGAAAACTGTCAAACATGTCGGAGAACCAATGACTCATCTGGAATCCATTGCTTCTTCTGCGGTATTTACCTTTGATGCTTCCTCCTTTAAACTGTTTCTGTTTCCATCTATCCATGCGATACGGTCGAAACAAGGTATTGTAATGGAAAGAAAATAGCTACCTTGGAGACAGGTAGATTCATTAAAGGAATCTCTATCCTATCTATTGTCATATAATTGATTTGTGTTCGATGTAGGCTTGCATAGTTATGGTATTACCTTGTAATTATACGACTAAAACATCTGGAAGTCAAATTTTCGAGTCCTCGTATGTATAAGCGAATTTAATGTACTGCAGGTACGAGCGGCTATCAAGGTCAAAGCCTCTGCAATTATTTGCTTCACTTCATCCGGACGGGCGGCGAGGTTAACTTTATTATATTGTGTCCATTTCTTCTTGTTTTTTTTTTTAGTTCTTCGAGCATGGCACGCAAACATTATGCATATACTTCTTTCTTTGCTGACTGATGGCTAGTTGTAACTTCAAACATTGTTGTACTAGTGCAGGCTGATCGCAAAGTACAGACCATTAATGCCTGTGATATCTGTTGTCATCCCTCGGCTAAGGACAAATCAACTACGCTGGACTTTCTCCGGTGCTTTCGAGGTATGTCACTGGTTATTCATTCGAAAGCTCGAAATTAGTCTCTTCGTCACTCTGTTTCTTTTCTTCCAACCGTTGCAGGCAAGGCAATCCCTCATTGTTAGAGGCCTTTTCCCCATGCTGGCTGACCCTCGACATCCGGTAAGCCATTTATTCGGGGCTGTAGCATAATATTTCATATGAATCTTGCAGCCTTCTCTACCATGCTCGGGTTTTGCAGGCGGAGACGAAAAACGGCACGAACGAATCTGTTTTGAAGGTCGCTTTAGATCATGGGAAGGCCTCGGGTATTATAAAGCCTCACGACCGTGTCGTCATCTGCCAGAAGCTCGGTGATGCATCGGTGGTGAAGATCATTGAACTTGAAGATTAGAATGGAAGTTTGAAGGTAATGTTGATGAGATGTATCACAGTTTTACCGAGTCCATGACCTGAAAAGGGGCGTTAGTAGACGTATAAAATAAAACCGGCATCGCGGGAATAAATTTTATCTTGATAAATATTCGATTAATCGATAAAACAAACCCAATTAAACTTAATAGAATATATATTTTCTATAAAAAATAGAATATATAATAAATATATTCAGTCTTTTTAAATGAATTCAATTAATATTATTATCGATTCGATTAGGCAGATGTATGTTAAAAATACATATCTTAAAAGGACAACAACATAAAATAAATAGCACGAAATAAGCTTTAGAATATATTCATTTTTTCTTGTACAACTAGTTCTTTAAAATTCAGAAAATCAATTAAATATTTCAAAATTGTTAATTTTATTAAAAATAAAAATATTCATATAAATAAAAGTTGCGACCAGGTAAACTAATACATAATTAATATATATTTTTTTAATTATTAATACAAAAAAACTAATCACTTAACATCACACAAGGACTATATAAGGAAATGATTAAAATATTTGACTAAATAAGGTTGAACAGAAGGTAGATACGAACATATTTGATTGTATCGGCAAAGAAACCTTAAAATGGATCATGTTATTAAAAGATCACCGATAAACTGCAAATCAAACTCGAGTGATGTGAAAAAACTATCCACGAACGTAAATTATGTATCCAAATCTAATCATAAAGTCCAAAGTAAGGATGATTAGTATGCTAACAAATAAAGCACAATTTTAATCAGTTGTGACAATGTCAAATCTAATCTTAAGAAAAATAAAAACAATTATCAAACGACTGAAAATGTGTCATAAAAAGAGATGAAAACTTATCATAAAGACAAAGTTATTGAAAATTTAAATACAATTAAAAAGTAAGGATACACTATAAGAAAAGAAAAGAAAATAATTAATACCAACAGAAAAATATTTTAAAATGATATTTTGATGAATAATTTAAAATAATGAATTCACAGTTTTTATAGATAAATAAATGATCATTGATATTTTTTTCAATCAAGAAGGACTCAAAAGATGCGTTTATATGATAATATAAAACATTTGCCTAAAATCCTATTCGACCTATTAGCTCAATTGGTTAGAGTGTCGTGCTAATAACAAGAAGGTAACATGTTTAAAACCTGCATGTGCCAATTTTTCATATTTCCACTCATTTTTAAACAACGTCGTTTCCTCTGGACCAATACATTTTTAGATCTGGATGTAATTCTGAATATTAGTTTGTCTTGAGGTTTTTTTTCATGTCAAATTTGACCTCTTTATGCTATTTTTCTCTTTTTGGATTTTGTTTTAGGTAGTAGGTTGAGTTTGAAGTTAATTTATGGATTTTGATGTTAGTTCTGATCAGAGAAGATAATCGAAGAAGCGGAGGCGGTGGATACAAGGATGATAACTAGGGTTTGTATATAATTATAGTTAAAATGTTATAAAAAAAATAAAACCAAATTAAAAATTAATTATTTTTGTTAATGTGTCATGTCTTAATGACTAAATTATAATAAATTGATAATATAAGTGATTGAAATTTATTTTTAAAATTTCATGAACAAAATAAGATAAAGTGAACATAAAAGTGACTTCTGTATCAGTGTATCCAAAAAATGTCTCATCATGAATACTATCCCTAGAATTTTTCTCACCCTTAGGAAAAATATTTTGGATAAACTTATAAAAATCCAATTTTGAAGAATGAATTCCTACATATCATAGATTTTTTCTCGATCTTATGAAATTTAATATTAGAGTTGTGTATAGTGATGCTTTATGAGATACAAATTTGGTATATTTTGATATGATTTTATATTTTTTTAATTCAAATTTAAATTGAATTTAAGGTGAAAAATATTAATTTTACCCAAAATAATTGTGTAATTATTTCTTATTTATTTAAAGATAATTGTAACGATACTATCATATCTATATTTTTTTCAATTAGGTCTCTTATTTACCAAATAAAAATGAAAATTTTATATATATTTGTGTATGGTCAAGTGTGGGCTTTTACCCAAAAATTAAGTCGAGTGAAGCCTCACTTATTTTAAATTGGATTAAGTAATGAATATAGTAGTCTAATACTTGAGTCATATTGGGCCGATCTAAAATCTGATCCGATCGATTTTCATCTCTAGAGATGACAACAAGATGGATAAATATAGATTTTTTTTATCGGAATAAATCTAACATAATTGTATCATAAAAAAACTTGATCTTAATTCAATACGAGTTTAAAATATTTCTACTCATCTTGAACTCGATCCGATTCGATATGATTTAACATGATTTTAAAATTTTCACTTAAATTTTATCAAAACAAAAAATAATAATTTATTTAATTTAATAAAAAATGTTAAATTAAATTTTAACTTAAATATTTTTATTAAAACTTAACAAATAATTTATAAATCTATTAATATATTTTTATAATTATTTTAAAATGAGACAAGATAAATTCTTTTTTTAATTAATCATTGGTATCTAATCTATTACCGACTACTCTAGATCGGATACTGTAAAAGTGAGGGCGACCCTCAAACCAGTTTGTTCCATTCGCAAACACCAGGTTCGAACCCTACAACCTTACTTAAAAAATCTAGTATCTTATCCTACTAAACCAACTGATTGTTAGTGGACAAATTCATTTTAAATATGATTTCATCTAACTCAAAATTTAAATTTTATAAAAATTAATGAGTTAATTACATGTCTTCAAATTATGATCCTCATTTTAAATTGGTCACTAAACTTTTAAACATTATAAATTCATCCCTAAAATATGATAATCATTCTAAATTAATCCTTAAACTTTTAAATATTTTTGTTTCATCCCCAAGATATGACATTCATTCTAAATTGCCACTAAACTTTTTAAATTTTCAATTTCATCCCAAACTATATGTATATACTAATCACATCCCTTATTAATAAATTTTTTAGGACAAGTTATATTATTATATGTTTGAGAAAAATTGAAATTGAAGTTAAACTATGATTGAAACTACTTACATATATGGATGAATTTATGGGTGAAATTGGAAGATTCAAAAGTTTAGGGACAAATTTAGAATAAAACTCATAGTGTGGGGGATAAAATTTGAATATTCAAAAAATTAAGGACTAATTTAGAATGAGAGTCATAATTTGAGTATGAAATTGGAAGATTCAAAAGTTTAATAACCAATTTGAAATGACTGTCATAGTATGAGGACATATGATGCAATTAGCTCAAAATTAATTCTATTAAACCGAATCGAGTGATACTCGATTTAAGCTTTTAAGAGTAAACTACAAGTTCAGTATCCCAACTATCACTTTTGTTTTATTTTGGTTGCCTAACTATTTTTTTTCAAAATCATAACTAATGTTTAATTTTAGTTTTCCTCATTAATAATTAATTGTAATGTTGATGTGTTATCATTAGGTAATGCAACATTATCATTTTTTTAACACCAAAATGAAATAAAAACCTACGTTAAGTATGATTTCTATATAAAAAAAAGTAGTTTGGCAACTTAAACAGAATACAGGTGATAGTTGGGTACTAAACGTGTAGTGTACCCTTTTTCAATATCTGGTGTAGCGCCCTCAAACAACAACCTTTGAGTCATCACAAATCCGACGCTTAAATTCATTAAATAAATAATTATCGGTTTTGTCACTGTACGGATGTTAGAAAAACATTTAAAAAAGAAGGAAAGGAAATGGACAACAAAGGAAACGAAAAACTAATGAAGTAAAAAGAAAGTAAAAGATGACGCTTTATCTCTGAAATCCGAGTCCAAAAAAGAAACACAAAAATATTCCAGTTTAATTTCTTCAGTCTCTTCTCGGTGTTCTTTTTCTTGAATTTGATTTCTAAGGGACAAAATGAATTCGAATCACTTACTTCTTGAAGAGCCCATCAGAATGGCTTCCATTCTCGAGCCATCAAAGCCTGTAAGTTACACATTTTTCCTTTCTGCAATTATTATTTTAGAAATCTTGTTTGTACTGTTTATCAATCTTCTGATAGTTTTTGGTGATGAGTAACATGAGGATAAATCTAAAGAACAAATTAGAAAAACACAAGAGGAATATATGTTTAGCTTGTACTGAATTTGTGGCCTAATTGATGGGTTTCCAAAGGGGGGAAAAATAAAGATTGAGGCAAAATAGAACTTGGGTATAGATGGTGGGATACTTTCCTAGACGATTGTTTGTTTGATAAGAAAATTTGAAGAAATCCAAAGAATTCTACTTCGAATGAGTTAAAGGAACTTGTTGGGACTTGAATAAAAGATTGATTAAATATATATTTATATAGAATAATATGCCACAGTTATGTTTTAGTTGGATTTATTTGTAGTTATTCAAAACTACTTTTTGGGTTGAATGTTATTGCAGAGTTTCTTTCCTGCAATGATAAAGATTGTGGGGACACTCGGTCCGAAGTCGCGAACTGATGAAGTAATATCTGGTTGCCTTAAGGCTGGGATGTCTGGTATTACACGTTTTTCTCCCTTTTGTAATATTGGTTCTATGTGATCAGAGTCTGAAAATGCATTTTTCGCTTGATGTTGTTTCTTTGCTTAGGCTGTGGATGACAATTTTCATCCAATCTTAGTTCTTTAAGCTGAATTTTTGTACTTGACTAGTAGATTAGAATTTCATATGCATTTGAAATGATTGTGCTTTGTTTTCTTCAGTGGCGAGGTTCGATTTTTCATGGGGTGATGTTGAATTTCACCAAGAGACATTAGAAACTTTGAAGACTGCTATTAAGAGTACTAAGAAGCTTTGTGCTGTAAGTCTCTTTTGTACTTTAGTTTAAAACTGACCCTTTATTCTGCTTCTGTTATATTACTCCATGAAAGTCCTTTACTTGATGTGATCACAAAAAAGTTTATCCAAGCCTTTATGAAATTTTTATTTTTTTCCCTTGTAAATTTCATCATGAATTCAAGTGTTACAAGATTGGACATTGGATTTCAGATTATGCTTGATACTGGGGGTCCAGAATTGCAAGTAGTT